ACGGGGGGGGGGGGGGGGAAGGGCCTCACGCCTCAAGCATCCTCAGCAAACATTCGGCACGAAGAAAGGGAAGGTCGGGCTCGGAGGCGGCCGCGAGGGCGGAGGGCTGGGCGGCGGCGGCGACGACGGGGGCGGCGGGGATGACGGCGGCGGCGTGCGCGGCGGCGGCCTCGGAGCCGGTGCTGGCATCGATGCGACGGCTTGACCACGGCTTGGGAACGGCCCGCGCGCGCTGCTGCAGCCAATCCCGCGCCGCCTCGCCGCCCGCCGCCGCCTCGACCGGCGGCGGCAGGAGGCCCTCGCTCTCGGCTGACAGTCCGAGCTTCTCGGGTGGCGACGGCGGGGATGGAGTAGGCGGCGGAGGGACTGAAGGCGGCGGAGGGGCCGGAGGCGGCGGCGGCGCGGGAGGAGGCGCCATCGCTGGCGGCGCGCGCCAAGGCTGCTTGTCTTGGCCGCTCCCGGTCTTGTGCCGCTTGCCCACCGGCTTGGCCTTCGGCGTTGGCCGCGCCGCCGCGCCGCCGCCGCCCGCCTCGGCCTGGTTTGACACCTGCCTCAGCGGGGAGCGAAGAGCGGCGGCCGGCGCCTGTGTGGGATGCGGGGGCGGGTGGCGTGGAGTGGAGCACGGGAGGTGGAGTGGAGAGGTGGAGCGCGGAAGCGGCGTGTGTACAGCGACCCCGCCCGCTCGTCCCGCCTGACGGGCACAAAGGCACCGCCACACACACACCGGGAGGGAGCCGCACCTGGGCGCGAAGTGGCACCGGCGGTGCAGGCTGGGTGGCGGGGGAGGGAGGCCTGGCCGCCGCGCCGCCCTCATGCTCTCGCTTCCGCCGCCGCCCCCCACGCAGCGCCGGATTGTCGGCGGCAAAATCGAGCCAGTCGTTGGAGTCCTCGCACATCGGCGCCAGCTTGTCGAACTTGGGGTCGGGGAACTCCTTGAAAACGAAGTGGAGGCGCTCTCGGTCGTCGCTCGAGTACGCGCTTACGGCATGCCAATCCCGACCGTCTCGGAGCCAGGCCTCTCTAGGCCGGCCACGGGGCCGCGAGGCGCCCCTCGCGTCTTGAACCGGATGCATACACCTGCGAGCGCGACGAGGAGACGCGACCGCGCCGCGAGGGAGGAGCCGCCGCGTTCAAACTTCGGCAGGTTTTCTTTTTTGAGAGCCGAACGCCCCGGATGTGTGTGTGTGTGTGTACGTGTGCGTGCGTGCGTGTGTACGTGTGCGTGTGCGTGTGTGTGTGTGTGTGTGTGTGTGTGTGTGTGTGTGTGTGTGTGTGTGTGTGTGTGTGTGTGTGATTTCTTGTGTGTGTAGGTTATTTATCCGACAACGCGAGGAGAGGAACCGACAAACCCAACCCACCGTGAGGGGGGAACTGTGACTCAATCGTCACCTAACTATTACGTTCCGCGCGCGCGCCGAACGAGCGTTTGTCGGACCCTCGCGCTTCTAGGCGCCAGAGTCCTGTTCTCGTCTGCCCCACCCTCCCTCCCTGGCAGACGATTGTGTTGTGTTTGTGTTGTGTGTGAGTGTCGGGCCTTATTTGGGCGCCGACGACGCTCGGGGTCGTCTGGCAACGGCACCGGGAGCTCGAGACGCAGCTCTCGGGGCCAGCCAACCCAGGAGTCGATTTTAGGACCAATCTCAATGCTGAGGGAGGGTGTAGAGGATGTAGAGTGTAGAGCGCTGTAGAGCTGTAGAGATGTAGAGCGCTCTGGAGCGCTGTAGAGCTGTAGAGCTCTACATCGGCTGCGGGACGAACTGCCTCCGTTGTAGAGCCATGTAGAGCGCGATTTTGTTGTAGAGGCTCTACAGCCAAACCGCCGGGAAGGCAGTGACTCAAAGAGGTCGAGTCGCACTAATGGGGTGTCTCCGAGCTTACTGGAGCTCTGATGGACGGCCCTGACTATCCCTGACACACAGAGAGTCACTCTGACGGCACACAACACCCTATATCTGCGTCATGACCAGCCTGCCATGCGTCGCCGGTGCCGCATTTGTCGCTGTGCTTCTTTAGCAGGCGGTGGACTGTCGGCTGCGAGGACGGTCGCATTTGCGCGAGGCGAGGTGAGCATTTAGACGCGTTGCATGCGCCATGACTCGCGCCAGCGCGTGCGGGAGCTCCTGGCTGAGCGTTGAGTCCAGGCGAGTTGTGCTGGCCACGATCGCTACGCCGAGCCGAGCTGACGTGCTGAGGCGCCGGCCAGTCGCAGCCGCGAGGCATGCCACAGCAGCAGAGGCACCTGCCACCCATTGGGCGGGCAGACAGAAGGCCAGGGCAGCACTGGCAAGTGCAACGCGCCTCATGTCGGAGAGCGACCGTTCCTCGTTCGCGCCGCTTATGATGTAGAGTTTGTTGTAGAGATTTCACGTTGTAGAGCGCCTCTACATCGCTCTACAACGGAGGCGCATCGTCACGCGCCGGATGTAGAGCTCTACAGCTCTACATTGCTCTACAGCGCTCCAGAGCGCTCTACATCTCTACAGCTCTACAGCGCTCTACACTCTACATCCTCTACACCCTCCCTCAGTCTCAATGACAATCAACATCAGCATGAACAACGGGGACTCGGACGCGATGGATAATCGATCCGTCCGAGTAGTAGTTTTTCTAGCAGTCCTCTGTGCGTGTAGAGTAAAGACCTCAGAATGAGTAGCCCATAATATCTCTCCCCAGTTGCCGCACATTCCAGGCGCGCGTGCAAAAGCGGGTCTCAGACCTGCACGATCCGCTGTTCTCACAAGAACACGGGTGGCACATCTTGAAGACGGATAGCCACTTTGGGGCCCGTAGCGTCGCCCACTGCGCGCCCCTGGCCACCCCACAGTGATGCCTGTGGCGGTGTACCGCATGTCATGGGAGAGGAGCATCTTTGCGACGAGCCCGCTGCCAGTCCAAGGAGGGGCAAAGGAGGTGTTGTCGACGGCACACGTGCCGTCGAGCTTGGCGTTGCGGCACTCCAGCATAGCCTACATACGAGCAAACACATGAAAATGGCCCCTCTCCAGACCCACCCAGAAGCCTTGCGCACCCACCGTTGGGCACAGCACTCGACGCCAAAGGGGCAGTTGTCGCTGCTCTCCGGCGCTCGTGAGCAGCCGATTGAGCAGCAGCCGAGTGGAAGGTGTGTTGGAGTGGAAGGTGATCGTCGGCGACAAAGTTGCATGTTCAAAGACTTGGGGTGCACGAAGCGGTTCAGCACCAAAAATGCGCCTGTATGTGCACATATGACCCACCATGCATTCGCCGCGTCTCTCTCTCTCTGAAGCGGGAGCAGCAGTTTTGAGAGAAGCTCGGAGACGCAATTTCAGGTGTTCGCCGCCGCGCCGTGTCCATTTTGAGCTAGCTATCCAGATATGCTGGCTGCCACGCTCACGGCGGCTCTCGGCTTCTCGCCGGGCGTGACGCGCCTGCCGAACGGCTTCGCCGGTGCGCCGCGAGCCCGACCACAGCACAGACGCGCCATCGCGCCACCACTGCGGCCGGCGAGGCCGCATCTGCGCGTGCGCCGCGATGCAAAACGCAATTTGATGCAGCATCTCCCCTTCGCCACGCCCGCGCGAGCCCGCACTTGGGTCCCAGCCCGCCGCCTGGCGCGCGGACGCTGCACCACCGCCAGCCTGCCGGAAACCGAGTCCTCGCACAGCCCAGCCGCACCCGCGCTGACGCCGCCCGCTCTGCCGCTGCAGGCACGGCACTTTCGCAGCACGCGTTGACGCCCGTGGCGTCGCGCTCAGCAGCCTCGTCCGGCCTCGAGTCGGTCCTGGCGCCGCTGCTCGAGCAGCAGCAGCAGCAGCAGCAGCAGCAGCAGCGCCGGTGAGCCCCGCGAGCCCTGATCTCCCTGCGCAGCGCCACCGCCAGCCCAGCCCTCACGCGCGCGCCGCGCGCTAGTCGCCCAGTCTGCGCCATTGCCAGCGCGCGGCGCCGTCGCTCCAATATTCACCGGCGCCTCTCCCTCCGTCGACGCGCGGCTCACATCAACCTCCCTCGGCTGCCTGCAGTGCGCTGCGCGCGCCGTCGGCCGCCATGGTGGCGACGGGCGGCATGGGAGGGGGGCTCTTCACGCAGTCCAACCCGGAGGACCGGAGGGTGGTGCCGGACGAGCCGGGCGACCGTCAGATCTTCAAGGTCGTGTACGTGGTCCTCGAGTCGCAGTACCAGTCGTCGCTCAGCACGGCGTGCAAGCGGATCAACGCAGGGCAGGAGAAGGTTGCCGTCGAGTGCTCGGGCTACATCCTCGAGGAGCTGCGCGACCCGGCCAACTTTGAGCAGTTCAAGAAGGACGTGGCCGACGCCAACATCTTCATCGGCTCGCTCATCTTTGTGCAGGCGCACGCCACCCGCGCGCACGGGTCCAAACGACGCCGCCGCCGCCGGCCCTCCGAGGCCGCGCCGCCACCCGCCTCACGCGCCGCCTCGCGCCGCGCCCGCCGCAGGAGCTCGCCGACAAGGTGGTGGAGGCCGTCGAGCCGTACCGCGAGACGATGGACGCGGTCTGCGTTTTCCCGTCGATGCCGGCGGTGATGCGCCTCAACAAGATTGGCTCCTTCACGATGGCGTCGATGGGCCAGTCCAAGAACGTGATGCTGGACTTCATGAAGAAGAACAAGCCGAGCGGCACCTCGTTCCAGGACGGCATGCTGAAGCTGGTGCGCACGCTGCCCAAGGTGCTCAAGTTCCTCCCCGGCGACAAGGCCAAGGACGCGCGCTCCTTCATGATGTCGCTGCAGTACTGGCTCGGCGGCTCGCCCGAGAACATCGAGGCGCTGCTGCTCAACCTGGCGAGCACATACGTCTTCGAGTCCGACCTGCTCACCGGCGAGGTGGTGGAGCCGCCGACCGTCATCCCCGACCAGGGCATCTGGCACCCGGTCGCGCCGCGCGTCTTCGAGACCAACGAGGAGTACATCCAGTGGCTGCGCAACGAGCACGCGCCGACCATCGGCGTCGACCCGAACAAGGCGCCCGTGATCGGCGTCGTGCTGCAAAAGTCGCACATCAACACCAAGGACGACGCGCACTACGTCGCGCTCATCATGGAGATCGAGGCCAACGGCGGCCTCGTGCTGCCCATCTACACCGGCTCGCTCGACTTCTCCAAGCCGATCGAGGACTACTTCTTCCTCAACGGCCGCTCTGTCGTCGACACGACGATCAACCTGACCGGCTTCGCGCTCGTCGGCGGGCCGGCGACGCAGGACCACCCCAAGGCCATCGCGACGCTCAAGAAGCTGAACCGGCCGTACCTCTGCGCCGTCCCCGCCACCTTCCAGACCTTCGAGGAGTGGAAGGACTCGGAGCTCGGCCTGCACCCGGTGCAGGTTGCGCTGCAGGTTGCGCTGCCCGAGCTCGACGGCGCCATCGAGCCCATCATCTTCGCGGGCCGCGACGGCGTCACGGGCCGCTCGATCCCGCAGTCGGACCGCATCGAGACGCTCGCCAAGCGCGCGATCAAGTGGTCCAACCTCTCGGCCAAGAAGAACGCCGACAAGAAGGTGGCCATCACCGTCTTCTCGTTCCCGCCCGACAAAGGCAACGTCGGCACCGCCGCGTACCTGAACGTGTTCGGTTCCATCTTCGAGGCGCTCAAGACGATGAAGGCGGAGGGGTACGACCTCGGCGCCGAGCTCCCCACCGACGTCGAGGGGCTCGTCGACGCTGTCCTCCACGACAAGGAGGCGTCTATGGCGTCGCCGACGCTCAACGTCGCATACTCCATGTCGGTCGCCGAGTACAAGGAGCTGACGCCGTACGCAGAGGACCTCGAGGAGAACTGGGGCCCGCCCCCGGGCCAGCTCAACACGGACGGCCAGAACCTGCTCGTGTACGGCGTCCGCTTCGGCAACGTCTTCATCGGCGTCCAGCCCTCGTTTGGGTACGAGGGCGACCCGATGCGGCTGCTGTACGCCAAGTCGGCCTCGCCGCACCACGGCTTTGCCGCCTACTACACCTACATCGAGAAGGTGCTGGAGGCGGACGCGGTGCTGCACTTTGGCACGCACGGCTCGCTCGAGTTCATGCCCGGCAAGCAGGTCGGCATGTCGGGCGGCTGCTACCCCGACCGCCTCATCCAGTCGACGCCCAACCTCTACTACTACGCGGCCAACAACCCGTCCGAGGCCACCATCGCCAAGCGGCGCTCGTACGCCAACACAATCTCGTACCTGACGCCGCCGGCCGAGAACGCGGGCCTCTACAAGGGCCTCAAGGAGGTGGGCGAGCTCATCTCCTCCTACCAGGGCCTGCGCGAGAGCCGCGGCGCCTCGATCGTCAACTCGATCGTCGCCACCGCGCGGACGTGCAACCTCGACAAGGACGTCGACCTGCCGTCGGAGGACTTTGACACGGCGGAGCTCACCCTCGACGAGCGCGACATCATCGTCGGCAAGGTGTACTCCAAGATCATGGAGATCGAGTCGCGCCTGCTGCCGTGCGGCCTACACACCGTCGGCGTGCCGCCCACCGCCGAGGAGGCGATCGCGACGCTCGTCAACATCGCCTCCATCGACCGGCCCGAGGACGAGATCGACGGCCTGCCGCGCATCCTCGCGCGGTCGGTCGGGCGCGACATCGAGGACATCTACCGCTCCGCCAACGCCGGCAACCTCGACGACAACCTCCTCAGCGAGAACATCAAGGAGGCCATCCGCGCCGCCGTGCGCGCTTCGGTCGAGCGCTCGACCGACGCGGCTGGCCGCGTGACCGAGGTGAACCCGATGATGGCGTCGCTCGGCGCGGTGCTGGGCGGCGGCTCGCCGATGCTGTCCGCGCTCAAGAAGCAGGGCTTCGACAAGGTGCAGGACCCAGACCTCGAGAAGCTCTTCGGCTACCTCGAGTTCTGCCTCAAGCAGGTGGTCGCGGACAACGAGATGGGCGCCCTCATCGAGGGCCTGAACGGCGAGTACACGCTGCCGGGCCCGGGCGGCGACCCGATCCGCAACCCGCTCGTGCTGCCGACGGGCAAGAACATGCACGCGCTCGACCCGCAGGCCATCCCCACCATCGCCGCCTGCGACTGCGCCAAGGTGATGGTGGACCGGCTGCTCGAGCGGCAGGTTGCCGAGGAGGGAGAGTACCCCGAGTCGATCGCCTTTGTGCTCTGGGGCACGGACAACATCAAGACGTACGGCGAGTCGCTGGCGCAGGTGCTGTGGATGGTCGGCGTGCGCCCGCTGCCCGACTCCCTCGGCCGCGTCAACCAGATCGAGGCCATCCCGCTCGAGGAGCTCGGCCGGCCGCGCGTGGACGTCGTCGTGACGTGCTCCGGCGTCTTCCGCGACCTCTTCATCAACCAGATGAACCTGCTCGACCGCGCGGTCAAGCTGGTGGCCGAGCTGGACGAGCCGCTCGACCAGAACTTCGTGCGCAAGCACGCGCTCGAGCAGGCGGAGGAGTTTGGCGTCTCTGTGCGCGACGCGGCGACGCGCGTCTTCTCCAACGCGGCCGGCTCCTACTCGGCCAACGTGGGGCTCGCCATCGAGAATGGCGGCTGGGAGGGCGAGCAGCAGCTGCAGGAGCAGTTCACCTCGCGCAAGGGCTTCGCCTTCAACGCCGACCGGCCGGGCATCCTCGACGACAAGGCGGACATGTTCAAGTCGAGCCTCAAGAAGGTTGACGTCACCTTCCAGAACCTCGACTCGTCCGAGATCTCGCTGACGGACGTCTCGCACTACTTCGACTCGGACCCGACCAAGGTGGTCGGCTCGCTGCGCACCGACGGCAAGAAGCCGTCCTCGTTCGTCGCCGACACGACCACCGCCAACGGCCAGGTGCGCACGCTCTCGGAGACGGTCCGCCTCGACGCGCGCACCAAGCTGCTCAACCCCAAGTTTTACGAGGGCATGCTCAAGTCGGGCTACGAGGGCACGCGCGAGATCACCAAGCGCCTGCGCAACACGATGGGCTGGTCCGCCACCGCGGGCGCCGTCGACAACTTTGTCTACGAGGACGCGAACGACGTCTTCATCGCCGACGAGGAGATGCAGAAGCGGCTGCTCGAGACCAACCCGAACGCCTTCCGCGACATGGTGACGACCTTCCTCGAGGCCAACGGCCGCGGCTACTGGGAGACGTCCGAGGAGAACCTCGACCGCCTGCGCCAGCTGTACGCCGAGGTGGACGACAAGATCGAGGGCTTGTAGCGGCGCCGCCGCTGCGTAGCGTAGGGAAGGGGGGGGCGGGGGGAGAGCAGGCCGTCTCCCCGCCCCGCCCCGCCGCCGCTGCCGCGCGGGCGCGCGGAGCCAGAGCCCGGGCTCCGCCGAGCGCCTCGTGCAGGCACCCACACGGCTGGAGAGAGGCGAGTTCTCTCGCCGAACCGTATACGATGGACCGGTCGCGATGCAACAACCTCTTTAAGTGTTTTGTGTCTCTGTCCCCTCTCTTAGCATTGTGGTATCAGTAGAGCCGTGCTTTTGATGTAACGCCATTCCATGCTGGTGTTTAAATTCATGTTTTCCAAACAACAAACCCCCAGTAGCTTTTCTCTCCCGGGAGAGAAGTAGAGCCACCGGCACCGGGCGCGAAGGGGGCCTTTTTTGCGTTTGACACACCTTTAGGATGCATTGCGCAACTACAGAGCTGCTGCTACAGGGAGAGAATCAGTCTGTGGGCCCGAGTGTGGACTGGTGGTTGTTATTGTTTGCCTTTTAGGTATGTAAAGAGACGGTGAGTGCAGTCGCGATGGGATAGGGGACTAGGTCCAGCCCTGGGTGAGCCGGGTTGTGACATTTGGCGATTCCGCGGCTTACTGGGTCCCTGAGCCGCTCCCCGTGTGCGATTATTGTGGCCCAGGCATGGTACTGATAGTAAACGGGTCAGAACCGGCCAAACACAGGCTACAGCCCCACACACGCGCCCGCCATAGCTCCTGGAGAGCATGCGCGAGTGACGCGCTACAAGCCGCGAGAGTGGCATCAGAGGCAGGAACGACGTGCTCTTGCTGCACCTTGCAGCTGCACCGAGTGTGCTCGCAGTGTATGCCACGGCCGCCGCCTGCGGCATTGCTCTCGTGCAGCTAAGGCGACGCAGGTCCATCAGCAGGGCTCATCCAATGCGAGCACACATTGTGCTTAGCCGCGGGCAGGTGGCAGTGCACAGCCGCACACCGGCTGTGGCGGCTCGAATGCCCCCGGCAGTGCTGCTAGTCATCAACTTGCGTATTAGGGCCGCAGCAGACTGCTGCTGTGGCAGCAGCAGCAGCCTGCTGCTGCCTGATTCAGTCAAGCCAGCGGTGCAGCGAGGCGTGCAGAATTCGCGCGGTTTGGTACCTCCTGAGGCTGAGCGCGTTCAGACTCGGTGACCGGAGTTGGATGGTCCGATGGAGCTCGGCGAGCTCCATCGGACCATCCATGGCCGGACGGCGGAGCGTGAGGTGGCGAGCGGAGAGATGTACCGCAAGACCAAAAAAACACGGATCTGACGCGATGTCCCAAAACGTCAGATCTGGCTCACCCAGGGCTGGACCTAGTCAGGGAGGTGGACGTGTCCGAGGGGGGAACGCGGTTTTACATGAGCAGCCACCTCTAGAGTCACCTTCTCTCGTGTTGAGGGCCGTCGATCCACTCGTGAGCCGTACTGCTACGCATATGCGAGGAGGCCCATATGCTTCTCGGGGGCGGTTAGGTAAGGGGGAGGGGGTTAGGTAGGGGGGGGGGGAGGGGGGGGTTAAGGGGGGTAGGGGTAAGAGGGTTAGGGGGTTAGTGTGGTTAGGGGGTTAGGGGGATCGGCCGAAGGTGGATGCAGAAGAGACAGACTTGTGATACGTAAGACATTTGTTGTCGCCTCAGGCGCTACTTGGCTCGGGCAAGACACCGAAATACGCGACGTCTTGTCGACGCACTATGGATCGCGGGCGCGTACTTACATAACATGGCTGATCTGTGCATTCTGGGCGACTACATATGCGTGGCAGTACGGCTGGATCGTCGAGTTTGGCTTGTGCATTGGCCTGGGCGTCACGGCTGACGCACCGGGACCAATAACAGCCGCTGACGCGAGCCGCAGGGCAAAGTCCAAGAAGGCTCCGACCCCTCCTGCTGTTGATGGCTGTTTCATAGAGAGGCGACAACAGTCAGGCCACAACGAGACTGGACACCCACTTGGAAGAGGCAAGTTATCGCAGGGGATGGTCGTGGTGGCACACTGGAGCGAGACAAGACACAATCAGACACGACATGCGCGGAGTGTCCTCATGTCATGTGCGTCTGCGAGGCCGCGCGCGAAGTACAGTGGGGAACCCTTACGAGTTACGTGCGATCTGTCGGATTTATCCATTTTGCGTGTACTTGTAGTGTTGTAAGGACGTGCTGCACTTGTAGTGTTGTAAGGACGTGCTGCTCTGAGAACCAGACGTCTCGAACACAGAGAGCCCGGGCCCTTTCGGAGTCGCGCACGCACAGGACACCACGAGAAACATAGACCACCATGCCACCAGTCCCCGTCGACGCGCGGGCGAGCGGGATGGGGCCCGGCCCGCTTGCTCGGCGCACGTTAGCTACGCCGTGGGCTCAGGCCCCCGTTCTCACACCGACGCCGCTCGCTCAGGCCTCGCCGAACTCGAACTTGAACTCGTGGCCCTCCTGCCTCCTCCTTCGAGGCCCACTTTGCGCCCGCGATCGTGAAATCGAAAGAGCCTTGCCATTCGCCTTGAGCTCCTTGGAGAGGTACTTCACGAACTTCTTGTAGCTGCGTGGGCGGCAGGAGCAGCGCGACGGGAGGTGAATTGCACGTGTGGGGGGCGTGTGCGGGTGTGTGCGGGCGGTGTGGAGGCGTGGAAAGCGGGAGGATCACTTCTTCCCGTTCTTCGTGATGGGGGGCGGCTTGCTCATATTCTTCTCTGCGCGGCGCGTCTGCGCGACAAACGCTGTGTACAGCCATGCTTGGCGCGGGGTGTCGGAAACGAGCCGTGGCGGGGTGTGCGATGCCGCGCCGCGCCGACGGCAGGCGGGGGCGCAGGGGTGCGGGAGCGCGCGGGGGTCACGCTTCAGAGACATTAGGTGCGCACCTTTTATTTTTTGAGCCGCTGGGAACCCTGTAGCCTGTTCATGCCAATCCTCCGACTGTTGACTTGTACTCGAGTACGTCGTGCCCGTCTCACGACTGGCACACCTTAAGGCTGGCACATGGACACGCCTCAGCGCGGCACTGATCTCGAACTTTAACAACATTTCTTGTGTTTTCACGAACGAACGAACCATGTGGTCAGGAAACGAATGTGTGGCCAAATGTGCTCTCTGTCTGTTATCTGCCAACAGTCGCTTCCCAATTTCCTCGCTTCCCGACTTCCAGTGCGATAAAAAGGGAATGCGCCTACGGGTGGACCCCCCCCCCCCCACACACACAGCGCTCACAACTCACAAAACTCCACCGTTCACACTGGCCAGTTAGTGAGTTATTTAGGAAGGTGAAGAGCAGCCAGGTTCGGACTGGACACCAGCGCGGTATGGATGGACGCAAGACAGGCGATGACGGCACGCTGGAGCGACACACTCACACAGACAGACACAGACACACACAAACAAAGACACACACACACACAAGACACTGACTGGCCGTGCGTGCCCCAGTGTCGTCGTATCGTGCGATAAAGAGAATTTCACAAACAACAAATCTCCCTCGCACAGCACTGGGCAAGGGAATGGCGCGCACTGGCACTAACACAGGTACCACCACGGGAGCCGCCTAAGTAAGTAAGCACTCCAGCGATTGGCTAGAGCCTAGACGAGCGGCCTACCTCCACGGGGCTGTTGGCGCAGGGGGAGGTGTCAATCACGCTCCCGGGACGCCGGAGAGATCGGGTTGGTCTCCCCCGCCTTCAGCCCTGACTGACCCGACGGGGACGCCACCACCCTCGCCCAGGGATCTACAATGCTGTCTTAAGGTCCGACCTGTGGGCTCTGCCTGCGCTCGGCACCGGGCACCGCCTCGGTATACAAAATGCGCCTGCGGGCGGACCCTCACAGATCACAGATCACTCCAGCGATAAAGAAAGAGAGACGTGTCTCTGGCGCGAACTCGCGGCGGGCGCTCCCAACCTCGTTCGCTGCCCCACGCACACGGCCGCGCCCTTCGCCCCACGGCGGATGGACGTTAGTCCCGAAGGGCGCCGCACCGCTGCCCCCAAGGCAAAGAAGGGGCGGACGAGGTACCTCCGCGTCTCTGGCCCTGACCAGGCCTCGCTGGACGGCGGCATTGACAGTGCAGAGGAGGTTGGAGCGCAGCCACCTGGCTGGTCTCTTGGGCGGCTGTCGCTTATGGCGGCAGTCGCCGCGCAAGCGGCGATCCTCATCCTCGCCACGATGGCAGCTGTGCAAGCCTTCCTCGCCTCGCCTCCTCCGCGGCCGCGGCCGCCTCCGCCGTCGCCGTCTCTGCCTCCCCCACCGCCTCCGCTGCCCCCACCACCCCCAAGGCCGCCACCGTCGCCGCCGCCAACGCCCTGGCGGCTGGGAGACGCTCGAAAGAGGCTCGCCATCCTCTCGGTGAAAATGCTGCCTCGCCGGCAGCGAGCCGATGTCGTCCAACAGATCCTAGAAGGGAAGCGACCGAGGCGAACGCTCTCTTAGACTCTAGATCGCGGCCCACACACGATGTGTCGACATGTCTACGCAGCGCCTTTTACGCCGGATGCGGATGCGCCCCCTCGCCAGCCTCACGCCCCGCCGTCAACCGGTCCAGGAGTGAGCGGGGCGTCGCGTCGCTGATTGATATTGGCGACGTGATTGAAGTCTTTGAGGGCGCGTTCGCCTCCGGCGGTGCCAAGGCCGCCAGCTGCCTTCGCGCCCCGTTTGATCACAGGTCCACACACTCTCGTACGTCCGGACTGCCTTAGGCCACCCTCTCGCTCGTGGACCGCGCCCCTTTTGCACTCGCGACCAAGGCAGCACTAAACGCGACGGGGCGCGCCTCAGAGATTGGCATCAACGCCCACGTGCAGGTTGGGTGCGGCATCTCATACTCTAGCGCAGAGAAGCCGGCGGTGGACATTGTGGGGGTCGAGGGCTGCGAGCACGGCTTGTGTGGCCCCGACGACTCGAGAACAAGCAGCGCCCGCCGCTTCCACCCATGGTCCGACCTCAAACGGCACTGCTGGGTGCACGGCTCGCTCTGGTGGCTCCGCCACTGGGCCGGGGCCTTCCTCGCCGACAAGATGCTGCGCGCAGTGCCGTTCCCTGACCTGAGCGCGTCCGACGGCGCGCCAGTGAGCAGGGATCGCCTCTTCGCGTGGCTGCAAAAGGACATGCGCTGGTGCATCGCTCGCCTCCCAGAGTGCGACGCCGACGTCATCAACGCGCCAAACACATTTGCCGCTCTCGGCAGCAGCAGTGGAACTGAGGAGCTGACCGACGCCGCCAAGCTGGAGCGCAGCAGCTCTTCGCACCACCCTAGGCGGTGTTCCATCTCTTACCCACGTCGCCTCCCTCACAGGAGCTCAAAGAGGCCTTCAACCTCTTCGACATCGACTCGTCCGGCTCGATCGACATCAAGGAGCTGCACGCAGCGATGCGCTCTCTTGGGGCATCGGAGGAGTCTGCCGAGGTGTCGCCGAGTCATCGCTGCCCACCCCCTCTCTCTCTTGGAGCCACGGCCTGCACTGATTCCGCTGTACTGGTGCGTGCCAGAGCTCGCTGGAGTCGTTTGACAAGGACCACTCCGGCAAGATTGAGTTTGAGGAGTTTTGCGTCATTGCGGCGCCGCTGTACAAGTCGTCACACGCCTCTCTTCGCGCCGCCTTTGACTTTTTCGACGCCGACGCTTCGGCGTGCCCCCCCCCCCCCCCCGCTATGCCGGCCCCCTGACCCTGCAAGCCACGCTGCGCGTAGGGCCACATCGACATCAAGGAGCTGGAGACGGTCCTCACCAAGCTGCAAATCGACAGGCATGGCACCAAGGTGGAAACCGTCTTCAACGAGGCGGACACTAACGACGACCGTAAGGTGACATTCGACGAATTCGTCGTGATGTTCGTGTCTCAGAAAAAGGCCGGAGCCGCAGCGTGAACACGGGGCGGCCATACAGCCTCTAGCCATATGTCTCCCGGGGAGAGATATCGAGATGGGAAAGGGAGGCAAGTCGAGACACAGGAGAGACACACACTGACGGGTCCGGTGTGTGTGCTGGATAGAGACCGTGGCCGCAGCCCGCAGGCCCCCAGGCGCAACGCCCCCCCCACAGACTCGACGACTCTCTCGAGAGACTGCACCCGCCACCGGCACCGCCCCAGAGAGGACGCGCGAGGGACGCGCTCCCGGCACGGAGCACAGGCACGGAAGTCAGAAAAGAGTGTTCAAATTCTTTTTTGCAGACAAAGAACCCTGCACAAAGATCGCACGGGCGGGATCTAGAACTCGGAAGCCAGAAGTGCAGAGACCCGGCTCTCCCGGGTCCCGCTCCCGGCCTCCCCGCGGTCCCCCGGGGACGCGGTGGCCGGTGCGAGATATATGTGTCAGAGATGAACGATCACATCTTTCGGGTGCGCCTACAAACGGTGCGCACAAATAACTTTATATCGACACGGACACGACACCGGGGAAACAGAGGAACAGTTTACAGAAGGCTCGAGACCGCAATCGCCACACAGAAGCCGCGGCCCTGGCTGCGGGCCTCCCCGCTGCGCGGAGGCCCGCAGTATCTGCCCCGGCATCGCTCGCGGAACCTCCGCGTCGCAACGCCCGGGCTGGGGAGCAGCCAATTACGCGTCGACCGCCCCGCCGAGCCGCCCCGCACCCACTGCCGCCCTCCCCACGGGCGCCGCACCACTGCACTGCAAGAGTCACTCGCGAAATGTAACCGGTGTGCGCCGCCGGCGCCGCCAGCTGCGACGGCCGCCTGCGCCGCGCCGCACTGTAGAAGTGGGGCAGGTCGCCGCCCCACGGACCGCAAAGAGCGCGTTTACCTTTGCTCCGAGAGCATGGTCGCCCGAGACCTGAGCCTGGCGCCGCCAGGGCCTTCCACGCGGCCCGCAGAGTCGCGCGACGAGCGCTCGTCGAGGCTCGAACGCTCGAGGCTCGACTTGCGCGCCACCGACTCGCGCCACGCGTCGCGCCACGCCTCGGCCTCGGTCATGTCGTCGCCTGCAGAGGGGCAGAGGGCAGGGGGGGCCTCGCGCGCCCAGCCCGGAGGGGAGGCGCGGCCAGCGGTGCAGCGGTGCCTGCAGTGGGGTCTCTGGAGGTGTGCGGGCTGGAGGGGGGAGCCGTGCGGGGCGTCGCGTCTGCCTGCAAGCCGCGGGCGGAGCCGTGCTGCGAACTGCGGCGGCCAGAAGCGGTAGGCAGTGGCGTACACGAGCAGCGAGAGGAGGAGCCAGACGGGCGGGTAGACGAAGCCGGCGCTGATGTAGCCCGAGAGGAGGATGTTCAGAGTGTAGTTGACGGGCTCGGTGAAGAGGTCGCCGCGCGTGCCGTCGACAGAGGAGAAGGGGAGGACAAAGTAGCCGAGCAGCCGGACGATGGTGCCGACTTGGAGGAGGATCCAGAGGTTCGGCAGCAGGCGGTGGTCGAGGTAGAGCACCTTGAACGCCTCCAGCGCGCGCAGCACGCCGTACAGCCCAAACACGGGGATGATCAGGTGCCTGATGCCCACGCGCGGCGTGAGCAGCGCGCCAGTCGGCACGTTGATGAAGAGCGCCACCGCCGCCGCCGACCGCGCCCAGAGCGGGTTGTCTCGGTAGAGGATGGCGCCCAGCCCGAGGCACAGCTCCACGAAGGAGAAGAAGCCGTGCACCGCCACCACCGTCGGTGTGTGCGTCCACGGCTGTGTCGCAGACCACGTCGAGGCGGTCATCTTGCGGTGCGCGCGGCTGACGACGGTCCTCTCGACGAGGTACGTCTTCACCCACGAGAAGGTGGAGAGGAGGAACAGGGAGACCGCGAGCGTCCCGTTGAGCGGGTGCTCAACAAAGTCGTACTGCGTCTCGTAGTGGTTTGGAAACTCGGCGAGCCGCGCAAGGCCCTCCTTGACGAGCGCGACCGGGTCCTGGGGCGGGGGAGCGGCCGGGCTCGGGCGGGGAGGCGGCAGGCAGCGAAGGAGCGGGAAGGTAGCAGCCGCACAATGCGCCCCGGTGGCGCACGAAGAGGGCTGGCCAGCAGCCACTGCGGTGGCTGTGGGACTGAGGGGCGACACTGCGGTGGATGCCGGCGGCGCACCTCGAGTGCACAGACGGCGATCGTCGAGCAGACGACGAGGACCGTGTCGAGCTGGAAGTGGGTGAGAGGCATTCCCTTTATTGAGTGGCCGTGAACGGGGGCGGGGCGGCAGCCAGGCCGGCTTCCCTTGGGCGAGGAAAGCAGATTTTGGTTTGGTTAGACTAAACTTAGTCCGAGCGAGCCATCACGGCGAGGTCGGCCGAGAAAGATATACTTTTTCTTCTTTTTTTAAAAGACGAGCACTTTTGTTTGTTCTTTGTTGTGGTGGTGTGTGTGTGTGTGTTGTGCGTTGTGTGTTGCGTGTTGTGCGGCGGGCGGTGGGCGCAATGCGGGTGGGGGGGTGGGGGGGGCACTCGGCCCAGAAGCAAATAAATAAATAAATAAAAACGGACACCTCTCTACTGTGAGACGGGTAAAAAGGAACAGGCCCCCGCCCTTGCGATCTTTGTGCAGGGTTCTTTGTGGGTGTGGTCGGCGACTAGCCGGGGTCGTCCTCCCGGTGGGGGACTAGCACTAGCCGTCTTCCACATGGTCCCTCGGGTCCCTGCTGCTCCTAATCTCTTCGTACATCCTCCTGCTGATCTCCGCAAAGTCCTGCTCCCTCCCTCGTCTCGCCCTGCGCGTCTGCTCCGCCTCACCGTCTTCTGCCCTGCGTCGTCTGGCGACGGGTCCTTACACAAGGAATCTTCCTCCGCCACATTGGAGGGAGGACGGGCACATTGGCTCCCACAACCACATTCGGCTTCGGCAGCGCGAAGGAGGAGCACGTTACGCATCTTGCAGGCAACGCTGCGAAATCCTCGTCCGTGCCCTCGCGAGGGCACGGACACGCCGAAGAGAACCGCCGGGGTTAGGGCGAGGCAGCACCCATGGACAATGACACTGGAAGGAGCCGCGGTACCCAAAAATACCCTCGCGGCTTACGCTGCAGACAAAAAGGCAATGCCAGAGAGAAACGTCGCATCGGTCAAGTCCAGCAAAACAAGGAGGGAGCGTTCTTACCCCTACAGAATGCGAGCGGGGTGAAGGCAGCACTAAACTGCTGGAATGAGTCTGTGAGAGGGCATCGGCGCCACGCGTGTTTGAAAGGACTTCGGAAAGTGAGCCAAGCCGTGCTCGCAAGATGCTATGGTTTGTTGATGGCGATGAATGAGAAGAACCAATTGCCTGCGCGTCCCCCGGCGAATGTCGAAGTGAAGGCGTCGGTGCAGGCCTTTGAGGACGCTTTGAGCCAGGTTGGGACTGGCGTGGCGGCCCCTGACACGCTCTGCAGCTTCTTGCACAAGCCGGATTTTGGTGTGACCGCTGAGACCATGGCTCTGGCAACCACCTATGCTATGCGCGATATAAACGCGACTACGGACGCGGGCTCGTGTCATCAAGCCGTCGCAGGTACGCTCGCCGCCCTGGCTGTCAAGAACGTGGACCTCTTGTCCTCCGCGCCGGAGCGCCCGGCCCCACCGCCGCCGTCTTCGGGCGACGCGCGCAAGATGGGGCACCACCTCGGCGAATACCACCTCAGCGGACACCACCTCGGCGGAAACGTCGTCCAGCACCCCAGCAACTGCGCGCCCGGCGGATACCACCACGGCGGAAACCAGCACCCCAGCAACTGCGCGCCCTTCGTCGGATACGCCGTCTCTCCCATGTCCACGCTGCACTGTCACCCGCAGTCCTACTACCCGTACCAGCCGCCCAACCGCTGGAACCAGCTTCTCAACTACGGGCACCAGACCCACTGCATGTACTACCCGCACCAGCCGCACCAGCAGCCCAGCTACGGGCACCAGACCTACAACTACCCGCACCAGCCCAACTCGTCCTGGTATCAGCCGCGTCCGAGCGCACCGCCTGCTGGCTATCGCTGGCCGGCATAGCCATGTTAGTCAGCACGAGCAGCTGGTGTGCTTTAACACACGGCAGCACGGTAAGACCACACAGCGAATCAGTGAGATACATGACAACTGTGCGATCCGTCGTGTGTCGGCGCGGTGGACCGGTGTTCAGGTGGGCTGTCAAGGTCTCACTTTCACGGTCAAAACACAAGGGGATCTCTCTTTGCTGGTCGCGGGTGGCTCCTTGGTGATGGTGTCGTGGTCCGACATAAGTACAGGATACGTATAAAGAAGCCGGTGGGTGGGTGGGTCACAGACACGAGATGCTAGGGTGCCACAGCGGCCAGCGGGGTTGACTACTCCAAAGCCGTAGCACACGCTACCAGCGCGGCCTTGCAGTCAAACTTGCCAGTTAGGACTACTAATCTGGGGGCATTGGGCGCCTACTCGGCGCCCCTTCAACTCCGGGGCTACCCGCACCACAAGTCCACAACTCTATCACGGCAGACGCGATCGATGAGCAGGTCGGGTCCCGGCGACAAATAGTCCGGATCGACGCATAGATGGTCGTCGAGATCGATCCAGGTTAGCCCCCAGCAGTGCAGCGGCAGGGCGATGCTTTGCAAGTTCGGCATGCGACCGGACAAAAGCGCACGTGCCAGCGCGTCGAGGGCGCCCTGCGTCACAGCGATATTCTGTCCCGGCAGTGCTTCGGGTGGACTCAGTAGAGGGACTCTGTTGCACGTCATCATCGTCCGCCGGCTGCGAAAGCCCAGCCGCAGATGTGTGAGTCGGCGAAAGCCGCCACTTTCGCTCGCCTTCATCAGGGCCTCCACGCCCCGATCGTCCAGATCGCACGCTCGAAGGGAGAGGTACGAGAGGAGCGGAAGCGCTCCCTCGCCCACCGCTGCCGCGAGCGATGCCGCGCCGACGCCAGTGAGACGGTTTTGTGCGAGGTCAAGCAGCTCGAGAGCCGACAGAGCGCCTGCCACGTCCGCCAACAGCTCGCATGCGCCATCGTCGAGGTCGTTGCGTTGTAGAGAGAGGGCACGCAGCCGGGGCGGCGCCGCGCCGTCTCTGAAGGCGAGGAGAATCGGCCGCACGCCCTCCACACATAGGTGGTTTGCGCTGAGGTTGAGGCGCTGAAGCGACGGCATGCTCCCACGCCCGAGAAGGTGCGCTAGCGTCTCGCATGGACGCTGCCATTGGCCGACGCAGCTCTGACTGGCGCGCACTGAAGCGCAGCACCCGCACGCGCAGGCAAAGTGATCGCAGTGAACACAGGGCTGGTCGAGTAGAGGACGGACCTGCAGGCACTCACCCGGGAGCGCGCGAAACTCAACCGCAGCCTGCATCGTCACGGCTGACACCGGCCAGCTGGCATGCACGTCGATCGTGCGGTACGCGACGCCAGTCGGCACGAGCATGCTTTGGTGGAAGGGGAAAGAGCAAAAGGTGATTGGGGTGGCTCTGTACGGCATTCGGAAGCGGTCTTGACAGAAGGGGTCGCCAGTCCGGTACGTAGCCGACTTCTCGAGCAGCACTCGCGCGCCTCGGTGGTGAGCCTTCAGCTTCTTCATCTCCGAAGGAGCATCGCGGGCGCCGGCGCTGCCGCAGATAGCGCCGTGTACCGTCGTGCAGACGCTCGCGAAGCGGCAGGCCGATGCGGGTGAGAAGGGATCGGCCAGCTTTCGGAAGATGAGCCGCATAACGTCCGCCGGCATGCGCATGATGGACCTGTTCATCCACTTGCGACACGCAGCGTCGATCGCGGCTTCCATCTTGCGGTGGCAAAGCAGTACGCTCTCGTTGAACAGCCAGGCGAGCGCCGCGGAATCGTTGAAGGCGTCGCTGTAGTTGTGCACGCGCATGCGCCCGTTGGCGTGGCCCGGCCAGCTTATCGTAACGTAGTCGTACGTGTCGCGCATAACCCACCGGTACTCGGCCGCAAGGGCGTTGGATGTGCAGCAAAGGGCGCCGATCGTCCGGACCAACGACTGCGCGTCGTCTTCGTTGGCCCGCCAATCGCTGGCGATCGGGTGAAGGTGATCCCTCCCCGCGCCCCTTCCGGCAAGCCACTCCGGGATTGTCGAGTGACACACTGGTCGCGCCGGCGCCAGGTGCGTCAGCACGAGGTCCAGGATCGTAGGTCGACGTGGTATCGTGCGCGAGCGCCAATGGTCGCCTCCTCTGACGAACGGGCCGTCTTGGAATATCTCAGAGACATAGACGCCGTCTGAGAAAGTTGTCACCCTGTGGGTCGGCCGGCTGGTAGGTCCAAACGCTGCTTGGATCAAGTCGTGAAAGCGGCAGGGCGAGGATTGGAGGTACGGGGCCGCATCGTTGACGCATCTCGCGTTACCGCCGGCGCGAGCTAGAGGGTCTGGCCGCGTCCTCACCGGCGATGGCGCCGATGGCGGCGAAGGTGGAATCGACGGAGGCAGCGACGACGCAGGCGCCGGGGAGAGTGGCTGCGAGAGCGACGCGTGCGAGAGTGGCGACGGCGAGGACGGCAAGGGCAGCGATCGGAGGGCGACGGCGGCGAAATCGCTCGCCGCCTCAAGGTAGCCGTCGCCGCCGGGCGCGTATCGCTCCTCTACCGCGCGGCGATGGCGTAGAAGGAGCCTGCCGGCGGAGCGAGCAGCACCCCGGAAGAGGCGCGAGAGGTGGACAGCCCTCGTCATGTGCTGGTCGATCGCGTACACGGCCGACTCCAGTTGGGAAAGTCCGAAAGAAGAGGATCGTCTTCACATAGCACGAAAAGCCAATCGGCGCACGGCTCGTACAGCGTGGAGCACGGCGTGCGGCTCGAGCAGTCGTCCGAAATACGCCACCACCGCCCGAGGCGCCAACATACCCGGTTCTGCTTGAGCCTGGGATCCCATCGGCCACTTCGAGACCGCGGCGGTGCGTGCCCGAGAGATCGAGGATGGAGCGCGCGTCGCCACTCGCGACGCGCGCGCGCGAGGCGGCGAGGCGCGAGGCGGCGGCGGCGGTGGCGGCGGCGAGAACGGCGGCACCGAGTTCGTCTCGGTGAGCGGAGCGGCGGCGGGAGGAGGAGCAGCGGCGGCGCTCTCGCTGTTGAGCGCGCTGTTTTGAGCCTGGGATCCCATGTCACTGCGACCGGCGTGCCCGGGGACGGAGATCGCGCGCGCGCCGCATTCACGACGCGCGCGCGATCTTCGCGGAGTCGGGTCCCCAGAGGGAAGCGGTCTTTTCGGCCGACGTCCAGCGGCGTGCAAGGAAGCAGGCGCAGCGCCGGCGGTGTCGCGCTGCATGGGCCAGCAGGGTGCAGTGGCGAGGGGCGGCGGGCTCGGACGTCCACCGAGTCGCTCCGCGCGCCAGGCGGAGCGCGCGCGCGGGCCAGGAAGCTCTCAGCAGGCTGAAGAGGACATCTGCGCTTATTGCGGGGCGGGCGGGACTCGACTTTGTATTCGCCACACGCCTTCCTACCGGTAAACCGGGGAAGGTATTCTTTCAATCTGCCTACCTAGGTACCTGGGTACTCGAGATACTCGCGATGCGCGCACAGTCGCTCGAGGCGCGAAAAGTGGTGGTCTCAACTCCGTGCTAGTCGAAGGACAATGACGATCGCACGCCTTGCTATCCTTCTCCTCGCGGCCAGCTTTATGCCGACCGCTGCGCTCTTGCCACCACGCATTGTCATGGCAGCGCCCTCTTCCCTGAGGCCTCCGCGTCTCGCCACCCTGCGACGCGCTCGGGTGCAGATGCTGTCGCCCTCGGCTGGATCACTCGCGGCCGCGTCGATGTTGCCAGCGCTGCTCGGCTTCTGGAAATCCGAGTACGGTGTCAGCTACGCGTACGGCACTGCGACGTTTCTTTCCGGAATACTTGTACTGCCATCTGCAACCACGCGCATCGCGACAGCGCATGCAGCCTGCCTTGCGCTGTACGGGCTGAGGCTGAACGCCTTTCTGCTGTACCGTGAGCTGAGTATCGCCCGCTTCCGTGAGTTCCGCGACAAGATCGAGGCGCGCGCGCTCGAGAAGGGCGGCCGCCTCAGCAGGGCTCCCTTCATCGCCTCGTGCGGCCTCCTCTACCTCGGGCTCGCCGCGCCGCTGATGCTCACCGCGCCCGCCTCCGCCCCTCCCGCCCTCGCCGGGGCCCTCGTCTGCCTGATGTACGCCGGCTGGCTCACCGCGGCGGCCGGCGACGCGTGGAAATCTGTGGTCAAGGCTCGCAAGGGCGAGGACGCCCTCGTGACCGGTGGCCCGTTCCGCCACCTGCGACACCCAAACTTCAGCGGCGAGATGCTGCTCTGGGGTGCGAGCGCCGCCGCCGGCGCCGCCACCGCTGCCACGAATTTCGACGGCCGCGGCGTGCTCGCTGCGTGCGGCTGGCTCTCGCTGAGTGCGCTCGGCTGGGCAGGCATCAGCTTTGTCCTCGCACAGGCCGCCACCAGCCTCGAGAAGCGGCAGGCGGCGCTGCAGCCCTCCCGCGCCGCGCCGCAACCCTCGCGCCGCGCCGCCTCACGCACTGCCGAGACCGCCGCAGGCGCAAAAGTACGCGGGGACGCCGGGCTTCACAGAGTGGCGGCGAGGCGCTTGGCCGGGCATCACGCTCCCGCAAAAGCAGTGGCCTGCTGTCGGCGGCAGCGCGGGCCCGCACCGCATGGCCGGCCGCTGGCCGCCGCCAAGCCGAGCCCGTTAGCTGCTCGTGCTGGCGCGGCGCTTGTACTGGATGAGACAGATACGATTGTTTTTACCTAAGCTTTTACGATTGTCTGTATTTTTCAGGCCGCGGCGTCTGCGCACAACTGCAGTCTGCACGGGCGGTGCGCGTGTGGAGAGAAGCGAACGCGAGAGCGGCAGCGGGAGCCGAAAATGAGTACAGCTAGGGTAAGGCTAACTACTTGGCAGTGTAGGGTGCCTTCCGGCGTGAACAGTGCCCCGGGACGAAAGAGGAGGCGACGTCTCTCTCGTCCGAGCGGGGCCTCGATGTGCGCATCGACGGGGTGCAACCACAACCAGCTTTGAGAGACGGGAACGAACGGCGGTGAATCGCCGACAGCGGCGCCTTTGTTCCTGACCAGTCTGCTATTGAGCTTGAGTTGGAGGTGTTGACTGGATTTTATGCACAAATCTGTGTGTCGTCTTGTTGTTTTGACAGTATCCTGCTAAAATGCGCTAAAAATCTCCGTCTCTGCGAGCGCAAGGCGGTGGCAAATTTTTCTTCGCCTCCGGCGGGGCCGCTCGCCGCGGGGCAGAGAGGGACTTTTTGTCGATGTCGGCTAGTGCTGCACCTTTTTGAGAATTTCAAAACACGAATAAATAAATCAACACATACGCACCCGGCGACCAAGCAACAACACCGCTCACAAAAAACTCTACAGTCTTGCGAGCCGATCGCACGCCTTCTCGATCGCCTTGAGCAGCGCCGGTGAGGCCCTCCTCACGCCGTCCGCAGCCTTGATTGCGTCCTCGAGCTCCTCCACCGTCAACGCCGACGAGAGGGCTTGTATCGCCTGCTGCTCGACGGCAGCCTTGCCCGGCTTCTCCTTGCGGCCGCCGCCACCGCCTCTCCTCCCCTTCGGCCTCTCCCCTGCCTCCGCCTCGCCGCCGCCCTCCTCGTCGGCCCGATTGCGAGCAGCATCAAGGGCCACGCCCGCCTCCGCCGCCACTCCCGCCTCCGCCTCCGCCTGCGCCTCCGCCGCCGCGCCCGACCCTGCCGCCTCTGCGGCCGCCTCTGCTGCCGCCTCTGCCGCCGCCGCCTTCTCCGCCGCCTCGCCCAGCGCGTCCAGCCTCGCCTCTGCCCTCGCAAGCAGCGCCCTCACCTCGTCCCACTCGGCGGCGCCGTCGCGCGCGTGCGACACCGCGCGCCTGTGGACATGTCTCAGACATGTCATGCGCGTGTCCGTGGACGCCCCGGACATGCCGAACACGTGCGACACCGCGCGCCTCGCCGCGTCCGCCCTCGCCTTGAGCGCGCTGAAGCGGAGCAGCAGCTCGTCCAGCGGCACGGAGAGCTCGACCGGCCCCGAGAGGTGCGTGCGGAGCGCCGCCGTCACTCTCTCCCGCCGCGCGGTCTGCTCAGCCATCCACTTCTGCTCGCGCCTCCGCTCGGCCTCCGCCTCCGCCACTCGCTGATGCGCCGTCCGCGCGGCCTCCTCCTTGGCGCGCGCCTGCTCGCAGCGGCAGGATGTGAAGAGACGCCGAAGCGCAGAGGCGGCCTCCGCCCTCCCTCGCCTGCGCCGCCGCCATCTGCTTGGCCGCTTCCTCCTTCCGCCTCTCACGCGCCCTTGCACGCTCCGCAAAGATCTCTTCGCGGCGGCGCTCCGCGGCGCACGCAGCGCACTTGCAGTCGGCGCGGTGCTGCGGAGGCGGCTCAAAGTCCCAGGCGCGGCCGCCGCCTCTGTTCGGGGGCGGCGGGCCAGCGTACCAGCGCCGGAAGAGGTCCTCCCAGGACGAAGCAAAGTGGTCGGCGCCGGTTGCAGAGTCGGCGGTGTCCTCGTCCGATTCATCCGCGTTTGCGCCCCACCGGCGAGGGTTGTCGTGGTACTGCTGCAGCCGGTCCCACGCCTCGCCGATCGACTGAAACTTTGAGGTGGCGCTCGGGTCGCCAGGGTTGCGGTCTGGGTGATGGCGCAGAGCGCACTTGCGGTAGGCCTTCTGGGCGTCCTCGCGCGAAGCGGAGGGCGGCACGCCGAGCAGGTCGCAGGCGTCGGCCAGGCGCATATACATTGCAATGCTGGAACGCGCGCGCGGGCCGCACCCCCACACCGGTATCCCGCCGCCTCCCTCGCGGCCGGCGGGCCGGGCGCGACGTGGTTTTTTTCTTTTTCGCTTCCTCTCACCCCTGGTGTTTCCTTTTCTCTTTGGCTGTGTCGTGGACACACTTCTTTCTTTGAGTATTTATCCGTGCGGGACGACTGAGGACGGGTGCGGCGCGCTGTGGGACAGCGTCCAGGGCCGCGGACCGCGTTTGGGGAGTGAGCGCGGCGCTATCCACGAGAGTGCCTCGGCCGGCGTATGCTCCCCGTGAGGTACAGCCACGCTGACGGAGTCTGGCATAGCTCGTGGCCTCCCTCGGCCCCGCTCTGGCCCGACGCCTCCGGGTCGCTGCTGCTCGCCTTGCTCTCCCTCTCCCCCGCGGCGAGCGGCTCGTGCTCGTGCTCGCTCGCCCTGCTGCTCATGCTCGAGAGGAGCTCTCGGGCAATGTCGGCGGAGCTCTGGTCCTGGCGCGGGCGCACCGCAGCGTCGCCCGCCTTGCCGTGGTACTCGCACACGATGGCGGCGAGGAGGAGCAGCCCGCCCGCCGCGTACTTCTCCGTCCATGGCTTTGGGAAGAGGAGGAAGGAGATGACGACCGTGAGCGCCTTGCGCATGGTGGTGACAAACACGGCGGCGACCGCGCCGCTGTCCTGCATGAGCCGCGTGTAGAGCAGCGCGCCCAGGTAGAAGAGTACGCAGCGCAGCAGCAGCAGCGCCCAGTACACCCAGCTGCGCGAGAAGAACGCGACGGCGGGCAGCAGCTCGCCCGTGTAGAGGGTGAGCAGCAGCGTCACGAGGAAGCCCCACCCGTTGGAGAGCGTCATCGTCTCGTGGACGGTCGCGCCGTGGTCTCGCAGCAGCCGGTCGGTGCTCGTGTTCTGCAGTGCCTGTGCAAAGAGGCAGAGGAACGAGAGCAGGATCCCCGTCGGGCTGAACTCAGTCTCCACCTCGCGCTCGCCGAGGCCAAAGAGCGACGCGGACGCGACCATCAGCAACGCGGCGGACAGCTGGCACGCGTTGTACCGCCGCTGTAGCCAGCAAACGGAGAGCGCCATCACGGGCAGCAGCTTCATCGACTTGAGCACCGTCCCGGTTGCATAGTTGAGGTGCTTGAACGCCAGCTTGCCGAGCCCGGTGCCGGCGGCGAGGCTGCAGCCAGAGACCGCGTAGAGGCGCATCGGCCCGCTTGGATGCATCGACGGCATCGACAGCACGGACCTGCCCTGCTCGCTCGCAGAAGAGGCGTGACCGAGCACGGTGAAGAGGAGCAGCTCGATCAGCGCCACAAACCAAAAGTAGTGGAACCCGTGCAGCTGCTTGAAGATCCACTCCTCGATGATGCAGCTGAGCTGGATGAGGCAGATGGTGCCGGTGGCGAGGAGGAAATAGCGCCGGTCGCAGGCAGGCATACACACGAAGTGGTGCGGCCCGCGAATGCGCTGGTGCACGTAGAACTTGAACGGGCCTTGCGCGAGGGAAAAAATACCAGACCGTTTTGAGTAGCGGAAAAGCCGCCGGTGGCATCTCTTTCCACCCAAGAAGCCCGTTTGGAGGGATGGGCGGCAGTGTGTGCGGGCGGTGTGAAGTGCTAGAGTCCTCTCATCAATTTAGAACGAAACGCCCCTCCCTCCTTCCCTCTATCCCTTTTGCTCTCTAACCTAGACACAGACAGACTGTTCACCAACCAATCCTCTACCCCTCCCTCTCTCCCCATCCTAGACTCCCTCCACGCGTCCGATCTGGCCAAGCCCGCTGCGGCAAACATACTCGCGCGGGAGCATTTCACTCTAGCTGAGGGGGGCTCGCTAAACGCTCGCCGAGCTCCATGCTGTGCAACACCACCTCCTCACTAATCGTCAGGGGCGCGGAGAGCGCAGTGCACTGCGGTGAGGCTGCGCAGCGGGGGCTCGCCCCCTGCACCGCGCTCAGCGGCGCAGGGGAGGGCGGTCGGTGGCGGCGGCGGCGAGGCGCGAGGCGGTGGCGGCGGTGGTGCGGGCGGCGGGATGACAGGGGAGGCGGCGGGATTGACAGGGGAGGCGGCGGCCACGAGCGGAGCGGCGCGAGAAGGGGGGGGGCGGCGGCGAGGCGCCGGTGAGCGAGGCGCCCGCGCCACATAGAGTATCAGAGGGACGCGCCGCTGCGAGATGGAGGGCGGCGGTGACGGAGGCGAGGCGCGAGGCGGCGGCGGCGGCGGCGGCGGCGGCGGCGGCGAGAACGGCGGCACCGAGTCTCGGTGAGCGGCGGCGGGAGGAGGAGCAGCGGCGGCGCTCGCTCGCTGTTGACGGGATTGCTTTTGAGCCTGGGAGCCCATGCCACTGCGACCGGCGTGCCCGGGAACGGAGATCGCGCGCGCGCCGCCACTCACGACGCGCGCGCGATCTTCGCGGAGTCGGGTCCCCAGAGGGAAGCGGTCTTCTCGGCCGACGTCCAGCGGCGCGCAAGGAAGCAGGCGCAGCGGAGGCGGCCTAGCACCGGCTCGGCGCCGGGCGGTTGCGCTGCCCGCGAGCCGCGTCCTGAGCCTCGGCAGCGCGCTGCGCGGCGCGGCGCTCGCGTTGCTTCTGTGCCGAGAGCGGCATGATTCGCCAGCTGAAGCTCGAGACTCCTCGGGTCCGCGAGTTGCGCAGGTCACAATTTGCGCGTTGAGCGAAATTGGCGTAAGCGTCTGAAAGCAGTCTTGGGTGGTTACGCGAGCCCTTGTCCCTGCGAACGCGCACCCCCGGGGCTAGGGCTCTCTAGCCCGTAACCCGATACCGATCATCCGGCCCGCTGGGTGCGCTTCTGAGCTCCCCGGCCCTGGATGTGAGGTTACCGACTGCACTCCAAGACCAAGTGCTCCAAGTGCTTCTCTCTGTTTGTCTGTTTGTCCCATCCCTCCCTTGGGTTGTCTGTTTTCTCTTTTCTCTTTTTTCTCTGGTGCTCTGCTTTCTTTCTTTCTTTCTGGCTTCTGCCTGTGCATGCCTTCTCTCTGCCACGGGAGAGAAAAGCCACGGAGCACGGTGAGCCACCCGCGCTAGGTCTCGGGGGACGCAGGGGTCAGCCCCGCGCGACCTCGGGAACTAGCCGGGGCAGAGGCCACTTCTTCAGGCTGGGAACCGAGGGGTGGCCACCCTCCTCGTCGAGGTGTGCGCCAAACCACTTCGGCGGCGCGCGCTCCCCTGTGCGTCTGTGTCACCCTCCAGGCCCTCACGCCCCCCCGGCATGTCCACCGGCAAGGAGGCTTCCGTGCCGAGTGACGCGGCGGCCACGGACAGACCCAACGGCAGCGTCGGCGCCGCCTGCCAAGCGGCCGCGCGACAGCGAGGGTAGTCACCAATTAAAGGTGGGACGGAAGAGGCACACGACGGTGCCATCGCGGGCCTTCTACACCGCCCGCCGCCGGCCCAGGCGCGGAGCGTTACGGCGGACCTGCTTCAAACCCCAAGACGGAGGCGCTGAGCGAGAATCTGGGCTGCGCGCACGCGCATGGCTGCTGCGAGAGCTCGGAGGCGGAGCTTGCTCGACGAGAGCTGCTCGAGCTCATCACTGCGCCCGACGCTGACGTTGGTGGCGCGATCAAGCTTTTATTTTCTCAGCCTCGCACCTCTTCTTCCCGTCGCACGCGGGCTGTCGCAGGGCACTTGGAATATGACTCGGGCGAGGATGCGTCAGCACGAGTACTATTTCATCGTGCAGCGCAGGCTGGCTCGCCACTACTGTTGGCTGGAGCTCCTCTCCCGCCCGACGTCGGTGATGGCGCATGACACGCGATCACTGTACGCATCGTGCTTCCTGTGTGTGTCTCCCCCCTCCCCGCCGCAGAGCCGCTGCTGGGTGTCGGCCGCGCATCTCCTCACGTCCCGCGCCTGTCCTTTACGGCATTTGTGTGGCCCGTTTTCTGTGCATCGTTAGAAGCTGCGCAGGCCTCCCCGGTTACAATCGCCGCGCGCACACGACACGCGACAGCCGACACCTCGACAGGAGAGAGTTTGACGTTCTTCTCGTGAGACTTGACTTCAGACGATATGCGAGACAGATATATCTCAGAGTGAGAGGACAGCCTGAGCCTCGGAGGAGAGACGCAGCTCGCAGGTACAGGCGTGACAGACAGTGCACTCTCACACACGAGACACACTGATGGAAAGGGCGGAGCGGCGGCGGCGACGGCGGCAGCGGTGCGCGGGCGGAGCAGCGACTGCCCGGGCGGTCGCTGCTCCGTCGGTCCGTGCCGGAGCGCGCCATCTGCGCAGGGTCGCGCGTCAGGCCAGGGGGCAAGGCGCAAGCGTCCCCCTGGTGGCGGCGCAGGGAAACGCGGAGACGCGAGCGTTTCGCACGCCGCGAAGCGGACGGTGACGGCGCGGTGGGTGACGGGGCTAGAGAGCAGCCAACACCCGACGCTCGCAAACGACGTCGGTGCTGGACGCCTGCGTAGGGGCCGCGGCAAGGCGGAGCTGGCTGGGGCACCAAGCGCCGGCGGGGAGCTCCCGGACTCATGTGTGCGAGCGCATGCCCTCCCACCTAATCACCGCTGCATAGTATGGCTTCCGAGGCTGAACCGCTCCGCAACGGTTGGTAGCTCGACCTGCACATTGACAAAGTGCGTTTACCTGTCAGTCGTCGACGTCGCGTGCGAGATCCAATATCGCCGATCGATAGCAATCTGAGAGGATAGGGATCCGTGTCAGCATGCCGTAGCCGAGGAGTGCCGCGCTTGGGGGTTGGGGCGCGCGCATTGGCTTCACATTCGGTCTCAGCGCTCGGGCCGGCGCCGGGGGTCATGGGGCGACACTCGGTCACGCTCCGGCGCTTCGGGGGGGCTACAGCGGGCAGTGCGCGAAACCACTTCGCATGGCCACCCGCGACCCCACTTTGGCCGGCGAGCGCACTTGCTCGGTTCCCAGCCTGAAAATGTCACCTCGGGCAGTCGGAGAAGGGGCAACTCCGTGCACTGACGGTCGGCCGTCAGAAACCACGCCTGCGTGGATCGCGTCACACCAATCCTCGCTACCCAACGGCAACGCGGCCAAAGGATGTATATCCACCTCGAGAACCTCGAGAACCACGGTGAGCACATTTTCTTTCTCTGCCGTGCCGCTTAGGCATTAGCCCTTACAAGGGTACTTCGTACATAGCCGGTCGGTTGCTCGCCTTCTTTCTGCTTACTTCCCACCTCACAAGATGGGCAGCGCCTGGCGAGGTACTTCCAGCCTGCTGTGGGAACAGCTGACGCAGTCTCGCCGAGGCTCGCCCCAGCAGGCTCGCCGAGGCTCTCGGGTTGACTCGGCCAGACAAAAACCCCGAGAGGCGTGGGAGTACCTCGCCAGGGCAGCGCGACAATGATTTTTCAGGGTCGCCGGTCCGACGAACAAACACACACACAGGGTTGCCGCGACGGGCGCTCACGAGGTCCACACGTATGTGGCTCGCGCGACAGCTCTCCCTGTCCGGAAGCGACCTCGAGCTGCCCCTCCGTAGCAGCGAGATCCAAAGCAGTGAAATCCAGCTCTTCCTTCTCTACCACAGCTGCCAGAGCGCCCGCCGCATGCAAGTGGATCGCCTCGCCTCAAAGCTGTTCAAAGTCCACACCGTCGGCTTGAGTGCAGGCCTGGCGCCCGACTGCACAGCCCGATTGCCGAGCAACCTCACCATTGCGGACCTTGCCCCCTTCTATCGCACCTCGCTCGGGCAGCAGTATCTCTCGCTCCTCGCCGAGAACGCTGCCATCATCGCGCTGGGCTTGCGCATAACCACACTGCTCTCACCAAGCTGCAGAGGGAGAAGATGCTGGGTGGGCTCTGCGTCGTGGAAGGTGGTCGCGGACTCTACCAAGCTGTTTGACCCTGCCTGCCAGAACCTCGAGTCGATTGCGCGCCGGCTGAGGCCAGCAGAGCTCGAGCAGCTTCCAGAGCGCGCCACACTCTACTGGTGGGGAGAGAGGCAGCTCGTGCGGTGGAAGTCGGATGTTTCACGACACGCGCGACGGACGGACCGTGAGCTACACAAATCGACCATCTTGCAGCCATTCTTCGAGTGGCTCGGCGTCAGCTATGAGGCGGCCGCAGCCTCTATCCGCGCAGACGGGCCTCCTCTTCCGTGGGCAAACTGGTGGCTGGCGCCACCTGACGTGGCTGCAGACCTGGCCAAGCTCCACCTGCTGCTGTACTCCTGGCTCGAGGCCCGCTGGCCGATGCGGGAGGTTGGCTGCAACGGGACCGTCTGGCGGGACAACCCGCAACGCTGCTGGGCTTACGCGGGTGAAGAGCTGACACTGCTCTTCCTCGTTTCCGAGACCAACCTGCACCACCTCCGCTGCGCGGGCCCGCCGGCGCCGTTCCACAGCAGCTCCACTTGGCTCGGCGGCTCCCCGGGTACGCTCACGGAGCGAGTTAGGGAAAGATGGTTGACTCTAAATGACAATTGAGTCTTTGTATCAGGATATTCACGTGGTGTGCGTTTGGTCTGGGCAATCCGTCGCCTTCGTCAAGCGTTTCCTTCCGCTGCACTAAATTCTCGGGCTGATTCTTCTGTGTGTTGAATATGCGCGCCTCCCTCCCAAGTTTATGCGCGCGCGTGTGGTGCCTGGGCAGCCCCCGGTTTCTCTTCCTCGGTGGTTCTCGCGACCGCAACATTGGCTGTATCCGGATATTCGCGTGGTGTGCGTTTGGTCTGGGCAATCCGTCGCCTTCGTCAAGCGTTTCCTTCCGCTGCACTAAGTTCACTTGGCGAACTTGGATGTCTTTCAAATTCTTGTGTTGAATATGCGCGCGTCCCAAGTTTATGCGCGCGTGGTGCCTGGCCCCCTTTCTTCTCGCGACCGCAACATTGGCTTGGATCGCCTTCAAACGCCCACGCGCGCCTGTAATTTTGCCACAGGCAAAGAGCTGCTTGCAAGCCATTCGGAGAGACCTGGCTGGTGCCGCCGTTGCTGTGGTAATAACAATAAGTCCGCACTCTCGGAGCAGTGGTGACCGCCGCTCACTCACACAGCTAGTCTCGGCACTGTCAGCGAGGCTTAGTGTGCGCGCCCTGATCGATGCGAAGGGTGGAAAGTGCAGTGAGCTGCCGCAGACACTCCTGAACTGGTTGGCAACGAGCCGTGCGCATTGCGTCCAGGGGCCAAACCAAGGCGCGCGTGAGTCGCACTCCATCCTGCGCTTCTGCCTTACGTTCTACGACCATCTCCCTTCAGTTGTGCTCTTTGTTCAGGACGATCCCAGCATTCCAATGCTCAACAAGGTCGGCCTGCTCGCTGATGTCGACGCGTGGGCCGCCAGGTTCCGGCTGGAGAGTGATGAGCGACGGCTGCAGCAGCATGGCACACCACAGCGGCCATGGGCAGTGAGGTCTCCCGAGGCATGTCCCTGCTGGGTTGAGGATGAGAGCACAAGTTCCGTGGTGAAAAAGCTCACCAATGACTCGGCGGCGTACGGCCACGCGCGCTCTCTTCACTGGTGGTTGCGAACATTTCTCGCCCTCCCTACAATCCCCTCGACGATCCCGTGGCCGCAGCATGCGGAATTCGCAGTGACGCGGGAGGCCATACGCGGTCGCTCAAGGCGCTTCTATGCCATGAACCTTGCACTCGCCTCGCTGCCGTCGCCACCGACCACGGCGACGCCCGATCCGGGCCCCGCACCGGACGGGAGAGAGTGCCTCGCGTGGCGGTGCCATGCATTCCACTTGCCGGACTCGGTGCGCGAGGCACACATGCGCAAATACGGGTGCAACGGGAGCAACACTGGGCCATGCGTTCAGACATGGCGGCAGCGCGCCGCAAAATGGAGCAATTTTGGGCCCTACATCGTCGACTTGGGGCCCCGGAGCGCCAAGGCTGTCGATCAGCGGCCGGCGCTGCACTCGAACGACGTCGGCGGCATGTTTGAGCGTCTCTGGTTTGCCATGTTTGACTCGACTGTCGCCGAAAGGCTACCTCAGAGCCCAGAGTCCCTGTGCTTCTCCGAGGCTGCGCTCCTGGAGGGGGTCGTTCGCTGCGGCGCCAATTGCGTGCACGGCATCTCAGCTCCGGGCTGCGCCTTCACAGATCGGTTGGGGCTGACTCGCCCGCCTTCAGACGCCTTGACTGGCCACGAGGTCACCCGCTGTCTCGCGGCCGGCTGCATGGATGTAGAGGCGCATCTGAATGCGAGCGCAGGCGGGGCGGCGGTGTCGCGGCGCGAGTTGGCGAGGGCCATCAATGCCGTCGACGCCGAGGGCGACGAGGTTGAGCAGGGCTCCTGGATGGAGGCGGACAGCTCGCATCCCGTTCGCCTGAAAAGCGAGGATGTGTGCCGTACGGCTGGCTGCCGAGCGAGCGGTGTGCAACGCGCAGTGTGGAGGTCGGCCACATGTCGCGGGTGGACGACAGGGGGCGCGCCCACACGCCTGCCTGATGAGTGAAGCTGCGACTTGCGTCCGAGATGTGTGTGAGCCGCCCGCGTGTGCGGTGTGATCAAGAAGGTCTTATGTGCATGCGCGCCCCCTCTGTACATACACGCACCGCACGTCGTACATTGGCATACCATTGCATATATGTGCACATCGGCGCCGCGGCGGCTCACATTGAAGTCTGACCGACGCGTGACGGTGACTCGAAGAGTGTCTATTATAAGAGTGTGTGCGGCCCCCCGGGTGACGCAGCCTTCGCAGGCTCTCCGTGACTCTCCGTGACATCTCTCCTCTCTGAGCTCTGACCGACTGACCCCTCTTCCTCTGGTCCCGCTCTGACGTCTGTCTGAGAGGATTATTGAGGACTGAGGTGGTCTGTAGTCTGAGCCCGCATCGACCATCGTCGGAGCGGGGGAAAGCGGTGGCCGGTGGCGCACATACCGGGTAACAACTAATCGTCTTGCTACCAATAAAAAATAAACCCGCTCGCTGTTGATCGATGTGCACCCCCGCGTTCCCACACACGGCTCGCGCGCAGGCCGCGCGCAGGCGTGGACCAGGGTCGGTGTACGGTGATCATGGCAAGGGTCGACGCACCTCTCCCCGCGGCCGCGCTGCCGCTGGACAGATGGACAGTGCAGTGGACTGGGCGCGCGGAAGAAATCCCACTTTATCCAGGAATCACACACAAAAACCGTACGTAAAACCCCAGACGAACTACACAGTCTCCCGATGACACTCGTCACGTTCTTACGTCGGACTTGGGCCCAGCCTCTGCGGCTGCTGGGACCCCCGGGGTGGCGGCGACCACCGCAGGGTCGGGTCTGGGCGCCGCCGCGGGCCCAACGTCAGCAGTGGGAGGATTCGTGGCGGGCGCCGCTGCGCCTTTTGCCACCTGCGCCGCAGCCCTGTCAAAAGCATCGCCCTCGGCCGATCCTCCGCCGCCGCCGCCGCCGTTGCCAGCGAGGAGCCGCTTGAGGTCCTCCGGCTTGAACTCATCATCGGGCGGCGCCTCGCCGCCGTCTCCGCCAAACCATGACGCCCACGCCTTTTGTGCGAGCGGCGCGCCTACAGCCGCCGGATAGGGAGCGTGAGAGGGCAGCGGGCCCTGTGCCCACCGCCCGACAGCGGGCGGCGACGTGCCCTTGCGTAGGGCGACGGACGCGACCGACGCGATGTTGCCCAGCCCCGCCTCTGCGATCTTCTCGGCCGCCTGCGCCGCCTTCTGGCCAGCCTTCTCGGCGAGCTCGCCCGAGGGGAAGTCGCCGTCGCGGTCCGACACGAACGCGTCCACAAAATCGTCCGGCACGTGGTCGCTGGCAAATATCCTCTGGGCCTGTGCGGTCACGGACGTGTCACAGACGCGTCCACCGACACCTGCCGCGGCGAGTGCACGAAGTGCGTAGAAAGGCGGCAGCACGGCGGCGCGCTCGGTAAAATCGCGCAACTGGCCCAGCAATGCGTCTCGCTCCTCGCGGAGAGCGCGCTGCCCCTCCGCCGAAACCTCGACGGCGGCGACGTACTCGTCCACCGCCTTGCCCACCGCCTCCCGCCGGGCCAGCTCCTCCGCCACGCGCGCCGCCTCGGCCTCCTGCTTGGCCGCCGCCAGCTGCTCGCGCAACGCGGCGGCGGCCGCAGTGGCCGCCTCGAGCGCGCCTCGCGCCTCCGCCTCTCGCGCGGCGGCCTGTGCCGCGCGCTCCGCCGCGCTGCGCTCCGATGCGAGGTGCTCTGCCACCTGAGGCGCACTAATTAAAGTTAACATTCAATTAACGTGCTCTGCCACCTGAGGCGCATTAATTAAAGTTAGAATTCAATTAACGTGCTCTGCCACCTTAGGGGCGCCACTCGCAGAGGGCCTCGTCAGTCTACAGGGGCCCTCCTCTTGCAGCCCTCCTCTTCCAAGAGACTACCCGGCCCTCCGCTTCCACACACACACACACCCGGCCGCGCGCCTTGTCTCTGAGCCGCTGCTCCGAACCCCGCGCCTCGGCCAGCGCCTCGGCGCCGCGCAACGCCTCGCGCTCGGCCGAAGCGCGCTCGACGGCGCGCAGCTCCGCGCCGGCTGCCTCCTTGGCCGCGAAACGCTCCTCCGCCTGCCGCAACCGCTCCGCGCCGGCGGCCGCCTCGCGGCTCCCTTCCGCGCGCGCAGCCTCGAGCCTCTCCCGCGCCATCTCCAGCTCGTGTGCGCGCCTACAGCGCCGAGCAGACGCGCGCAGTCACTCTTGCCCCACACCGCACGCGAGCGCCGCGCAAAGCCACGCGCCCAGTCAGCTCGCGCTCCGCCGCAGCCGCCGCCGCCGCCCGCTCGGCCGCCGCTGCCGCACCCGCGCGGGCGAGCCACGGCAGCAGGTGGTTGCGTGCGGCGATGGTGGTGGTGAAGGCGGCACATGGCCCGTCCGCGGCGGCTTCAGCGCCGTCCAGCATCGCCGTCGCCGCCGCCGCAGCGTCCGTGTCGCCGGAAGCGGCCGGCAGCGCCGCCGCCGCAGCGTCGGCGGCACGCGTGGCGCTCTCGAGCGAGGCGCGCCACGCCTCGCGCCGCGCCCGCGCCGCCTCCTCGCACAAGTCGGACTGGAGCTCGGTGCGGGCCGCCGCCGCCGCCGCGCCGCCCACGGCGCGCGCGTCGAACTCCTCCAGACCGGCGACGATGGCGGCGCACGCGCCGTCCGCCCACTCGCCCGCGTCGGGCGGTGGGGTGGACGAGGCGACGTCGGCGAGCCGCCGCCGCGCGGCGGCGAGCGCGCCGTCGGCGGCGGCGCGGCACCTCTCCTCCACCACCGACTCCCACGCGCCCCTGATCGAAGGCACCACTCCTTCGGTGTTCATCGCCGCCGTGTACTGCCGCGCGAGCGCCACCAGCATGCTCCCGTCGAGCGGCTCGCCGAGCAGCGCCTTGGGCGGCGCCGTGCCGAGGATGCGCTGCTTGAGCGCGCTCATCCCCTCGACGAACTGCGGCCGCAGCTGCGACGCCTCGAGGCCGATCGCGCGGCGCACGTCCGCCTCCTCCGCCGCCGGCCGCACCTGCTCACAGCTGCGCGCGTGAAGGGACGCGCTCCACAGCCCGCCCGCCGCCTCAACCTGCCGCGCCAGAGTCGCGCACGAGCGGCTCGGGAAGAGGTCGCGGATCGCAGCGCGCGTCTCGTTCCGCTCGGCTGCGCGCCGCGCTGTCGACGGGCGGGGCTCCAGCGCCCGCTCCATGTAGGCGTCCGGCGCGAGAGGCTGCCCGTCCGCATCGCGCATGTCGACCACAAAGTCGCGCAGCAGCCAGAGGAAGGGAGGGAAGAAGGAGGCGAGCTCCGCCGCCCCGCCGCCGCCGCCGGCTGGCCCCTCTGCGGCGGCCGCCGAGACGGAGATGTGCTTCGAGAGCTCGCCGATCAGGTAGAGCCGGTCGACGGCCGCTTCGTCGATGACGCCCATCGAGTTGAGCACGAAGTAGCTCGAGAGCAGCAGCGAGAGCGCAAAGACCTGCGCGTCGTACGCCTCGTCCTGCTCCATCGACGCGAGGCCCTCTGTATCGAGCAGCACGAGAGAGCCGCGCCTGCACTGGCCTGCGTCGCCGTCGGGCACGCACACGTCGATGCCGCGCGTGCACGACTCGGTCGTCGAGCCGACGCGGAAGCCCGCCTTCGCGCGCGCCGCCGTGTTGCCGGCCAGGGTGTTCAGGAAGAAGCTCTTTCCGGTCCGGTAGAGCCCGGCGACAGCGACGACAACGATTGGGGCCTCAATCCGCTGCAGCAGCTGCGCGCCCTCCGGCTGGATCTCCCACTTGCCCGCCTCGCCGAGTCGGACGAAGGGCGCGGCGCTCGCGCTACCGCCGCTCATGTTTAGGCTGGATCGCAGGCTCGGGGGGGCGCCAGGCGCGCGGTGCACCGAATTTTCTTTTGACCTCTTCTTTTGACGGCCTCTTTTTTGTGGTGCTAGTCCGTGCCAGTCTGCTGTGAGAGGCGCTTGTTTTTTAAGAATCTTTTGACCGACAAGACTGGAGCACTGGATAGGGTCGATTCCGCATGGTACGTCAACCTTTCACAGCCTTGTTAGAGAGAGAGAGATTTTCAATACCAAACAACTCTAACACTCACACGTCATTTTTTGGTTTGTTTGCCTTGTTATGAGAAGAAAACACGTCCTATGGCGCTTCACACGCACACACGGCACACAGCTCAACAACAACTCGGGTATTGCTAAAAATCTCTCACAGCTCACAGGGGTCACAGCACACAGGTAGCTGCCATTTTTTGTTGTAGCTATGAACGGTCAAAAGGTTCCCTGTACTTCTACGTTTACGGTCTGGGACCACTTTTGTTTTCACCAAGAGCAAGACGAGGCATATATTAGACCGACCGTCAGAGACTGAGAGAACAAAGGAGTGTGGCCTGCCGCACAGTACCCACAGGCGGTGGCAGCAGATGGGCGGGCCGCAGGGCTCCCGCCAGCAACGCGTTCCGCTAAGGAGCCGCGGCCGACGGCTGCGGTCGCTGGATCATATTCCTGACGGCGGCGACGGCCTTATCCACCCAGCGCAGCACATACCGGTCGAGGGCTGCGCGCGACTGGGCGAAAGAGGCCAGCTGCAGCGCCGTCCTCGGCCCCTCGTAGCCGGACGCCTTCCCCCTGGCCATGAACTTCACGGTCGGGTACCCCTTGATGCCGAGGGCGCGGGCAACCTCGGGTGCACGATCGCAGTCCACGGCGACGACCCGCACTCCTGCTCCAGGAAGGGGCACGGGTGAGACCTGGCGGAGGGAGAGGAGGGAGGGGGGAGGGGGGAGGGGGGGGGGGAGGGAGGGGGGAAGGGCGGAGGGGGGAGGGGGAAGGGCGGAGGGCGGAGGGCGGAGGGGGGAGCGCCTGAGCCACGGAGCTTGCTGGCCGCCTTGGCGACCTCGGGCACCATCTTCTTGCAGTGGCCGCACCAGGGCGCGAAGAAGACAACGAGGGCGGGCGCGGCATCCGCCGAAGAGAGCTGCGCTGCGAAGCCACGGCCGTCGAGCACATCGACGCCCGTCCCTGCGTACTCTGGACTGTGGATGGTCCCAACGCCGCCGCCGCCGCCACCACCACTAGCAGCAGCAGACGCAGCCCCGCCGGCAGCCGCAGCCCCGCTCGCAGCCGCAGCCGCAGCCGCAGCCCCGCCACTGCCCGCCGATGGCTGGGGCGGTGCAGTCGAGCTGCTGCCCTTTGTGCGAACGACCGAGTCGAGGCCGAGCTCCTTGAAGGCGGCGGCAATCTGGTCGAGCGTCTCGCGCGGGCCCTCCATGACTACCGCCTTGCCCTCCGCAGCAACCCTCTGGAGGATTCCTGCGGCGTCATGCTGCGAGGCGCCCAGCTGTAGGAAGACTTGCCCTGCGGCCTGCATCTCTGCCGTGCCACCGCGCAAAAGCTCAAGCTCATGTGGTGCCTCCGCTGCGGCTGCTGCTGGCGGCTCGGCGTTGCCTGCCGCTGCCTGCGCACCGGTCACCTTGGACTCCGCGATGCGCGACTCCTGCGCACCGGCCAGCGACACGAGCAGGAGAAGGACGGCAGCCATCATGCTCGTCTTCTCTGGCTCGCGACCGTGGCACAGGGAGGGCAAATGGAGAAAGCAGCGCGGCGTCAGTGCGTTGGCGAGAGATATGGTGAGGGGGGGTCTACTCAAGTGCCTGCGCGAGTGCGTGAGGGTGGTGGTGTGGGGCGTGCAGTGTGGTGTTCATTAGCTCCGAGTAGAGGGGGCGTCCTGCCAGTTAAGGGGAAGGCAACTCGGTCGGTATGTTAATTAACCCTCGGAGACCTGTGTTTACTTTACGGCCTTTCCCTGCGAACGCGCACCCCCCAGGGCTAGGGCTCTCTAGCCCGTAACCCGATGCCGATCATCCGGCCCGCTGGGTGCGCTTCTTAGATCTAGCTCCCCGGCCCTGGATGTGAGGTTACTAACTGCAGGGGTCGTGGGTGGGGCTGGACGTATCCTTTGCGTTTTCCCCAAACTGTAACTGTAAAGATAGAGGGAGAGAAAAGGGAAAAGGAACAAGATACCTAAGGGAGAGAAAAGGGACAGAGAGAGACTACGCGTTCGGTGAAAACAGACGATTAATCGAGTACGAGGTACCAGTAGTATCGGAGTTTTGCGCTATTGAAGAGGTGTGAACGTGAACAGAGTCATACCAACACCGTGGCTCGTTACGGCACGCATGGGGGGCCTCCCGGACGTATGATCCTAGTCCAATAAGTCCCACAGAGCACATTTCGATTTTTGACAGAATTAAATGCACTGCCCGGGCACGGTACTAATGGTCGTAGTTTTGTGCCGGGTGCCCTTCACGGCACCACACCGCCGCAAGACAGCCCGAGATTAGCCTAGCAGTGAGTGGGCATCTCCTGCTGGACGGCTAGGCACGAGCCACGCACTTGGGCGGCCGTCAACCGAGTCCGAGCGGCGCCTGAGGTGGGTGCCACGGCGTCTGCACGAAGGCGTGGCAGGGTGAGGATCCAGGAGTGGTGAACACCTCCCCGTCGGGCGCGCAGCGCGCCGGATGGTCCGCCGAGGCCGCCGCCGCCCCGGCGGCGGCGATGGGGGCGGCGGGGCCGACCCGGCCGGCGTTTGTCGGCTCCACCTACAGAAGAGCAGTCTCTGTGGGTCGACGATACTAACTCGGTAGTAACGCGGAGCGGTGCTGTGCGGCGCCGAGTCGTGCGAGAGGCGACCTCCTGAGGCTACCTGAGCTGGCAATGGATGCCACCAGGACGCACGGCTAGCAGGAGCCAGTCAGGCATGCCCTGCTGTGGAGCAGAGCTGGCTGGCGCACCGGCGATACTAACTCAGCGCGCCGCGAGAGGCAAATCTGGGCGACTTTGGAGGCGCAGTTCTCGAGCTTGCCGTCGACGATTGATGTCGGGTAAACTGTCACTGCCGTCCGGGATGGTCTTCTCTCAGGAGGCCGAGCGCCGTGGCCTGGCTCGGCTCGCCGCGGAGGCACGAATTTATCGTGCACAAAACTCCCGAGACCTCGATACTAACAAAACTCCGACCACTGCGGGACGCGGCCACGAAAGGTGTGCAGACCCCAGTTCCGGCGGACGCAGCGAGCGTCGGGACTCCGTCCCAGCAGACGAAGTCTTCCTCGTGGGCTCCACGGCCCGGATCGCGAGCTCGATCGATACGCGACGCGCTCGGCCTCCGCTGGCGGCTGCCGCAAGAGCGGCTGGCTCACGGCAGCGTCTCGCCGGTTGCCGGATAGGAGAGTACAGAACGTCTGGAGTGTAACTGTGTACGTGAGATCGGTTTTGATAACAAGCACGGTCGATCCGTCAAAGCGATACACTCGTTCCTATCTCGCTGGGGGGCTGGCACGGAGCTCTGTGCCGACAAACAGGAAGAGCCGAGCGGCAAGAAGGGCTCGATGGGGAGCGAGAACCGTCAGAAGAGCTTGAGGTGTAACCTGAAGTCCGTCGTGACGCTCTTGTTTCCCCCCAGGTTTGACCGCGCAGCTTCCAAAACTCGACGATATCTTCCGGAAAGACTGAACCTCCCGCAGAGCGGCAGCATGAGAGGCGCAGAGAGGCTGCGAGTGCTCGACGAGTCTTGCGAGCTGCGCGTTCAAACCGGGGGGGGAACCGACTGCATCAGGGTGGACTTCCGAAACCTCCGTGAGCACGTTTGACGGTTCTCGCTCCCCATCGAGCCCTTCTTGCCGCTCGGCTCTTCCTGTTTGTCGGCACAGAGCTCCGTGCCAGCCCTCCAGCGAGATAGGAACGAGTGTATCGCTTTGACGGATCGACCGTGCTTGTTATCAAAACCGATCTCACGTACACAGTTACACTCCAGACGTTCTGTACTCTCCTATCCGGCAACCGGCGAGACGCTGCCGTGAGCCAGCCGCTCTTGCGGCAGCCGCCAGCGGAGGCCGAGCGCGTCGCGTGAGTTGAAATCGATGTGGCGAGTCGACCGCCAGTCCGCACGATGGCACTGCGACCGCGGCGGCTGCCGGCGAGGGCAGCAGCGGCGCGCGCGAGGCGGCAGCGTAATCGGGTCCGAAGTCCGGACCCGATTTGGGGTCTACACGCCTTCTAAAAGAAAGAAAGAAAACACACAACCCAAGGGAGGGATGGGAGAACGGCACGCCGCCACCACACAGGGATTTTAAGGAGAGGAGGGTGTGATGCGCTAGCCGTCGCCCACCCTGGGGGGTCTGCCTCCTCGTATCTCTTTTCGCAGTCTCTCGCCGCTTCTCGCTGCAACCTTCATGCCACCCCGCGGCTGTCCCACTCTCGTCGTTCTCTCCCTTGTCACTTCCCCCTCTGTCGCGTCGTTCTCTTCTGCCTCGTCCTGCGACGCCGCCGCCTGCCGGTCCCTTGTTCTCGCGGCTTCTTTCGCCTCTCGGCGCAACTCCGTCCTCCTTGCGGCGTATCCTGGCCCCTCGAGTCTATCGAGCTCCCCTCGCGCAAGGACCACATTTCTGACTCCCACTCCGATCATTTGCCTCCAAGTCATGTTGTTGCTCAGGTCCACTCTCTCTTCGAACACTCGTGCCTCTACGGATGATGCCGGCGCTGGGGTCCCCTTCGGATGCATCGTGACATCTGACAACTGAATTTCCACTGGTTCGTCCTCCTCTGAGTCATCTTCCCCGTCCTCCTTCCGCTCGGCTCTTCGCTCGGTACGTTCGGTGTGGCTCACCCTCCATGCCGTGAACAGGCGTTTTATCCACCCTATATTCTTCTCTCGTTCCTCTGCCCGTGCCTTGGTCTTGTCGTTGTTTCGCACCCATGTCTGTATGGCAATCGAGGCTGCCTTCCCCACTACCTGTAGTTCACTCGTCACCTCTCCCGCGAGCTCCCTTCTCTTTCTTTCGGGTATGGATCTACACGCCTTCTCCCCGAGTGGTACTACGGGTCTCGAGATTTTCGCCATGGGAGGGAGACGCGTTCGTCGGCGAAAGACAAAACGCACGCGCGGGCAGGGTTCGAACTGTGCGTGGGCTCGGCATGACCGAGACAACACCGATCCCCATGACCGAGACAACACCGATCCCGGTGCTTGGCGTCAATTTTGAGGGCGGCAAGCACGTCGCCGAGGCCGCTTCATCGCCATCCTGCGTTGCCGCCTACAACTGTCAGGTCTCAATGGATGCGCCGTTTGAAGAGGGCCAAGCAGCCCCGGAGCACCTGCGTCAGCTGGGGCGCACGGAGCAACGACTGGGTGTTCTGGACTCACAACTGCAAGAGCAGCTCCGCCCAGTATTCGCTGAGGCGGCTTCAAAGGCGTCCGCTGCAGGCGCGTGGATCGTCGTACAAATCACACGTGGCCGCTCCGCACATGCCTTTTTTCTTGCGGTCGTGGAGCCCTTGCTCGCCGAACTGAAGGCCATTCCGCGCTGTGATGTTCGCACGGGCTACCGCTCTGCCGATCACTCGCTCGCGTTGTCCGAGCCGTTCGTTTTCATCACCGTCGGCATGTTCGGACGCCTTACTCCGGGCGTCTCACCAGGCGTGGTGCACGCGGTGGAAACCACTTTCGTCGTTGACGACGCGTCGACTCCTGCCGAGCCACGGCGAGCTGTGTGCCTTCAGCACGCTACGCATGACGAAGCGCTGAAGCTGCTGCCACCTTGCCGGATGATAAGCTTGCCCGACCACTTTCCGTTTGTGACACCAGAGGAGTACGTGCGAGACAGACTAATCGGGATTGCGTCAGCAGGTTCTGTATAGAGAATAGACACCTCGCAAATGCCGCGCTTGCCCGCACCCCGGCGCCACTTCTCAGTAAGTAATGGGCCGCCGAGAGGCCGTGGGGGGCGGCCTCTTTCGCCATAAAAACTGTTGGGCCCCAACTCGTCGCGCGATCGCTACACGCCAACGCGGCGTGCGTACTAGCCTGGTACCCCTATGCGGAGCGCTCGGAGGGGGGCGCGCTGCGCCCTGCTCTCTACCGCTGCCACCCGTTTGAGCGCGCCCGCGCTCTATACTGTTATACGCAATACGGGACTCGCGACGAACGAAAGGACACTCCCATCAGATCTCAACAAAGCATCGCCCTCTGCAGAGCGTCGCGCGTGCCGCGGCCCTTCTCTTGTTCAGCCTGGATGGCCCGTTGTAGACGCTTCATGCCGAGGTCAAGCGGCTTGCCGGCGGCAGTGGCGGCGTCGGGGTCGCTGAGCACGGCCGCGGCGACCGCGTGATAGATGGCGTTGGCAATGCGCGCAACGTTGAACCCGTGACTCTCTTTCGCGAGCAGGTCGAAGTCAACCAAGCCGGCGCAAGCGGGCGGCAACAGCATGCGCCACAGCCGCCCGCGGGTCGCCTCGTCGGGGAGCTCAAACTGGACGACGGCGCGCATCGCGGCGAGGAGCGTTGGGGCGAGGGCGTGCACGACCGCGTCGTACTTGTCATACGAAGAGCAGCAGAGCAGCACGACTCCCGGATAGCGCGCCGTCTCGTGGAGCAGCAGCTCGAGCAGCTTGGGCTCGGCGCTGCCGCCCTGCAGCCCGCCACCCTCGCCATCGACGCCAGTGATGACGAGGACGGCGTCGGCGAGCCTCGCCTCACGGAAGAGCGAGGCCACGCCGTCGTTCGCCTTGGCGCCTCGCCGCGCCTCGCCGCTAAGCAGCTGCGCCAGATGCACCAGCTTGACCGGCCGTCCGAGCTCAAAGGCGAGCGCCTCGGCAGCGGCGCGCTTGCCGCAGCCGGGCGGGCCCCAGAAGAGCGCCGTGGTGCCGCCACGGGGCGTGTGCACGCTGCGCTCCCCGCCGCCGCTCTCATCGTCGCCCCACAAGCCACCGGCGATCACGAGACGCGCCCTCTCGAGCGCGACGAGCGAGCGGAGCGCCCCGAGCAGCGGCGGCTTCACGACGAGGTCGTCGAGCGACCGGGAAGGGACCAGGCGGCCGTGACCCGCGTCCAGGTCCGCGCCCAGCAGGGCGCCGCGCATTTGCTCGCGACAGCCAGTAATAAGGTCGTCCTGCGTGATCGCGGGATGCCTGGGCTCGCGGCTGATCGCAGCGAGGAGGGCGGCAAGCACCTACAGCACGTCAGAAAGGACGTCAAAAAGCAGCGGTGCGACGGACCCGACCCCACAGCCCGCCCGAGCACCGCGTTCCGGATGTACCCGCCCGTCATCTCGAACTTGGCCGCGATCTCGGCGAGCTCAACGCCGTCGGCGAGAGCAATGCCCTCCGCCCGCGTCAGCCGCCGCCAAATCTGCAGCCGCTGGACGTGATTTGGCGCGGGAAGCTCGAAGACGCAGCGGATGCGGCGGAACATCGCCTCGTCCAAGTCCTGCGGCCGGTTGGTGGCCAGGAAGCACACGCCGTCGAAGCGCTCAATCTCGGTGAGGAGCTCGGTCATCTCTGAGGAGCCCCCGTGGCTGCGCTTGGCGAAGAGCGACTCGCACTCGTCGAAGAAGACGACTGCGCCCTGCAGCTCGGCCTCGCGGAAGATCGACTGCGCCGTCGACGCCGCCGTCCTGGTTGACTGGGCGAGCACCGGAAAGTTGACCAGCAGCACCTTCTTGCCCATCTGCCGCGCCACCGCGTTGGCCGTCATCGTCTTGCCGCTCCCACTCGGCCCGCAGAGCAGCAGCACGAGCCCGTCGGGCTGCGGGATGTCCTTGGAGAGGCCGACCCGCTTATTGTATGCCTTGAGCTGCCCGTGGCTGGTCAGCATCCGGAGCAACTTGGTGCGCACCGCCTCGGGCAGCACCACGTCGCCGAGCTCGACGCTCGGCGAGTAGAGGCTCGCGCTCTCGGCCACCTCCGTCGACTCGTCCTCGAGGCCGACCAGGCAGTCGAGCACCCTCCTGTCGAGCTTGACCAGCATGTCGGTCAGGTCGTCGCGGCTTTGGTAGCGGTCGTTGTTCAGGCGGATCAGCCCCTTCTTCACCAGCCTCGCGCTCTTGTAAAAGTAGACCCGCTTCGAGACCTGCGCGCAAGAGGCAAGGAGCGCGTGGCGAAGGCGTGTGGTGGCCATGAGCACGCGCTCCGTAGAGCGCGCCTGCTCGTGGAACGACATCGTGAAGACCTGCAGGATGCGGCCGACGGAGAGCCGGTCGCTGTCGTACGCGTGCGAGCCAGAGGTCTGAGCCAGCAACTGCTTGACGACCGGCGAGATGGTGTAGCCGCACGTGATGAGCAGCACACTCTTCTCAAAGCCGTCGAGCTGCAGGCTCGCGCAGAGCGCCTCGAGTCGCGGCACACCGAGCTTGCCCGCGCACGCGAGCCGTGCGCTGATCCGCGCCTCGCTGATGCGCAGCTTCGCCTACGGTCGGCACCGACGCGTCCGGCAGGAGGAGAGCTGCAGAGGAGCCGGACGGCCTCCCGCCTGCAGCTCGGCCAGATTGACCTTCTTGCTCTTGCCCTCCCACGGCGCGGGGGTGTCGTCGACCTCGGCCTGCTTGACGCGTCGCTTCTGCACCTCCGCCGCCACCTGGATGCGCTGCACGAGCGTGGCGAACTGGTCGTCGAGGTACTCCAGCTCCTGAGAGGGCGCGCGACGACAGCGGCCAAGTCAGAGCTCTGGCACCGCAGCCGCGCTGCCGACGCGCCGAGAGGCAAGCGCCGAATCGTAGCCGCGAAGCTCGTCCCCCGCAGCGGCCACCGCGGCGGCTGCCCCGTCGGCCACCGCCTCCGCCTCTGCAGCCGCAAACGTCCGCGAGCCGGCCGCCGCTCGCGCAAGCACCGCCGCGAGATCGGCGTCCGCGTCGGGATCGGCCCGCTCCTCCTCAACGGCCTGGTCTCCCGCCACCGCCGCTTCAGCCGCTTCCGCTTCCGCCGCCGCTTCCGCTTTCGCTTCTGCTTCCGTCGCCACCGCCGCCGCCGCCGCCGCCGCCGCCGCCGCCGCCGCCGCCGCCCCGTGCTGCTCGCTCGCGGCGGTCCCTCCGGGCAGCGGCTGCGGCTCGGCGGGCGGAGCGCCCTCGAGGCTGTCGAGGGCCATCAGCAGCTTCGTGCCGCTCAGCTTGAGGCGCAGCCGGTCCAGCTTCACCTGTAGGGCAGCACTCGGCTGAGGGCTCGAGGCGCGAGACCTGCCCTCGGCGGAGAGCGCGGCCACCCGCTTGGCCTCGGCTCGGGTCCTGGCCGCCGCAGCCTCGCCCTCGACGCCGCCCGTACTGCCGGGCACGAGGTACGGCCGCCGGTACGAGTCCGGCCTCGCCTCTGCGCGCAGACCGTTGACGATGGCGTCGCACGCCTCGAAGGAGAGCGAGGCGGTCTGGCGGGAGGAGTAGTCCTCGTCGACGTGAATGATGCCCTCCTTGATGTGTGGCCGCTCCTCGTCGTAAAAGGCGGCGAGTTCGAGGGAGCTGGCGTCGCAGAGCAGCGCCGGAAGCAGCGCCTGGTCGGCCTCGAAGCTGTCCGACCCGAGGCAGCCGCTGAAGAGAGCGGTGCGGTGGCTGCGTTGCAACACGAGCAGAGTCAGCGCGACGGCCTCCTTCTCGCTGAGCGCGTATGCGGCCGCCACCGACAGCACGCGAGGCGGTGGCGATGTGAGCTCCAGCCGCGCAACGCATGTGGCGGCGTGCGATCGCTGCATCTCCTTGATCGCCGCAACGCGTGCGGCGGTCTCGCCGGGAGTGCACTCCGGCGAAGCCGCCGCCGCCGGCGATTTCTCCTTGTGCGGCGGGCTGCGGCCGCAACCTACGACCTGTGTGCGCAGACTGCTTAGCGCCTGCACGTACAGGCTCTGCAGCGTGAAGTGGAGCTCGGCGGCAAGCAGGTGCTCGCGGTCGTCGTCGAACGGCTCGTCCGCTCGACGGGATAGCACAGCCTCAAAGCACGGCTCCGTGTGAAGGAGGTGGAGCAGAGGGTCGCCCTCTGTCATCGGCACCTTTCGATTCTCAGGAGAGCAGAGGGTCGGCCTCTGCATCGTGTCGAAAGCGTCGAGGGCGGCGTCTTTCTTCTTTTATGTTTTTACTTGGGGACTACTGGCCCCTTCCGAACGTTTCTTTTTTCCACACATCACCAATAGGTAGGTAGGTCCGGCTTTGACCGCCCCAGACCCTGAAACAGGTAGGTACCCCCGATTTTCGTCTTTTTTCGCTTCGCTGCGCGGCCTAGGGGTAGGTAGGTAGGTAGGGCGTTTTGGTGCGAGTCATGCGTCAGACCCCCTATCTGGCTAGGAGCCGGAACCCAGGCACACACACATGCACGGCCTACGGGCCCTCGCACGACACCGGCACTCGCTTGCCCACGCCGATCGAATCGTGCTGCGCGACCTCGTCTTCCGAGGGCGGCACGGCGTCCTCGCCGCCGAACGCGAGCTGGGTCAGCGGTTCGAGGTGGATATCGTCATGCAGACGGATCACGAGGCCGCAGCCGCGAGTGACCACATCGACGACACTGTGAGCTACGTCGGCGTGTACGACCAGGTGCGCTCCGTTGTCGAGGGCCCGCCGAGGGCGCTGATAGAAACGGTGGCGGTCGAGGTCGCGCGCGAGGTGCTGTCGGGCAACGCACGCGTGGACGAGGTGACGGTGGTCTTGCGCAAGCCGCAGGTTCCTATCAATGGTATCCTTGCCTACGCCAGCGTTGAAGTGAGTCGCGACCGAGAGTGGCTTGAGTCGCTCAGACGAGCCTAACAAGCCATCGCATGCAGATCTAGCGCTGAATGTCTCGCCGCTCACGGTACGGCGCCAAAAAAGTGCGCCCGTCAACATAAAGGACTGAGCGGAGCTCCTCTATAGAGAAAGGTACGCAGCAGGACCCACAGTAACAGTAAGCGACACGAGCACAGAATCAAAATCTACATTCTCCTCGCCGGGGCGCCGTGTTAAAGTAAACAAACCCCTCTCTCACCAACGCGAAAGACGGCGCGGTTAACGCGAACGATTGCGCGGCGACTTATGGAATGTCGATGCGCGCGGCGCCGGCGGCATCCGCTGATGTGGAGCGCGGGTCGCTAGCTAACATGAACCGTGTGGCTCGCTCCAGCAATTGGTGTGGCAAATCTCTGGGCTCTGCGGCGTAGCCCAGTGTACTCTCGGTCTCGCAAGAGCCTCTTACACAAAGGCTCCACTGGCGACATCGTTGCTGCTGCCCTCGTAGAGAGTAATGACGGCGTCCTCCATTGTGTTTGTTCGCAAGAGGAGCACCGCGGGGTCGTCAAAGACGTCCACCACGCTTGAGGGCCATCGCACCTCGACTCGAAGCGGCACGCCCGTCTCGCCGAGGCCGAAGATCAGGCGGTGGTCAGCGCTGCCCCATGGGCTGGCGGTGCCGCTCGACGCGCCGTTGAGCTCCCGGAACTGCTGCTGCGGCTGGGCCTCCGCAAAGGCGCTCCACGTGAGCACTACCGTGGCCCCAATCCCGTATTGGTTGCTCGAGACTCCCTTGAGCTTAAACGCGATGTATGAATTACCGTTCGCAACGCTCTCGTAGATGCGGCATTTCAAACCGCACGGCAGCAGATCCATGTGGCCATCGTTGTTGAGGTCAAATGTGGTGATGCCAAAGTAGGTCGACCCACCGAATGCGTAGTTCCACGCGCACATCGGATCGAGGTGGAAGACTGCGATGTCCGTGCGCACGGAGCAGCTCGTAAGCGGCGCGAACGAGAGGAACGGTCGCTCTCCGACATGAGGCGCGTTGCACTTGCCAGTGCTGCCCTGGCCTTCTGTCTGCCCGCCCAATGGGTGGCAGGTGCCTCTGCTGCTGTGGCATGCCTCACGGCTGCGACTGGCCGGCGCCTCGGCGCGTCAGCTCGGCTCGGCGTAACGATCGTGGCCAGCGCAACTCGCCTGGACTCAACGCTCAGCCAGGAGCTCCCGCACGCGCTCGCTGGCGCGAGTCATGGCGCATGCAACGCGCAGCAATGCTCGCCTCGCCTCGCGCAAGTGCGACCGTCCTCGCAGCCGACAGTCCACCGCCTGCTAAAGAAGCACAGCGACGAATGGCACCGGCGACGCATGGCAGGCTGGTCATGACGCAGTCATAGGGTGTTGTGTGCCGTCAGAGTGACTCTCTGTGTCAGGGATAGTCAAGGCCGTCCATCAGAGCTCCAGTAAGCTCGGAGACACCCCATTAGCGCGGCTCGACCTCTTAGAGTCACTGCCTTCCCGGCGGGTTTGCTGTAGAGCCTCTACAACAAACTCTACATACAGCAAAATCGCGCTCTACATCGCTCTTCAGGCGACTCACATCGTCCCGCGCCGGATGTAGAGCTCTACAGCTCTACAGCGCTCCAGAGCGCTCTACATCTCTACAGCTCTACATACACACTTGTTATGACCCCCCCCCATGAGCACACCAGCGAGGGAGGGCGAGACGATCGAGGGGTCCCGAACCATGCGGAATCGACCCTATCCAGTGCTCAAGTGCTCATACACACTACAGCGCTCTCTACACTCTACATACATCCTCTACAGAGCGAGTGACGGATAAAGTCGTGTGAAAGAGCTGTGAAAGCGAAAGTATCGAAATTAATTGCCCGCCGCAGGCGAAGAAAATTTTCAGGGTTTTTGGTCCCCCGAGGGTGAAGCTGTGGTACCGTCCAGCCGACACAGCGACGACACGCTGGCCTGCCAAGGCCTCGACCTTCTTCGGCTGCAGCTGCCGATGCAAGTCGCCGTGGCCCAGCTTGCCCCAGAATGCACGGCCCCAGCTCCAAACGGCGCCGCCGGCGGTGATGGCGAGGCTGTGGGTCCTTCCAGCCGACACAGCGACGACACGCTGGTCAGCCAAGGCCTCAACCTTCTTGGGCAGCAGCTGGTGCTGCTCGTCGCCGTGGCCCAACCTACGCCAAAGAAGTCGAAGATTTCGGCGGGCGCCCGACGCGGTATGGAGCACGCGCGCTGCCCGGCATGCCTGCAGCATCCAAACGAGACGCACGGCGTCGCTCAGCCGTGTCCACGCGGCTTCGCTCCTGTCCTAACCGGCGCCATCTGGGCGGCTGCTGCGGAGCTGCTGCCGGCGGTGCGGCAACTGGCCGACAGATACAACGCTCAGGGCACCCGCCGGCGATTCACTGGAAAGGAACGAAGGCGCCGCTGTCGGCGATTCACCGCCGCTCGTTCCCGTCTCTCAAGCTGGCTACACCGTCCATGGACGAGGGAGACGTCGCCTCCTCTTTCGTCCCGGGCACTGTTCGCGCCGGAAGGCACCGTACACTGCGAAGTACATTAGCCTTCATCCCTCCTACCGCCGGCCGGGAGTGCAGCCTTCGCCATCGCTGAGTGAGATTATCCTCGACTTTGGCACCTGCGAAGTAATGAACAACATGCAGTACGTCATATGCAATGGCGCTATGACAGCCCTGAGATGGGCGTCCTCGACGCAGACGAGGCTGAGCTCATCTGCATGGCGCAGATCGCCGACTTTCTCTCTCTCCCTGCGCGAGTGGTTGCGCCACCGTGGATGAGGCATATGGGCTGGGCAGGGGAGTTGGTAGAGGAGGTTGACTGAGGGCGCGAGGCCGCCAATCGTCACAGTCTGCTGCTGACTGTCGGTCGCTGACTGGTTGCGCATCGCGCTGGCCGCGCAGCGGCCTTTAGAAAATTTTGGCCGCAGGCCTAGGTTTTGAAAGATCAAGAGAATAAGCGCGGGTGAGGCTTTGAGAAGCTGCCGTTTGCGGCTTCCTAAGTCAACTTTTCGAGAGGAACGTTTTGGCTAAGCTAGAACTTCTCCAAAATCGCGCGATCATCGAGTTTTGAGTCAATAATTATGAAAGGAAAGGGAGAGGGAGAGTTCTAGCTTAGCCAATCGATTCAGCGTGCTCTGAAACGCCCAAAACCGTCGAGTTTTTCGCCGTGGTCCAAATAGAGAGCTTAATATTTTCTTGGCCACGGCCACGATTACCCGCCCGTCACTCGCTCTACACCCTCCCTCAGAACACGAAACGCTCGAATTTGGCGTTCCGTGCTCCGCTTCAGCCTTCTATTGAAGATCCCTCACACCAAGATCGTGCAGGGCGGGGACACACGTCCCTAAATCCCATCTCGTCTCAGAGTTTGACCGTTTTCTTTCTTTATTTATTCAGCCTTCTAGTCCCCCATCGGGAGGACGACCCCGGCTAGTCGCCGACCACACCCACAAAGAACCCTGCACAAAGACCGCAGGGCGGGGACCTGTCCCTTTTTACCCATCTCCTAGGGTAGCCCTGCTTTTGGCCCCACGCGTTCATGATGAAAAGAGTTCTCGGCAATAAAAAAAGGGGGCGGAAGTGCTCAGTGCGGTAGATGGTCAGCTCGAGGCGCGTGAGCCGGACTTGTGAGCCGGACCACCCCCTCTTGAAACCTGCGTTGTTGAGCCAGGACTCAACATACTCGGGCTGAGGGCCCAACTTGAGAATCGTGCTTTTTGGGTTGGGTTGGGTTGTGGTTGGGTTGGGTTGTTCCGCGTGAGGTTGGGTCGTCGGCGCGAAGGGTGAGGTCTCGACCGCCGCCGCTTAGCTCATAAAAAAAAAGCGCTTTGAGTGGAGCGTGCAGCCGCGTCGTGTAGCGAGCAACAGCAGACATGTGAGGCCCCCGAAACGCGCCCCCGAAACCCACTACACCGCGCGCGGGCCACTCCCACCCTCTCCTGCCCACGCGCGCGGCGTGATCCTGCGCGCAGGGCACACATCTCTATGGGCGATGTCGACCTGCTGTTCCCGCCGGCTGAGCTGGAGAAGCGGCGGCACAAGCTCAAGCGGCTTGTGCAGTCTCCGAACTCCTTCTTCATGGACGTCAAGTGCCCGGGCTGCTTCTCCATGTGAGGCCGCCCCTCGCCCTCCGCGCTGTTGGGGCCATGCTGCGGCGCGAGCGCAGAGACGCTCGGGCGCAGACTCACGCAGAGGATGATGGGCGCGTGCGCAGCGCGCAGCCGTCGCCGAGCCCCGCCGCACTCGCCGTCGCGATCGCCGTGCTCACCCCCCCCCCCCCCCTCACCCCCCTTCCCTCTCCCCGCCGCAGTACCACTGTCTTCAGCCACGCGCAGACGGTTGTGATCTGCGGTGGCTGCTCAACGGTGCTGTGCCAGCCGACGGGCGGCAAGGCGCGGCTGACGGAGGGCTGCTCCTTCAGAAAGAAGGTTGAGTGAGGCGGCTTGCGTGCGCCGCTGCTTACACGGATTGGGTGGGATTTGATGCGGCATTTCGGCACGGGGGGGGGGCAGCCAGGGGGTGTCCGAGGGGGGAGGAGGTGAGGGGGAATGGGAGGGAGGGTGGCAATCTGCCGGCGTGCTGCGGGCTTCAGCGGCACAGGCCACACCGCTGAGCGGCCGCCGTGCTCTCGTTCGCTCCACTTCCAACCCGCTGCCCCGCTAGAGAGACCTACACCACGGCGCCCTGGACACCCTGGACCTTGCTCTCCTGCTTACACCACCTCCTGCCAGCCCCCGTGCTCGCCACAGCCACCCGTTCCCGCTATAATTGCTGTCAAAACAAGTCAAATGTACCCCGCAGCGCGGGGGCCGGCAGCGTGTGCCGCCCCCATATCGCATCAGTATCGCATATGCCGGTGGGACCCGGCCGTCCACCGGCGCGTCACTAGCTTGAAACTAGATCATACTCTCAACACTCAAGAGGGCGCGACGACATTCATGGAGGGTGGGGGGTGGTACAACCTACAACTCTCAGCCCAAAAGCCCCGAAGGACAGCGGAGGGAGAGGAGAGCGCTAAGCCCGCCTCCCGTATCCCACACGGCGACACGGCTCCACCTCTCCAGGCACAGCCCGACGCGCGGGGCGGTGGGACTCGCCGCCAGACGCTCGGTCGCTGCGAGGCGACGCGCACGCGTTCATCCGGGCCGGAGGGACGGCGGCGGAGGCGCGGCGGCGGTGGCGGCGGCGGCGGCGCGAGTGTTGCGAGGGCGTCGGCGAGCGGCAGTAGCACCCACGCGTCAGCGGCGGCATACTCGATCTGCGCGTCCGAGAGCGGGCGGGCCGCCCAGTCGGAGAGCGTGAGAGACTTGTCGAGCGCAGAGCCGAGGAGCTGCGCGACCAGAGACTTTAGCCCCGGCTGGCGGCGCGAGACGCCGTAGCCCGCCGCGGACGCCTCGCTCTGCAAGTCGCGCGGCGCGATCTCGCCCCTGCTCCTACCGGCAAGCCAGCCCGAGCGCTCCAGCTGCGCCAAGTCCCCCTTGCACGCAAAGCCGAGGACCTGCACGCCCTCGGCGCACAAGGCTCGGTCGAGCGCCCGCCGAAATCGTGCCGCCGCGGCGTGGTCGGCGCCGATGGCGAGGAGATCGACGACAAACACCTCCGATCGCGTCGCGAGCTGCAGCAGCGAAGGGCCCAAGCCGGCGGCTGGCAGTGCCGGGCAGCCATCATAGAGCGAGGCCGGCCGCCACTCGGTGTCGAAGCCAAGCTCGCCGCCATCCGCCTCGAGCGCCTCGAAGGCACCCGCCAGCCGTGTGACGCCATCGGCTCCGTCCACAAAATGACACGCGACGGCTTGAGGCAGGGAGAATGCCGGCAGCCCGTTGGTGTTGGAAGAACCTGCCGCGGCTCGAGCTTGCAAGATTTTAAGCCGATCGTCGTCTCCGAGCGCCAGGCTCACCGTCGCGCGGCCAGCGGGAGGACTAGCGAGCCAGCGAGCCAGGAGAATTTGCACACACATACCCGAGAGACTCAGACAAATCCCAGGCGAGCGTCGAGCGGCTGCGCCTACTCTTCAGTGTACCGGGCAGGAAGCCGCCGGATAGAACTGGGCGTCGCCCGGGCGGGGCCGGGTTGGGCCCGGCAGGGCACCGGCGGGCCCCCGCCGGGTCAAAAGTGGCCGCTCCGCTTTTGCCGGAATGCTTCTCCTCGCCGGGCCCGCCTCGCGCAAAAGGACGGGCCCGGCAAACCTCCTGCCCGGGCCCGGCATTGAGTGAGCGGGCCGGTCGATGTGCCGCAGACGGGCCCGGGCAGGACGGTTTGCCGGGCGCGGTTTTCTCCTCGCCGGGCCCGCCTCGCTCCTCGGCCTGCTGATTTGGGCGCTTCGGCCCGGGAGTGGCAAGCCGGGCCCGGCAAAGCGCGCGGGCCGGGCCCGGGAGGGGCAAGCCGGGCCCGGCAGGGGCCCGAGCCGGGCCCGGCCTGGCCCGGCGCCCCACTTTGCAAATCGACCTGTTTCCCATCCAATATCTCACACTCGGCCGCGGAGGCCCAACTGAGAGCGGGGGGGGCCGGGGGAGGGGGTCCCTACTGGTCGTGCCCACCCCTCGCACGACCCCGGGCGAAAGCGGGGGACCCCGCAGCAGCCAAGCCGCCCCACTTACATCCGGCGGCTTCCTATGTAGCTCTTACGTGTTACGAACGAAGGGCGCTTGGTTGGGTCTAAATTTAGTGCGTGTGAATGAACTTTAGTGATAGTTTAGTGCGCTATCTAGTGTGTGTTCGAGTGCGTGTGCAGTGCGTCTTCAGCGCGAATTTAGCACATATTTAGAATTTAGCACATATTTAGCACATATTTAACAAACAACTCATATTTAGCACATATTACATATTTAGCACATATTTAGAGAGAGATATTTAGTGTGTTTTAAACCAATTTAGCGCCACATTTAGTTCACTTTAGGTGCGGGCAGCTGCAGTACATTTAGTGTGGGTCCCGCATCTTTAGTGCGGGCACGCATCTTTAGCACGGCTTCCCGGCCACACCACAGCTAGCCAGGGCCGCGTGCTTTGCTCCTTGGCTGCCAAGAATGCACCACAGGAGATGCCTGGCCCCTGCGCCCTCATGACGCAAAGGCAGGCTCCCAGTGAGGCTAGATATGCAGCCCTCCAGAGCAAGATCTCCCGACTGAGCACAGGCACAGCACCGATTCCCGAGAGGAGGACCAGCACAGTTGAATGCGCCACCGCAAGCACCACCTCCGACCGCACAACCCATGCTGTGCCGTGACCACCAGCTGTAATAGAGTAGAGGTGAGGGTCGGTCTTGGAATTTCAAAACCAATGTTGAACCAAAGGATGAAGCTTGAAGGATCCAAACCACGATGACAGAAACGGCCAAATGGCCATGATCCATGTAGTCACCGCAAGGCGCAAGCAGCATACGCGTGTACTCGTAGCATGTTGGATCCAGCCCCAGCCATGCACCTCCTCCTAAGTGCAATGGCAAATACACCGAGGAAGAAAATGCTCCAATAGCTCGATGCTTTTCCACTTCCGGCAAACGTTTTGCCGCTCGGCGGGCCCGGAGAAGCAGCCCGGAAAGCACCGGAGGCTGATATTCAGCTGAAAAACCTTCGTTCGGTTGGGGATGGGACGGGGAACTTTTGCGAGTGGGCAGGGAACTGCAGGGGGAGAGGGGGAGGGAGGCCCAGCGAGGGGCTGCGGCTGGATCCTACTGGTACTGCGCGGCTGGACTAAAGACGCACTAAACCTCGCTAAATCTGGATGTAAAGGCGCAGTGAACTCGCGCTAAATTTGCGCTGAATTCGCGCTAAATTTGCGCTAAAGTTGAGTGAGTGTTAGAGTTGTTTCGTATTGCTAAAAATCTCCCTCTCTAAAGTTGTGCATTCGCGCTAAATTCGCGCTAAAGTGCACTAAAGATGCAGTAGACAAACACTTCTCACCTAAATTTAGAATCAGGCGCCTTTGTTTTTCTGGTCCGTGATTTTTTATTTTTCTTTTTTGTTCGCGGCGACTTGGCAAGAACGTCTCTCGGCCGCGAATCTCGGCCGCGAAACTGGTGTAGAAGCAGCAGTTAGCCGGCGCAATGAGTGTGCTTGGTGCAGAGCAGGGGCTTGAACGGATCGACGCAGACGTCCTCTCGCTCGTGCTGGCCGGACTCCCGCCTCACGACCTGCTGAGGAGCGTTCCAACGTGCTCGTGGTGGGCGGCAGCGGCGACGGCCGACGCACAGTGGACGCCGCGTTGCGAGGCGCTCTGGCGCGACAAGCTGCACACCGAACGGTGGCGTGATGGAGCCGTGCGGCGAATCGAGGCGTACTTCTCCTCGCTTGCGGACGCGTTGCGAGTGGAGATCACCGTGGCTGAGCTCGAGAGGTTCACGTGGTCGGCCAGGGTCAAGCAGTCCTCGGGGCTGGCGTGGCAATGCCCCTGGTGGCAAGGCCACGAGCCAGGCACGCGGAGATACACTGCGGCGGCCGGGCAGGGACAAGGCGTCTACGCCTCGTCAGAGCGCGGCCAGGGAGAGTGGAGCCTGGCGGTCGCCGATTGCGACGTGGACAGCGACGTCAAGGCGGAGTACCACGGCCATTCTGTGCTGCGCACGCGGCGCGGCGGTCGCTCGTACCCGCCACACGTCGCCACTCGCACCGCCAGCTGGGGCTGGCTGCTCCAGTCCCGCACCGGCCTCTCCGCCAGCTTCCCTCTCCCTGCACGCGGGGAGGACCTGTCGCTCGAGGACGGCGGCGCGCTGGAGCTCGACCCATCGAGCAGAAGCGGGGGAGAGACCGGCAACTACCCGCCAGAGCTCGCCGCCATGCTAGCCGCCATGCTCAGCCTCACAGCTGAAGCCCACCAGCCGGGAGCCGACGGCACGTGATGCCTCCTCGATATTCCCGCTTGCTTGGAAAAAAGAAAGACGGGTGGCCGGCCTATTTTTTTTCTGTGCCACGCCCGATGGAGCGAACCACGCGCTGGAGAGGCCCTCCGCTCGTCTACTTGGCAGTTGGCTTCGGGTTGGGGCTGCTCATCTCCGCCGCGAGTCGGTCGAGGGGTGGGCAGCCCATCGCCACCACCGTCGAGCGCCAAGCTCCAGTGACAGTCGGCAAGCGGCCTGTTCCGATCGGATCGCGGCGCCCTGCAGCGTCAGCCACCACGCCTCACAGTCGAGAAGAGCCGCGTTCAGACTTGTGGCGCACCTATACCAGCTCGCCTCTTGCAGTCGGATCGCCGCCACCGCCGCCGCCAAGGCGCTCGCCGCCACCTCCCAGAGCCTCGGCACTGAAAGCTCTCTGGCGGCCGTCGAGTCCGCTCAGCGAGGCGGAGGCGGCGTCCTTTGCGCCCGCGCTGCGTCCGCTGCTTCGCCGCCCGGCGCGGCGCCTTCGCCGCAGGTCCGACTTGTTCGGGCCTTTGCCTGTGCTTGACACGCCCGCATCGTTTGGCCTGCCTACCGGTGGTGACAGCGGTGGCGGCGGCGGCACCGCCGTCGCCGCTGGCGGCTCCGCTCTTCGCTGCGAGGACGGCCACGGTGCGTTCGACGTGTACACTGGCGGCTGCCTCTGCCGGACCGGCTGGAGAGGTCCGACCTGCGCCGAGGCGGACCCGCAGACGTGCAACGACCCACGGACCGCTGGCGTCAAGCCGGGAAGGTGCACGCACCCGTCCGGGTGCGGTCCCGGGTGCGCATGCTCTCGCGGGACCGAGTACTCGCACATGCTCTCGCGCTGCGCCGCCAGCTGCGACCTGGAGTCCAACCGCTGCCTCTGCGGGTCGCGCGCGCGCTACCCGCGCCGTCAGATGAACTTGTGCGAGTGGCGGGGCATCGAGAAGGCGCTGGCGTCGAGCTGGCTCGCGACGCACGCCACGCCGCGCCACCGTGACGTGTGCACGACTCCTCGTCCCTAGGCGCTGGAGTGGAAGGACCCGGGGTGGGCGCACTACCGCATCACCGAGCCGTGGAGGCTGTGGGGCAGCCCCAACTCGACGCCACCAGACCTGGCGGCCGCCCTCGGCCCCGCTGAGCTGCACCGGATGTGGGCGACCGCGCCGCCCCATTCCGCGACCCGCGCGTACTGCGACATCGACGAGGCGGCGCTCGCTCGCGGCGTGGCGCCCCTCTTCAGCTGCGGCTGCTACGAGGACGCCACCGGCGCCGCCTGCGAGCTGCCCGTCCGCTCCGTCTGTCTGAACCAGTGCAACGCGCCGCAAGGCGTGTGCGTGCGCGGCTGGTGCCGCTGCGCCGCTGGCTTCGGTGGCGCCGACTGCTCGATCGCCCTGCCCGCTCTCGCCGCGCCGCGGGAGGTCGACGGCGGCAGCAGCGCCGCTGGAGGCGCGGGCGAGGGCCGGGGGCGGCTGCGCCCCTCCGTGTTTGTGTACGATCTTCCGTCTGAGTTCAACAGCTGGACTGCGGAGACGCGGATGACGGCGTCCGACTGCGTGTACCGGAGGTACAAGGAGGGGAACGAGACGGTGTGGGAGAACTATGCCTTTGGGCTCGAGCTCGCGCTCCACGAGGCGCCGCCTCGCCCCTCGCCGCCTCTCCCCTCGCCGCCTCTCCCCTCGCCGCCTCTCCCCTCGCCGCCTCTCCCCTCGCCGCCTCGCCCCTCGCCGCCTCTCCCCTCGCCACACAACAGGCTCTCTCCGTGACGTCTCCACGACGCGTCCCTGCCACGTGCATGACGAGTCCTTTGCAGGCGCCCCTCGCCTCGCCGCACTGGCGCAACACTTAAACAAGAGCACACTCTGTCACAGGCGCTGCTCGTTTCGCCGCACCGCACCCTCAACCCGCGCGACGCCGACTTCTTCTTCGTGCCGGTCCACGGCGGCTGCTACATCTCGCGCTTCACGCGCCCGACCCCGAGGCGTGCCCCCGCCCCCTGACCCCTCCTCCTCGCCCCTCCTTGCCCCCCCTTCGCTCCACGCGACTGGGTTTCCTCGACCTTTCCTAGACCTTTCCTGGCACCCTCGCGCAGGCACAACCTCTATGTCAAGCCGCGCGGCGGCGCGCCCATCCTCGGCAACGCGCACTACCGCGCCGCGCTGGACTGGGTCCGCTCCCGGCGCCCCTGAGGGGGCTCTCGACGACATCTCGGCCACACCCCGGCCACACCCCGGCTCTAGGTCCGCTCGCGCCACCCCTGGTGGAACGTCTCTGGTGGGGCTGACCACATGTGCCGCTCTTCCCGCACCGGCGAGGGCTCCCCCCCCGGAGACTCGCCCCACCCCCCTTCTCGGAGCCGTCCTGTAGGTTTGCCTTCCCGCACGACGAGGGCTCGTGCGTGGCGCCCATCGAGCTGCGACCGGCGATCTCGCCTCTCCTCCCGACGGCCAAGTGCCAGTCTGCACCTTGTGATCGCCCCCCCCAAGACTCTCGCCCCACAGGCGATCCTCATCTCCTCGTGGGGACGCACGGAGCTGGGCCCGCGCAACTCGACCACCACCATGGGCGAGCACAACTGGTACAACCGGCGCACCTTGCCGCTGATGCGCGCGCCGCTCACCGTCGCACCGGCGCAGTGCGCGCGGGAAGCTGGCGAGCGGCGGCGCGGTTCGCTGTAGGTACGCGTCTTACCGCTGCTTCGAGCCGGGCAAGGACATCGTAATGCCCGTCTTCACCTCCCTCTCGCAGCTCGCCACCTCGCCGTACGTCGCCGAAGGGATGCCACGCGGCGGCGCCGCCGCACGCCCCGCGCCCAAGCGGCGGCTTCTCTTCCACTTCCGCGGCCAGATCCTGAGGCGCACCCCGAAATCTTGCCCGGCATCCCGGCGGATCTCGGCGGATCTCGGCTGATCTCGGCTGATCTCGGCTGACGTCAGGTACGTCCCGACATACTCGTTTGGCATCCGCCAGCAGCTGCTCGGTCTCTACGGCTGCAAGACGGGCGAGGAGCCTGCAAACCCGAACCCGTCCCAGACAGCTTCCGACTCACACCGGCCCGTGGCCATAGGCAAGGAGATCGCCAACCCGAAGGACCTGGTCGGCGTGCCGTGGTGCGGCCCCGACGTGGTCGTGTCGGACCGGCACACCGCACGCCGCCTCGGCGACAGAGGGCGGCCGGATCGGCCCGAGGCCACCCCCGACACGGCCCCCCCGACACGGCAGGCACACCACAAATTACCTCGACGAGATGGCGAACGCCACGTTTTGCGGCGTGTTCCCCGGCAACGGGTGGGGCCACATCGAGTCGCCGCTGCTGCTCGGCTGCATCCCGGTGGTGGTGCAGGTCGGCGGCGTCGCGGGAGGCACCGCCCACGAACTTGTACCCTGTGACGCGACACGTCCCCCGCGCAGGACGGCATCCTCACTGCGTGGGAGGACGTGCTCGATTTCGACTCGTTCGCGCTGCGGCTGCCGCGCGCCAAGCTGCCGCGACTCGCCGAGGAGCTGCGCGCAGTGCCGCCCGAGCGCGTCGCCGCGCTGCAGGCGGGCGGGCGGCGCGTCTGGGAGCGCTTCACTTTCTCCTCGCTCGGGCTCGCCGAGAAGCGGCGCATGTGCGGCGGCACGCACTTCACCGCCGCCGCCGACGGCTGCGTGCCGCGGCTTGGCGCGCCCGGCGGCAAGCATTCGCAGGCTTTCCTGGCCAGTTCGGCGATCACGGGTCAGGACGCGATCGCCACGCTGCTGCAGCTGCTGCGGGCGCGGCTGCTAGAGCGCACCAGCCCCGAGAGAGGGTAGGTGAGGTGCACGAGCTCGATGAGTCGTGTGTATGTGTCGTTCATTATAAAGAGCGTTCGTGGAGTGCCGGATAATTGCGTTCCGATCCCAGGTTAGGACGTCCATATCCAACTCGTTTCCTATATTCGACGTTCTTGCTCATATGCGTTTCCGGGCTCCGATTCGTTTCCGAGATTCGTTTCCAGTTTCCCCTCCCTGTCCCCTGACAAAATCTTTGCCCTCTCCTTTTCTACATACATATTGATATCAACACATTTTTTTGACGTTGGTGTTGAGTCAGTTGCAGGGTGACTTGGAGCACTTGGAGTGCAGTCATCAACCTCACATCCAGGGCCGGGGAGCTGAGAAGCGCACCCAGCGAGCCGGATGATCGGCATCGGGCTACGGGCTAGAGAGCCCTGACCCCTAGCTAGGGGGGGGGTGCGCATTCGCAGGGCAAGGGCCTTAAAGTAAACACGGGTCTCCGAGGGTTAGCTCCGCGCTCCAGGTTTCCCCTAGCAGCAGAACGCCCCCTCTACTCGGAGCTAGTAAACACTCGACACGGACTCGACGCCCATCCACACCCGGCACCTCACCACACCGGACCCCTCTTCGAGGTCTCCCAACTTTCACTCCGGGGCGTCTTCCCCCACCTCTCGGTCCTTCCTCCTGGCCGCATCCCGATAGTTGTGCGACGGGCGCGGGGCCCGGCCTCCCCTCCTAGCCTTTTTCGGCTGCGGCCCCGCCGCCGTCTCGTCTTCTCTGCCTGATCCTGTCGACTCCGCCTCCGGCGATCCCACGCCCGACTCCCCGGGTGAGGGCGGCGGCATCACTCGTCGCCACTCCTCTCCGGGAGGTCGGGCCGGCTCTCCCCGGTCAGCGAGTCGCGCCCGCACCCGTGGCCTCTCTATCGTTCTCGGCTCGCCCTCCCCTTCCTCCTGCTCCTCACTAAACTCGGGAAGGCGCGGTCCCTTTTGTCGTAAGTCACGGCGGTCTATCCAACGCCGCGACGGATCTACCCCTGGTGGGCTCACACGGCCCGGTTCCACTCTCAGAGGCCGAGTCAGCTCGACTCTCACCTCCTCCGAGAGTTGACCCCAAGCCCCCCCCGGGGCCCTCCGGCCACGGCCCTCCGGTTCGCCGGCGGGTCCGTTATCGTATTGCGGCGACTCCCCTCCCCCAGCTCCTCCTCTCGGGTACTCCAGCCTCCGGTGGGGCGGCTCCGGATCCCTCTGATTATTCCGAGTGGGGCCACACGGTGGCGGCTCCGCCGGCGGCGGGGGTGGAGGCGGAGGCGGGGGTGGCGGGCACGGTGGCGGCCCTCGCGGCCAACGCGCCTGGTGTGGAGCCGCTGGGGCGGCCCCACGACCCTGCAGCCGTTCCAGCGGCGGGGGCGGAAGTGGCAGCGTGGGTGGCGGAAACAAAATAAAATATTCTTAGCTTCAAGCCCCCCTCCGAGACTAGGGACAGAACCACACCAGTATAGACCAGAGGGACTGCGCCTCGCCCCCACTTGCCCTGACTGCACAGGATAGCGTGCCCCGATAACGGCGACACATAGTGGGGGACACTGCGCAAGGAGGGGGTGCGAAGGCTCATTGGGGTGCTAGGTGGGACCATGAGGGGGGGTGGGCGGGGTCCTGTGGGGGTGATATGTTGCGCGGCGAATTCGAACCTACCCCCTCGCCGCGCCGATCCTCACGCGGAGGGTAAAACCCTGTGGGACAAAACCCCCCCGCGGTCGGCAGTCTTCAGAGTGGACCCCCCCCTCCCCAGCCTCCCCTGTGCATCTCGCACCCCCCCCCGCTCCCCCATCGGTGACTCGCGAAGGACACGGACACTCGGGGTGAGGGGGGGTCCCCCCGGAGGGGGCTTTGGGGCATTGTTGGGTTGATCGCTCGTGCCGATCTCGGGTCGATCTCGGGTCGATCTCGGGTCGATCTCGGGTCGATCTCGGGTCGATCTCGGGTCGATCTCGGGTCGATCTCGGGTCGATCTCAGGTCGATCTCGGGTCGATCTCGGGTCGATCTCGGGTCGATCTCGGGTCGATCTCGGGTCGATCTCGGGTCGATCTCGGGTCATGCACGTTGTGTTCGCCTCGTGTGATGGTATTGCTGGTTATTTTGTGCTGTTGCGAGGCTCCTCCTGTCCGCGTCGGATACGGCCTTGAGGCTGGTCAGCGCTGCTGTGATCGCGTCTTTGAAGTCTGACGTGAGCCCCGAGACCCCAGTGGTGTCGATCTCGATTATTTGCTCGAATTTTCTTTTGCTCTCCTCCGACACCTCCGCTGTAAGGTCGGTGTATATCCGATGAGTGTGTTGTAGTCTGATTTTTCCCGCGTATCGTATCGCTGCCCTTCGAAAAGATGTTAGGGCTCTGTAGTAGACCTTTTGCCATATAAAGGTGTTTCTCCCTTCGACTCGGTGGTGACTATTGACGCCGGCTCGTGGTCTAGGATTTTTGCGTCTCTCTTTCGGGCGAAGAAGTCGTGGACTCCTGGTTCGTGAACAGCTGAGAGGCCGTCGAGTGTCGGGAGGTATATCTGCGTCGATGCGGGTCGATGTTGTGCTTTTGGTTCCATCTCGGAGGGTGATGTTATGATGCGAGGTGTAGAAGGGGGCGGGTCCGAGCCATTCTCTCGCGACGTCGACTAGTCCGAAGTGCGTCATCACATCGGCAAGTTCGTTTGCCCCTCTGTTGTCGTATGGCGAGGCGGCGTCTGATCTTACGTCCAGCTGGACATCTGGGACGCAGTTGGCGTCGATTCCGAGGACGGTCTGTTTGGTGAGGAAATGTCTCAGCTCTTTTTTGAAGAATTCGGGGCGTCGGCTCCCGTCGGCGTGGGCGTATACCGAGGCTAGTCGTAGGGGGCGGCCGTCTACCATCGCTGGAACCGAGACGCCCCGTCCGTCACTCATTCGTCGCATGTTTTTTTTCATTCTGTCGACTGTGTCGTGATATGTCTCTCCGGGGTGAGACTCTATTTTGTCTTTTGGGATGAGGATGGCTGTGCCTCCCCTTTGGTGCTGGCTGTTGTTTTGCCCGATTGTGTAGAGGGGGACGGCGAAGAGTTCGAACCAGTAGGTGCTCGCCTTGCGTTTGAAGTCTTCGACTTTTCGGATGCCTGTCTCCTGGAGGAATATGGCGGTGATGGGCCGTGCTTTGTGCTCGTCTCGTATGGCTAGGAGTATCTGCTCCCATCTGGGTAGCCCTCCGATGCTTCCGAGATTTTTGGTGATAAATCTGCTCGGGCCCGGGTTGGGTTCGATTCCTTCCTCTGTCAGGTCGCGCTTCCAGGCCTCGGCGAGAGTGTGAGTCGCGCGAGGGGTGGTCTGCTCGGCGTGTGGATCAGATGTGGCCTCGTTGGCGCCTCTAGTTCCGTCGTCGTGGTCGGCGGTGGCGGAGATGGCGGTTGGTGAGGTGGCGGACCGTCTGCTGTCTGTCTGCGTGCTCGCCTGTAAATGCTCCGCGGGTGCGGCGGTCGGCAAATTGGCTTGGGTTTTGCGCTCTGGGTCCCGGGTCGGGCGGGTACGTCTGCGTGGCTCGGCCCGGTTTTTGGTCTCGCGTCGGGAGTTCGTGTTCGAGAGATTTTCAAGGCAGGGGTCCATGAACGATTTCTTTTTCGCACGATGTTTTCTTTTTTCCCGAGACGGTCGCTCTTTACACAAACCTGGCTCGTGGCCTTCAGACGGAGGAGGGACTAGGGGCTCACCGAGTGGTCTCTTTGGATCGTGGGAGCTCGTGCCGCTGTGCTTGCGCGTTGCTTGGGAGGCTTGCGGTCCTGGTGAGGTCACAGGTTGTTGCTGGTTGGGGGTCCTTGTTGTGCACCCTGCCGGGGCTCGTGCCTGAGATGCATTATTGGGCGGGGTTGGCCTTTGGGGCTTTTGGGTCGGGCTTTGGAGGTGGGCGTGGAGGGCGGAGGTGGGCGTGGACGGCGGAGGTGGGCGTGGAGGGCGGAGGTGGGCGTGGAGGGCGGAGGTGGGCGTGGAGGGCGGAGGTGGGCGTGGAGGGCGGAGGTGGGCGTGGAGGGCGGAGGTGGGCGTGGAGGGCGGAGGTGGGCGTGGAGGGCGGAGGTGGGCGCTTTCGGAGCTCTCGGCTGAGGGGTGGCGGAAACAGTGGCGGCACTGGCGGCCGCACCGCCTGGTATGGGGCCTCAGAGTTGGCCCCTCGACCCAGCGGTCGCTCCAGCGGCGGGGGCGGGGGTGGTGTTGGTGGGGGCGGGCCTGATGGCGGTGCCGGCCGCCGCATCTCCTGGGGTGGGGCCTCGGGGGATGCCCCCTGCCCCTGCGGCCGTTCCAGCCGCGGTTCCACGCGTCGGCCGTCCACCCCGCTCGTGGGGGGGGGCCTAGCTCTCGTCTCCCCTCGGGGGGGGGGGGGGGGCAGGGCCCGGATTCGCCGACGGCCCCGCTTCTCCCCCCTCCCGCCCCGCATCAGGCCGTAAATTGCCCAGGAGTCGCGTCGCCTCCCCCCTCGCCCGGTCCTTCTCGATTCGGTCCCGCACCGCCCGGATATCAAAGGCCGAGTTGTGTTCAGACAGCGGGCCCGCCGATGCCACCCGCCTCTTCACACAGCAGGCGTACGCCTTCAGCGCCTGCCCCCCCGACTGTGTCGGCCCCGGTGCGATGTCGTTGACGAGGTAGTCCTCCCCTTCCCACCGGAAAACCTGTCCAAGGAGGTCCGTCGAGCCAACCAGTCGTTTAGCCAGGTGACGATTTTTAACCCTCCTACGCAGATACGACAAAATACGTCTGCTCATGGCGCCGAGCCCTGGTCTGGACACCAGATCGGCCCCCCCGCCCCTAACATTAGCCTCCCAGCCGCTCTGTCGGCCATAATGTTAGGGGCGGGGCGGCCAAAATCACGCAAACCCATCTGCGTAGGAGGGTTAATCCGCCAAGTTCAGAACATATATATAGACTGGAGTGGCGATGGGTGCGTTTCATACAGTGATCGGGCACTGCCGCCGATCGATGCTTGGCCGCCGTGAGTCAAGCCAGCCCCAAACTGCGGAGCTCCACTTGCACAGACCGCTCACAGCGGTCACGAGCTGGCCCGCTGGCCGCCTTAGCCCAGCCACAATCGCGGCACAGTCTCTGTGATGTGTCGACGTCGAGACAGTGCAGCCAGCGCAGCCAGAGCATGCCGGCATGGGCTGAGACGGACCAGCAACGCAGCGCTGAGCAATTCACGCGCACGGCACGGGTCGGGCACGACTCCTACAGTCGCCATGCCACCACACCGAACGGCTGGCAGCGACAGCCAATGCCAGTGCATGCTGAGGACGAGTGGCGGCGTGCAGCTGCTGACCAACAATTTATCGCCGCGACTCATCCGTAAAGCCGCCACGCGACCAACTCGTGCACAGGCGGCCATACTGAGCGCGATGGCGACACAGCTGGGTGCGAGATAGCGGCCTCCGACCCGTCTCGCGCATTATCTCGGCCTCGTCGAGCAGTACCAGTGACGCGTCCTGTGCCGGCGAGGATGATGAAGCGAGGTGCTCGCGCAGAGTGTGTGCTTCAACAGCGGCGCGAGACCACCGATTAGCTCGGCGATCGACGACACACACACGCACGACTCGTCTGCGAGTGATCTCGGCCGCGTTTCTGTCGTCGAGATGGCCGTATCGAGGCTGCCTATGCGAAGCAATCCGCCGTGATCTCGAGGTGAACAGCGTCTGCGAGCTTCGACGATCTCTCGCTAGCGGTGTCACTCAAACGCGTTTTTCTGTAGGTGAGCTGCTTGCTGCTGGCGCCAGCTGTGCGACACTCTCAGCCGAGCTCTGAGCCGCTCCTCGCCCCGTGTCGCAGGCCATTCGACGGCTCATGCGCTAGGTTCGCCCATGGCAGCGTGCGGCTTGCCGCGCGTCGCTGCCGTCTTGCTCGCGGCAGCATCTCAGCTCAGCCAGCTCTGTCGCGCCCGCTGCCGCCGCCCTCGGCCGACACGGTCGCGCCGGGTGTACCCGGTGGCCTCTCGCCGTCGCCAGCGCGCGCTGAACCGGAGCCGCCGACGAAACCGCCTATAGGTGTGCTACGCGCCGAGGCACCGTCGGGCCGGCCACCAGCCGTCGCCGCCACCACAATCGCTGCCCTCGGCTCTGCCGCCGTTTTGCGAGCTGCCTCGCAGACCGTTTGCGCGGCGTGTGAGTCACTCTCAGCCCTCGGCGCGACTAGTCAGCAGTAGCGAGTGTGTGCGTCGCTGCTAGAGCCGGCCGAGGCAGTCCCGAGGGCTCCTCGCAGCGACTCGAGCGGGTCCGAATTCACTCGGCGACCGGTAAAATAGCGACGGTGTCACTTTTCAAAGACGTACGTAACACGCGGACCGCCTCCCCCACCGTGCGATTGCCTTCAGTGGCCGCCAGACGTCCGGACCGCTCGCTTCTTGTGTGCAGCAGGGATTGCTGGCGAATGCCGCAAGTGGCTTTGGTGCTCGCGAGCACCCTCGCATACCCTTTCTTCGGCCTAGGGCCAAGCCTCCGGTCCCGTGCCGCCCACATGTTGCCCGACTTGGATGCCTGAGGCACGGCTGTGGCCGGTAGTGCACGAAAAACGAGAAAACAGGCATTTTCGATTTCGCCGACTTTGCCCATTAACCCTCCTACGCAGATACGACAAAATACGTCTGCTCATGGCGCCGAGCCCTGGTCTGGACACCAGATCGGCCCCCCCGCCCCTAACATTAGCCTCCCAGCCGCTCTGTCGGCCATAATGTTAGGGGCGGGGCGGCCAAAATCACGCAAACCCATCTGCGTAGGAGGGTTAAATGAGATTTTGGGCATTGGGTGGCGTCCGTGGAGAGCAGTACCTATAGAGCCGTACCACACCCGTCCCCCACACGGAGATCACTTAGCGTTTCTACGGTAAGTCTTAAGCGCCAGATGGCGCGGTGGCAGCTCTGTTCGGCTCCACTCGCTCCGCTCGGCTCCACTCGCTCCGCTCGGCTCCGCTCGGCTCCGCTCGGCTCGGCTCCGCTCGGCTCCGCTCGGCTCCGCTCGGCTCCACTACACTCTCGCCTCCACTCGTTCCACTCAGCTCAGCGCCCAGAGGGTGTGTGCATGACCTAGCTGAGGCCACAAGCCCAGCTCGTCAGACCTGGCGCTTAAGACTTAGGAATGCTAAGCGATCTCACGGCAGCCGGGATGGCGATGAGACGTGTTTGCCGACCACGCGGGCCACGAAGTGTCAGGTGCCCGGGGGGGGGGTGCTCGGAGATAGCCGCGCAGCGGCTATGTAGGCACCAAACTATTACGTTCCGCGCGCTGAACGAGCGTTTGTCGGACCCTCGCGCTTCTAGGCGCCCGAGTCCTGTTCTCGTCTGCCCCACCCTCCCTCCCTGGCAGACGATTGTGTTGTGTTTGTGTTGTGTGTGAGCGTCGGGCCTTATTTGTGGGCGCCGACGACGCTCGGGGTCGTCTGGCAACGGCACCGGGAGCTCGAGACGCAGCTCTCGGGGCCAGCCAACCCAGGAGTCGATTTTAGGACCAATCTCAATGACAATCTATATCAACATGAACGACGGGGACTCGGACGCGATGGGTAAGGACTCCCTGCCACCCGATGTACGTTAAGCCGGTTCAGTTCCAGAGACCTCCTCCGGGTCAGGAGCAAACGTTGCCGAATTCAGCCTCCCCGAGCGGTGCCACGAGAGCCTCCTTCCATGTGGGATTCGCTGCCTGGCACTCGGGTGTCTCGCACGAGGCCGTGGCGGAGTAGGTGGCAGCGTAGCCGTTCCCATTGGAGAGAGCAGACCAGCCCGCGTACTTGAACGAGTACGGCTTGACGTAGCCGTTGTCTGCGATGAGCTTGTTGATCGCTGCCTCGCCCTCAGCCACGTGGGCCTCATCGTTGATCCACGCGGCCAGCTCCTGCTTCATCTCCGCGACGGTGGTGCAGGTCGCGGCAGACGATGTCGGCGTTGAAGACATTGGAAGCGAACGTTCGTCAACAGCCGCGTCTTCGCAAAGGTCAAACTGTGCCTCGCCGAGCGGTGCGACGAGAGCCTCCTTCCATGTGGGATTCGCTGCCTGGCACTCGGGTGTCTCGCACGAGGCCGTGGCGGAGTAGGTGGCAGCGTAGCCGTTGTCATTGGAGAGAGCAGACCAGCCCGCGTACTTGAACGAGTACGGCTTGACGTAGCCGTTGTCTGCGATGAGCTTGTTGATCGCTGCCTCGCCCTCAGCCACGTGGGCCTCATCGTTGATCCACGCGGCCAGCTCCTGCTTCATCTCCGCGACGGTGGTGCAGGTCGCGGCAGACGATGTCGGCGTTGAAGACATTGGAAGCGAACGTTCGTCAACAGCCGCGTCTTCGCAAAGGTCAAACTGTGCCTCGCCGAGCGGTGCGACGAGAGCCTCCTTCCATGTGGGATTCGCTGCCTGGCACTCGGGTGTCTCGCACGAGGCCGTGGCGGAGTAGGTGGCAGCGTAGCCGTTGTCATTGGAGAGAGCAGACCAGCCCGCGTACTTGAACGCGTACGGCTTGACGTAGCCGTTGTCTGCGATGAGCTTGTTGATCGCTGCCTCGCCCTCAGCCGAATGGGCCTCATCGTTGACCCACGCGGCCAGCTCCTGCTTCATCTCAACGAAAGTGACGAGACCAGGCCCACACGGCGGGAGCGATGGAGCCGCCGAGGCGGCCGCTTTTTCGGCAGCCTTGGCTATATCTTCGGGCGGCATGTCCTCCTCGAGCGCCTTCGCCGCCGCAGCGGTCGCCGCCTCGGCCGCCTTAGCCGCCTCCTCCGGATCGAGGCCCTTGTTGACCGCGTCGGCGGCAGCCTTGGCCGCCGCCTCGACGACCTCGGGCGGCATGTCCTCCTCGAGCGCCTTCGCCGCCGCAGCGGACGCCGCCTCGGCCGCCTTGGCCGCCTCCTCCGGATCGACGCCCTTGCTGACCGCGTCGGCGGCAGCCTTGGCCGCCTCCTCGACGACCTCGGGCGGCATGTCGTCCTCGAGCGCCTTGGCCGCCGCAGCGGACGCCGCCTCGGCAACCTTGGCCGCCTCCTCCGGATCGACGCCCTTGCTGACTGCGTCGGCGGCAGCCTTGGCCGCCTCCTCGACGACCTCGGGCGGCATGTCGTCCTCGAGCGCCTTCGCCGCCGCAGCGGACGCCGCCTCGGCCACCTTGGCCGCCTCCTCCGGATCGACGCCCTTGCTGACTGCGTCGGCGGCAGCCTTGGCCGCCTCCTCGACGACCTCGGGCGGCATGTCGTCCTCGAGCGCCTTCGCCGCCGCAGCGGACGCCGCCTCGGCAACCTTGGCCGCCTCCTCCGGATCGACGCCCTTGCTGACCGCGTCGGCGGCAGCCTTGGCCGCCTCCTCGACGACCTCGGGCGACATGTCCTCCTCGAGCGCCTTCGCCGCCGCAGCGGACGCCGCCTCGGCAACCTTGGCCGCCTCCTCTGGCTCGGCGCCCTTGCTGACCGCGTCGGCGGCAGCCTTGGCCGCCTCCTCGACGACCTCGGGCGACATGTCCTCCTCGAGCGCCTTCGCCGCCGCAGCGGACGCCGCCTCGGCCACCTTGGCCGCCTCCTCCGGATCGACGCCCTTGCTGACCGCGTCGGCGGCAGCCTTGGCCGCCTCCTCGACGACCTCGGGCGGCATGTCGTCCTCGAGCGCCTTCGCCGCCGCAGCGGACGCCGCCTCGGCAACCTTGGCCGCCTCCTCTGGCTCGGCGCCCTTGCTGACCGCGTCGGCGGCAGCCTTGGCCGCCTCCTCGACGACCTCGGGCGGCATGTCGTCCTCGAGCGCCTTCGCCGCCGCAGCGGACGCCGCCTCGGCCACCTTGGCCGCCTCCTCCGGATCGACGCCCTTGCTGACTGCGTCGGCGGCAGCCTTGGCCGCCTCCTCGACGACCTCGGGCGGCATGTCCTCCTCGAGCGCCTTCGCCGCCGCAGCGGACGCCGCCTCGGCCACCTTGGCCGCCTCCTCCGGATCGACGCCCTTGCTGACTGCGTCGGCGGCAGCCTTGGCCGCCTCCTCGACGACCTCGGGCGGCATGTCGTCCTCGAGCGCCTTCGCCGCCGCAGTGGACGCCGCCTCGGCAACCTTGGCCGCCTTCTCCGGATCGACGCCCTTGCTGACTGCGTCTGCGGCAGCCTTGGCCGCCTCCTCGACGACCTCGGGCGGCATGTCGTCCTCGAGCGCCTTCGCCGCCGCAGCAGACGCCGCCTCGGCAACCTTGGCTGCCTCCTCCGGATCGACGCCCTTGCTGACTGCGTCGGCGGCAGCCTTGGCCGCCTCCTCGGCGACCTCGGGCGGCATGTCGTCCTCGAGCGCCTTCGCCGCTGCTGCGGACGCCGCCTCGGCCACCTTGGCTGCCTCCTCCGGCTCGAGGCCCTTGCTGACTGCGTCGGCGGCAGCCTTGGCCGCCTCCTCGACGACCTCGGGCGGCATGTCGTCCTCGAGCGCCTTCGCCGCCGCAGCGGACGCCGCCTCGGCCGCCTTGGCCGCCTCCTCCGGATCGACGCCCTTGCTGACTGCGTCGGCGGCAGCCTTGGCCGCCTCCTCGGCGACCTCGGGCGGCATGTCGTCCTCGAGCGCCTTCGCCGCCGCAGCGGACGCCGCCTCGGCCGCCTTGGCCGCCTCCTCCGGATCGACGCCCTTGCTGACTGCGTCGGCGGCAGCCTTGGCCGCCTCCTCGGCGACCTCGGGCGGCATGTCGTCCTCGAGCGCCTTCGCCGCCGCAGCGGACGCCGCCTCGGCAACCTTGGCCGCCTCCTCCGGATCGACGCCCTTGCTGACTGCGTCGGCGGCAGCCTTGGCCGCCTCCTCGACGACCTCGGGCGGCATGTCCTCCTCGAGCGCCTTAGCCGCCGCAGCAGACGCCGCCTCGGCCACCTTGGCTGCCTCCTCCGGATCGACGCCCTTGCTGACTGCGTCGGCGGCAGCCTTGGCCGCCTCCTCGACGACCTCGGGCGGCATGTCGTCCTCGAGCGCCTTCGCCGCCGCAGCGGACGCCGCCTCGGCAACCTTGGCCGCCTCCTCCGGATCGAGGCCCTTGCTGACTGCGTCGGCGGCAGCCTTGGCCGCCTCCTCGACGACCTCGGGCGGCATGTCCTCCTCGAGCGCCTTCGCCGCCGCAGCGGACGCCGCCTCGGCAACCTTGGCCGCCTCCTCCGGATCGAGGCCCTTGCTGACTGCGTCGGCGGCAGCCTTGGCCGCCTCCTCGACGACCTCGGGCGGCATGTCCTCCTCGAGCGCCTTCGCCGCCGCAGTGGACGCCGCCTCAGCCACCTTGGCCGCCTCCTCCGGATCGACGCCCTTGCTGACTGCGTCGGCGGCAGCCTTGGCAGCCTCCTCGACGACCTCGGGCGGCATGTCCTCCTCGAGCGCCTTCGCCGCCGCAGCGGACGCCGCCTCGGCCGCCTTGGCCGCCTCCTCCGGATCGAGGCCCTTGCTGACTGCGTCGGCGGCAGCCTTGGCCGCCTCCTCGGCGACCTCGGGCGGCATGTCCTCCTCAAGCGCCTTCGCCGCCGCAGCGGACGCCGCCACGGCCGCCTTGGCCGCCTCCTCCGGCTCGTGGCCCTCTTCGCAAAGGTCAAACTGTGCCTCGCCGAGCGGTGCGACGAGAGCCTCCTTCCATGTGGGATTCGCTGCCTGGCACTCGGGTGTCTCGCACGAGGCCGTGGCGGAGTAGGTGGCAGCGTAGCCGTTGTCATTGGAGAGAGCAGACCAGCCCGCGTACTTGAACGCGTACGGCTTGACGTAGCCGTTGTCTGCGATGAGCTTGTTGATCGCTGCCTCGCCCTCAGCCGAATGGGCCTCATCGTTGACCCACGCGGCCAGCTCCTGCTTCATCTCAACGAAAGTGACGAGACCAGGCCCACACGGCGGGAGCGATGGAGCCGCCGAGGCGGCCGCTTTTTCGGCAGCCTTGGCTATATCTTCGGGCGGCATGTCCTCCTCGAGCGCCTTCGCCGCCGCAGCGGTCGCCGCCTCGGCCGCCTTAGCCGCCTCCTCCGGATCGAGGCCCTTGTTGACCGCGTCGGCGGCAGCCTTGGCCGCCGCCTCGACGACCTCGGGCGGCATGTCCTCCTCGAGCGCCTTCGCCGCCGCAGCGGTCGCCGCCTCGGCCGCCTTGGCCGCCTCCTCCGGATCGACGCCCTTGTTGACCGCGTCGGCGGCAGCCTTGGCCGCCTCCTCGACGACCTCGGGCGGCATGTCGTCCTCGAGCGCCTTGGCCGCCGCAGCGGACGCCGCCTCGGCAACCTTGGCCGCCTCCTCCGGATCGACGCCCTTGCTGACTGCGTCGGCGGCAGCCTTGGCCGCCTCCTCGACGACCTCGGGCGGCATGTCGTCCTCGAGCGCCTTCGCCGCTGCTGCGGACGCCGCCTCGGCAATCTTGGCCGCCTCCTCCGGCTCGACGCCCTTGCTGACTGCGTCGGCGGCAGCCTTGGCCGCCTCCTCGGCGACCTCGGGCGGCATGTCGTCCTCGAGCGCCTTCGCCGCCGCAGCGGACGCCGCCTCGGCCACCTTGGCCGCCTCCTCCGGATCGACGCCCTTGCTGACTGCGTCGGCGGCAGCCTTGGCCGCCTCCTCGACGACCTCGGGCGGCATGTCCTCCTCGAGCGCCTTGGCCGCCGCAGCGGACGCCGCCTCGGCAACCTTGGCCGCCTCCTCCGGATCGACGCCCTTGCTGACTGCGTCGGCGGCAGCCTTGGCCGCCTCCTCGACGACCTCGGGCGGCATGTCCTCCTCGAGCGCCTTCGCCGCCGCAGCGGACGCCGCCTCGGCCACCTTGGCCGCCTCCTCCGGATCGACGCCCTTGCTGACCGCGTCGGCGGCAGCCTTGGCCGCCTCCTCGACGACCTCGGGCGACATGTCCTCCTCGAGCGCCTTCGCCGCCGCAGCGGACGCCGCCTCGGCAACCTTGGCCGCCTCCTCTGGCTCGGCGCCCTTGCTGACCGCGTCGGCGGCAGCCTTGGCCGCCTCCTCGACGACCTCGGGCGGCATGTCGTCCTCGAGCGCCTTCGCCGCCGCAGCGGACGCCGCCTCGGCCACCTTGGCCGCCTCCTCCGGCTCGAGGCCCTTGCTGACTGCGTCGGCGGCAGCCTTGGCCGCCTCCTCGACGACCTCGGGCGGCATGTCGTCCTCGAGCGCCTTCGCCGCCGCAGCGGACGCCGCCTCGGCCGCCTTGGCCGCCTCCTCCGGATCGACGCCCTTGCTGACTGCGTCGGCGGCAGCCTTGGCCGCCTCCTCGGCGACCTCGGGCGGCATGTCGTCCTCGAGCGCCTTCGCCGCCGCAGCGGACGCCGCCTCGGCAACCTTGGCCGCCTCCTCCGGATCGACGCCCTTGCTGACTGCGTCGGCGGCAGCCTTGGCCGCCTCCTCGACGACCTCGGGCGGCATGTCGTCCTCGAGCGCCTTCGCCGCCGCAGTGGACGCCGCCTCGGCAACCTTGGCCGCCTTCTCCGGATCGACGCCCTTGCTGACTGCGTCGGCGGCAGCCTTGGCCGCCTCCTCGACGACCTCGGGCGGCATGTCGTCCTCGAGCGCCTTCGCCGCCGCAGCAGACGCCGCCTCGGCAACCTTGGCTGCCTCCTCCGGATCGACGCCCTTGCTGACTGCGTCGGCGGCAGCCTTGGCCGCCTCCTCGGCGACCTTGGGCGGCATGTCGTCCTCGAGCGCCTTCGCCGCTGCAGCGGACGCCGCCTCGGCCACCTTGGCCGCCTCCTCCGGCTCGAGGCCCTTGCTGACCGCGTCGGCGGCAGCCTTGGCCGCCTCCTCGACGACCTCGGGCGGCATGTCCTCCTCGAGCGCCTTCGCCGCTGCTGCGGACGCCGCCTCGGCCGCCTTGGCCGCCTCCTCCGGATCGACGCCCTTGCTGACTGCGTCGGCGGCAGCCTTGGCCGCCTCCTCGGCGACCTCGGGCGGCATGTCCTCCTCGAGCGCCTTCGCCGCCGCAGCGGACGCCGCCTCGGCAACCTTGGCCGCCTCCTCCGGATCGACGCCCTTGCTGACTGCGTCGGCGGCAGCCTTGGCCGCCTCCTCGACGACCTCGGGCGGCATGTCGTCCTCGAGCGCCTTCGCCGCTGCTGCGGACGCCGCCTCGGCAATCTTGGCCGCCTCCTCCGGATCGACGCCCTTGCTGACTGCGTCGGCGGCAGCCTTGGCCGCCGCCTCGGCTGCCTCGGGCGGCATGTCGTCCTCGAGCGCCTTCGCCGCAGCAGTGGACGCCGCCTCGGCCGCCTTGGCCGCCTCCTCCGGCTCGACGCCCTTGCTGACTGCGTCGGCGGCAGCCTTGGCCGCCTCCTCGGCGACCTCGGGCGGCATGTCCTCCTCGAGCGCCTTCGCCGCCGCAGCGGACGCCGCCTCGGCAACCTTGGCCGCCTCCTCCGGATCGACGCCCTTGCTGACTGCGTCGGCGGCAGCCTTGGCCGCCTCCTCGGCGACCTCGGGCGGCATGTCCTCCTCGAGCGCCTTGGCCGCCGCTGCGGACGCCGCCTCGGCCGCCTTGGCCGCCTCCTCCGGCTTGAAGCCCTTGCTGACTGCGTCGGCGGCAGCCTTGGCCGCCGCCTCGGCTGCCTCGGGCGGCATGTCGTCCTCGAGCGCCTTCGCCGCCGCAGCAGACGCCGCCTCGGCCGCCTTGGCCGCCTCCTCCGGATCGACGCCCTTGCTGACTGCGTCGGCGGCAGCCTTGGCCGCCTCCTCGACGACCTCGGGCGGCATGTCGTCCTCGAGCGCCTTCGCCGCCGCAGTGGACGCCGCCTCGGCAACCTTGGCCGCCTCCTCCGGATCGACGCCCTTGCTGACTGCGTCGGCGGCAGCCTTGGCCGCCGCCTCGGCTGCCTCGGGCGGCATGTCCTCCTCGAGCGCCTTCGCCGCCGCAGCGGTCGCCGCCTCGGCCGCCTTAGCCGCCTCCTCCGGATCGAGGCCCTTGTTGACCGCGTCGGCGGCAGCCTTGGCCGCCGCCTCGACGACCTCGGGCGGCATGTCCTCCTCGAGCGCCTTGGCCGCCGCAGCGGACGCCGCCTCGGCAACCTTGGCCGCCTCCTCCGGATCGACGCCCTTGCTGACCGCGTCGGCGGCAGCCTTGGCCGCCTCCTCGACGACCTCGGGCGGCATGTCGTCCTCGAGCGCCTTCGCCGCCGCAGCGGACGCCGCCTCGGCAACCTTGGCCGCCTCCTCCGGCTCGACGCCCTTGCTGACTGCGTCGGCGGCAGCCTTGGCCGCCTCCTCGACGACCTCGGGCGGCATGTCCTCCTCGAGCGCCTTGGCCGCCGCAGCAGACGCCGCCTCGGCCACCTTGGCTGCCTCCTCCGGATCGACGCCCTTGCTGACTGCGTCGGCGGCAGCCTTGGCCGCCTCCTCGACGACCTCGGGCGGCATGTCCTCCTCGAGCGCCTTCGCCGCCGCAGCGGACGCCGCCTCGGCCACCTTGGCCGCCTCCTCCGGATCGACGCCCTTGCTGACTGCGTCGGCGGCAGCCTTGGCCGCCTCCTCGACGACCTCGGGCGGCATGTCCTCCTCGAGTGCCTTAGCCGCCGCAGCAGACGCCGCCTCGGCCACCTTGGCCGCCTCCTCTGGATCGACGCCCTTGCTGACCGCGTCGGCGGCAGCCTTGGCCGCCTCCTCGACGACCTCGGGCGGCATGTCGTCCTCGAGCGCCTTCGCCGCTGCTGCGGACGCCGCCTCGGCCACCTTGGCCGCCTCCTCCGGCTCGAGGCCCTTGCTGACCGCGTCGGCGGCAGCCTTGGCCGCCTCCTCGACGACCTCGGGCGGCATGTCCTCCTCGAGCGCCTTCGCCGCTGCTGCGGACGCCGCCTCGGCCGCCTTGGCCGCCTCCTCCGGATCGACGCCCTTGCTGACTGCGTCGGCGGCAGCCTTGGCCGCCTCCTCGGCGACCTCGGGCGGCATGTCCTCCTCGAGCGCCTTCGCCGCCGCAGCGGACGCCGCCTCGGCAACCTTGGCCGCCTCCTCCGGATCGACGCCCTTGCTGACTGCGTCGGCGGCAGCCTTGGCCGCCTCCTCGGCGACCTCGGGCGGCATGTCCTCCTCGAGCGCCTTGGCCGCCGCTGCGGACGCCGCCTCGGCCGCCTTGGCCGCCTCCTCCGGCTTGAAGCCCTTGCTGACTGCGTCGGCGGCAGCCTTGGCCGCCGCCTCGGCTGCCTCGGGCGGCATGTCGTCCTCGAGCGCCTTCGCCGCCGCAGCAGACGCCGCCTCGGCCGCCTTGGCCGCCTCCTCCGGATCGACGCCCTTGCTGACTGCGTCGGCGGCAGCCTTGGCCGCCGCCTCGGCTGCCTCGGGCGGCATGTCGTCCTCGAGCGCCTTCGCCGCCGCAGCAGACGCCGCCTCGGCCGCCTTGGCCGCCTCCTCCGGATCGACGCCCTTGCTGACTGCGTCGGCGGCAGCCTTGGCCGCCGCCTCGGCTGCCTCGGGCGGCATGTCCTCCTCGAGCGCCTTCGCCGCCGCAGCAGACGCCGCCTCGGCCACCTTGGCCGCCTCCTCCGGCTCGACGCCCTTACTGACTGCGTCGGCGGCAGCCTTGGCCGCCTCCTCGACGACCTCGGGCGGCATGTCGTCCTCGAGCGCCTTGGCCGCCGCTGCGGACGCCGCCTCGGCCGCCTTGGCCGCCTCCTCCGGCTTGAAGCCCTTGCTGACTGCGTCGGCGGCAGCCTTGGCCGCCGCCTCGGCTGCCTCGGGCGGCATGTCGTCCTCGAGCGCCTTCGCCGCCGCAGCAGACGCCGCCTCGGCCGCCTTGGCCGCCTCCTCCGGATCGAGGCCTTTGCTGACCGCGTCGGCGGCAGCCTTGGCCGCCGCCTCGGCGACCTCGGGCGGCATGTCGTCCTCGAGCGCCTTCGCCGCCGCAGCAGACGCCGCCTCGGCAACCTTGGCCGCCTCCTCCGGCTCGACGCCCTTGCTGACTGCGTCGGCGGCAGCCTTGGCCGCCTCCTCGGCGACCTCGGGCGGCATGTCGTCCTCGAGCGCCTTCGCCGCCGCAGTGGACGCCGCCTCGGCCGCCTTGGCCGCCTCCTCCGGCTTGAAGCCCTTGCTGACTGCGTCGGCGGCAGCCTTGGCCGCATCCTCGACGACCTCGGGCGGCATGTCGTCCTCGAGCGCCTTCGCCGCAGCAGCCGACGCTGCCTTGGCCGATTGGGCTGACGTATCCTTGTGTTTGCTCGGGCTTCCCTTGTCTCCTCCTCCGCCTCCCCACCATCCCCAAAGGCCGCTGATATCCGGCATTTTGAAGCCTGGTTCCCCACCTGAGCTTCGCGGTGCCGCTGCTGGCTTAGGGGGTGCTGACCAACCTCGACCAGCGACGGTAGGACCCGTACTTTTCGTTTGGCCTTTGTCCTTTGGCTTGCTATCGTTGCCTCTGCTTCCTTTGCCTCCGCCTCCCCCTCCCCACCATCCCCAAAGGCCGCTGACGTCTGGCATTTTGAAGCCCGGTTCCCCACTTGAGCTTCGCGGCGCCGGCAGGGAAGGAGCTGGTGCTGGCCAACCTCGACCAGCGACGTTAGGAATCGAACTTTTCTTTTGGCCTCCACCGTCGCTAGGACCGGCCGGACCACTGCCGCCCGCTTCTCCTCCGCCACCGCCGTTTCGGCCTGCGCCTCCCCACCATCCCCAAAGGCTGCTGATGTCCGGCATCTTGATGCCTTCACCTTGCGGGCTTCTCGGTGTGAGCTGAGGTGATGACCACCCACGACCCGCAACCTGAGGATGCGACCCCCCCTTCCCGCTCCCTTTCCCCTCCTCGCCAAAGAGTAGGTCGCGAGAAGTGGCGGGTGAAGACGGTTTAGGCTCGGTGTACGCGACGGCACCAGCGCAAAGCCCAACCACGCCTAGTACGCCGAGCACCAGCGGCAGCTTGCTGCCCGTCGACGCCGCTCCACCTGCACCGGCAGGGCCATCGTAAGCTTCGAGACATCTGGGCTCCTGTCAAGCGTCTAGCATAGTAGCAGATCAGATACACGTTTCACCTGCGGCCGGCGGCGCAGAGCTGCTGGCGATCTGATACCAGGCGTCCGAGGTGGCGCTGCCTCCGGCGGCGCCGCCAGCTGCGCCCCCGGCGGCGCCCCCCCCCCTGGGAACGAGTTCGGCATTGTGCTTGCCGTCGCCTGCCTCCGTGTCCATCGTATGCGTTCAGGCGGCGTCGGCCATCCCCCGAATACTCGAGTTGAAAGCGCGCCCTACGAGGGATTGAATCCGCAATTGGAAATTCAGGGGTGTCTGCGGGTACGGGTGGCCCCGCGTGCGTACGTACTTTTAGCGTACGGGGAGAAAAGGGAGAGGGGGTTGTGTTCTCTAGGCCCCTAAGGGCCCTACGCGCGGCGTGAGAGCTCGGAAGCGAGCTTTGCGCGGCGATCGAGGAAGGATGGCGCGGTTCACCCCCTCTCCGACCTCCGCACGGACTTGTGGGAACCGCCCGAGGCGAGCTCCAAAGTCGCCGCGCTCTGCACATGGCAGCATTTCTGCATGGCACTCCCAGCACCTTCTGCGGCGCCGTGTCACCCATTCCACATGGCTGCAGAAACAGTAATACACCCTCCCAATGACCCAACCCGCAACACAAGGGTGCTCGCCTCCAGCACCCAGATGGAGTGCAGCCTCGGCGAGCCAGACACGACCCTCTCGCCCCTCCCGCCACGCGCGAGCCTCTGCAGCAATGCGCGCAACTTAGCGTCTCATGGCCCGTGGCCGCAGGTTGCTGCTGCTGTGCGCCGACTGCGCGCTCTCTGCCGGCCGCCAGCGTGGGCCATGCATCCTACTACCTCAGGAACGCAGTGCCGAGCACCCGAGGCGGCGAGCTGCATGTGAGGGGCGGCTGTGGCCACAGCAGGTTTCAATAGACGGACCTCAAAGCTTGCCGTCGGCGTGCTGTCGTGGCGATAGCACAAGACCGCTGCAGAGGAGCCGAGTGCAGTGGCCAGAGGCTACCTGGGTCACCAAGTGGTAGCCCTTGCCCATTCTGAGCAGGGCTGTGCTTTGGTGGGGTTGTGCTTGAGCGTGTGTGAAGTGGGAGTGCGTGCCGGCGGTGTCTGTGGGTGAATCAGGCGTGTGTGAGGCTTCAGATCCGTGGTATGAGCCAGAGCGAGCTTCATCGCCCAAAATAAGGACGGTTTGGGACAGCTCAGACTTGATACTGATGGGCCTTGGCCAGGAGAGCGGCAGGGAAGGCGAGGTGGTGAGCTGGGAAGCCGCTTCGTCGGCACCTGGACGTGTCGCGATGTGAAGTGCCAAGCTGCCAACAAGTACTACTTGCGGCTATTGCTCCAAACTTCGGGAGAGAAGGCCTACATATTATGACTGCATCCATGCGCCTGGTGTATGAGGGCTGTGGATCAGGACATATCATGGTCGGTGGCGCCGGTAATGCGCTCCGGAAAGCCCTCACAATTGGCTCGGAGATGGGGTCCACCGGGGACAATCTCGGAGCCCTCTCCGTGGCATCACGAGCCGGTGTGAGCTTAAAGACCCGAGATAAGTGCGGTCTGGGACAGCTCAGGCTTGCTACTGATGGGCCTGGGCCATGAGAGCGACAGAGAAGGCGAGGTGGTGAGCTGAGAGCAGGAAATAGCGCTTCGTGGCACTTGCTTCGCGACATCGCGACAAGGTCACACGCGGACTCTCCAGCCTCGAGTCTATCGAGCTCCCCTCGCGCAAGGACCACATTTCTGACTCCCACTCCGATCATTTGCCTACAGGTCATGTTGTTGCTCAGGTCCACTCTCTCTTCGAACACTCGCTCGTGCCTCTACGGATGATGCCGGCGCTGGGGTCCCCTTCGGATGCATCGTGACATCTGACAACTGGCTTTCCACTGGTTCGTCCTCCTCGGAAGTAAAAAAGAAAGAAAGAAAACAGACACGCCAAACGAGGGATGGGAAGTAAAAAGAAAGAAAACAGGCAACCCAAGGGAGGGATGGGAGGACGGTACGCCGCCACCACACAGGGATTTTAGGGGAGAAGTGTGGTGTTAGCCGTCGCCCACCCTCGGGCGTCTACCACTTCCTATCTCTCTCCGCAGTTTATCACCAATTCTTGCAGCGACCTTCATGCCACCTCGCATTCTTCTCACTCTCGTCGGATGGGAAGTAGGTTTGAGTTCATAGCGTGCCGAAATTCTTTTTCAGAGGTGTAATGAAGAGCCATCAGGCTCCTCTCCTCGAGAGAAGGCGATACAAAGAGCGGGAGAAAAAAGCCGCGGGACGTTTACCTACACTAAGCGAGTACCCGGGTACCTGAGGGGAAAGCCAATTGTCCATGAGTCCATGAGTGCACGTCATCAACAAAGCCAATCGCTCAGCCTGACGCGACCGGTGTAATGAAGAGGGGCCATCACGCCATCAGGCTCCTCCTCCTCCTCTCCTCCTCCTCTCCATCGTCCAGCCTGACGCTCGGACGCGTCAGGGCGCTGCGTGCTCTCGGCGAGCGGTCGATCCAATTTGCACGCGACGGCCACTACGACCGCGCAGAGGCGCTACAACGGAGGGTTCTGAATGGGATGCAAAAGCACGGGCACCCAGACATCGCAACCGCCCTGAACAATCTCGCCGACACCTGTTACCTTCAGGGCGCCCTCGAGGAGGCGGAGAGACTGCAGCGCGAGCTGTGGAGTTTTCAGCGCGAGCGCTTGGGTGACGGGCATCCTCAGACGCTCAAGGTGATGGGCATCCTCCTTCCCGTCACACTGACGGCTCAGGGCCGCTTCGCCGAAGCCATGGGCTTGTGCTCCGAGGCGGGGTCGCAGATGGACGAGCACCTAGGAGAAATGCACCCACACACCATCGCGGCTGCGGCGCTGCGCGAGGTCTTGGCGGCGCATGTACAGGGCACCTTTGAGGCCGCCCCCCGCCACCCATGACCTGCCCTGCCCGCTCTGGCTGAACCTGCCTCTGGCGCGTAGGCTCTGTACTCGGCACCGCCGCCGATCTGAAGAGCCTCGAGTGTTTACTGCATGTTTGCTTTGGCGGCAGGGCAGCTCGTTCACCTTCTATTGCATGGCGAGCGGCATCGGTGTGTCAGTAGATGGTGCCCGGTGCCGGCTGCAATGTCTTAGGACGCCGGCCAAAGAAAAAGGTACGGCGGTTCCCCGGCGGGATCAGAGGCAGACCGTGCACTGTACTCTGATTACCCTCTTCCGCATATACGCGTTGGTCGGTGGTCCCTTTAATTCCCCCCCGGGCAGGTGTATGTTATTTTTGCTTGGGGCGGCACTCATGACGGGGTAGGTAGGGTAGGGTCTGGGCCCTCCCGTCGGGTTTTTCCCTCTCTCACGCTGGAATTTTCAGAAAAAGAATTTTTCCGCCCAAATCACGATGTCAACCCTCCCCAAGTCGTTGATCTGGGGTGCTTGTAGGGCTTGAGAGTGGCCTGCCATGTCACAGGAAGGACTGTGGTTGCAGGATAGTACCACCAACCATCACTTTAGTTGGTATAGTACCCCACCTTCACCCACGCCGTGATTTCTTTTTTAGTTTCCCATAAGTAAGGTAGGTAGGTAGGTAGGTAGGTAGGGGCAGGGCAGGGGCCGGTCAGTTTTTTGCAGAATTTCATCATGAGTGCCGCCCAAGCAAAAATAACATACACCTGCCCCGGGGAGAATAGTCGGAACGATCGGCATCGGGGTGTCTTTTGACTTGTGCGTGTGTTGTGAGATTGCCAAATTGCAAATCTGAAATCAAAACATAACAATAAAAAAGATCAAAGTCAAACTCTGAGACGAAGTCTGAGGGAGATAGAGCCGTGTATCTAATATCTTCTCATACTGAGAGTGCCATGGAGAGTGCCCATGTCGCGCATATGTGCCCGTCCACATGCTCCACAAGCAAATGCACATGTAGTTAAATAAATAAGGAGAGGAAATTCATGCCGAGAGGTAGAATACGTCGCGGACAGAGCGACGCAGCGGCGTCCATCAACACGCACCCAGACCGTCGACCGCCGCCCCCCGGCCCCCTTAGGCCTCACATCTCCGCGCTGGGCAGGTGGTTGCCGGGCAGCGTGTTGCCGAGCGAAGCGCGGCTGCGGCGCGCGGTGACGCCGGTGCGGTTGCGCCAGAAGAGCTCCGCCTCGCTCGCCGGCCGGTCGCTGGTGAGCTTGCGGTAGTAGTCGCACAGCACGCGGACGGTCTTCTCGACGCTCGGGTGGCCGCTCGCCTGCGTGCTGGGGAGCGGGTCACCTCTACCGCGAAGTCGGGAGCAGGGAGGGAGGCGGAGGCTCGCCGCGTGCACGGCGGTGAGCCACTGCAGCTGGAAGTCAAAGACGGCGAGCTGCTTCTCCTTCTTCGGGATGAAGCCCGCGCGCGTGCCGCTGTGGCAGTGCAGGCAGCGGATCACCTGAGGGCGGGCAGCGGTCTCAGCGAGGTCAAGGGCTTGGCGATCGATCCGCCGGCGGTAGCGCCTTGAAGATGAGCTTCTTCACGAGCGGCGCCTCCGAGTTGGCCACGTACACCAGGTGCCGCAGCACCTCGCCCGCATCAGAGAAGAGGTACGCAGACGCCATCTCGTCCAGCCAGTCAAAGTGGTCAAAGTAGAGCGGCCAGCTGTGCTCCACCAGCGCGCCGTAGCAGCCCGCGCACGCCGGCGGGTGCGGCCACCGCTTGAGCTCCTCCTTGATCGTCATCGCGTTGGAGCCGCCAGGCCGCATCAGGTTCCGCTGCGCGAGCGGCGCAGCCTTCGCCGGCAGGGCTCCGCCTGCCCTCCCTGCCGACGCTTCCTTCCTGCGGCAGGCATGCCCTGCAGGCTCCTTTGCCGGCTCGTCACAACCGTGCGCCGCCGCCGCCTCCTCGCGCGCCTTGCGAGCCGCGAGAAGCGCCTTCGACTTCTCTCGCACAGGGTCCGGGATGCCCTCCGCCTCCATTCGCTCGGCGCGGGCGACCCGCTCCTGCACCTTGGCCTTGGCCTTGGCCCACTCGCGCGCCTCCCAATCACGCACAACGCTCTTGTTCTGCTCGCGGAGGATGTGCACGAGCTGGCGATATCCAGTCTTTGGATCGAGCGATGTCGCGGCTTCGGAGGCGGACGCTTTTGGTGTCGACGGTGGCGAGGACGGCAGAGAGGATGGCGGCGCTGACGGTGAGACACGGCGACGGCGACGGCGTTCGCTGATGAAAAGGGCGAGAACCACGGCGCTCGTAGCGGAGACGAGCACCAGCGATCGGCCCATGTACATAACCGGCTTCAGTTGCCCGGGCGGGAAGAGGTTTGGTGATCTGTGATCTGTAAGGTCCGCCCGCAGGCGCATTTTGTTGTATACCGAGGCGGTGCCCGGTGCCGAACCTGTCGGACCTTAAGACAGCATTGTAGATCCCTGGGCGAGGGTGGTGGCGGTTTGGTATCTAGATACAGGCGATACAGGCACCCCAGTCACACTGTTCGGTCCATGAATTCTTTTTAGGTGAACTGTGCCGGAGCATCCTCCACCCGTGCCCAGTGTTGTCGATCCACGCCCCCCTGGCCGCCCCTTGGCTCCTCCACGTTCATCTCCGATGCCAGTGTGCAGCGACTGCAGTGTCCAAGTGAGCAGTGTTGTGCTTGCTGCTGTGTGTTTGTGCTGTACTCGAGTATCTCCGAGATAGTATCTGTGTCGTTGCACCCTTGTGTGCAGTGTGGGCACTTGCACTACGAACATTATTTTGCGTTCCGTGGCACGTTTTTCTGAATAGCAGGGAGGGAGATCATCATAATCTCGTGTGTTGGTGCGATCGCGGCTCTTCGCGCATCGCAGCTGTTGTCGCTCTACTTTGTGTACACCTGTGTACTCACAGAGAAGGTGGTACATTTTAGAGAGACAGAGTAGTAATCGCGAGCGCATCGATTATACAATCCACACAAGCACAACGTCACGAGCGAAAAAAAGCGCGGCATCAGGATTCAGGGCCGTCCCCGCTCCCGGAGGGTCCCGCTTGCCGCTTCTCCCCCTCTCTGACTCCCCTAGTGACTCCCTTCCAACGAGTCCATCGCACTTCGCACGACGCGCCACGAGTACGACTGGAGTCTGGGCCGACCAGCCGCCTCAAGGGTTGCCGTCGCGGAGCCCCCAGCCAACGCGTAGTGTGCGAAGTACTCGCCCTTCTTCCGCTTGAACGTCACCTGCATCCTGCAGAGCGCCCGGAACGCGCCCTCGGTCTGCGCGCCGCCCAGCTCGTTGTCCATGTCGATCCGCAAGTCGCTCATCCGAAGCGGCGGTACCTCGTGCCTGCCGCATCGCGCGTCAGGGCTCGGGGTGAGGAGTGAGGCCGAGACGCCTCCGGCGGCATCGATCCGCGTCCTACGCGTCGCTTCACGCCCCCTCCCCTCGCCTCCCGGGCGCCTTCCACCTCACCCGTGTCCCTCATCGCAACAGGCGCCCGCCCCGCTGGCCCTCGGGCGCCCTCCAACCCACCGTGCCTACGGGTGCCGCTGGCGGTGGGTGCGCACCAGTGACTGGTAGTGTTCGCGAGGTCGTCCGCGTCGTTCATCGTCATCCCGGGCCGGCAGCCGGTCTGCCTCGCGAGGCACACGTACGCGCTCATGCTGAAGGCCACGTTCACCTCGAAGGGCTCGGAGAGGTGCGCGTCCTGCAGCAGGTACTCCCCCGCCTGGAACAGGTGCTGCTTCGTGCACGGGCGGGTCGTCCCCGCGCGCAGCTCCGCTTCCACCTGCCGGGTCGCGTCCGCGCTCGCCTTCGCGCTCGCCGCCTGCTGCTGCTCCACGCCCTCGCCTCGCGCGACGCTCGCCTGCGCCGCCGCCTGTCCCGCTCCCCTCCCAGCCTTCTCTGCAACCTGTCGCATCCCGCCGCCGCCGCCGTCGAAGATCCCCATCACGCGCCGCGTCACCCAGTGCCAGTACTGCCTCGCGTCGGCCGGCATCGCGGGCCACAGCTCGCGCCAGACGTGGTTCTTCATGTGCTGCAGTGCGACGTACACCGTGTTCGAGCCCCGGCCGCTGCGCACCGTCGCCTCCGCCTGTCCCGCCGACTGCTCCTCGGCCAGGTGCCACTTACACGCCCTCGACTCGACGATCCGCGTCGTGGCCAGCCACTCGCCGAACTGCACCGTCCACCGCATGGTCGGGTGAAGGCCGCGGGAAGTGCGCTGCATCGGCACCGACAGGCTGTCCTCCGCCAGCTCTGCGAGGTACTCCCTCAGCAGGCGGCGCACCCACACGAGATGACGCGACAGCGTGGCGCTGTGTCGCGACAGCATCGGTGCGTCGTCGGGCCGCCTGGCCTCGCGCTGCTCGGCCTCGTCCCGCGTGCGAAGCAGCTCCATGGCGGCGCTGCGCCGCACCCTCCTCCGCCCCGGCCAGTTGAGGTCAGGGGCGGAGCCCGCCTGGCCGGTCGTCTCGGCGGAGCCCGCCTCGCCGGTCGTCTCGCTCGCCCCGCCGGCCGTCTCCCCCCGGGCGTTGTCCCACCTCATTAGTCTGGAGGCCGCCAAGCTCGCGCCGTCGCGGAGTGCCGCGTCGCCAGCGCCAGCGCGGGCGTGGTCTACCTCTGGCCCCGTGTCCGCCACCCTGCGCCACTGCTCGTCGTCGAGCACGTGCCAGTACCGGTCGCCCTCGAAGTTGGTGTACTGGACGCGGTGCACGAGCCGGCCGTCGGTGTCCTCCGTCCGCTCCATGATGGTCCCCGGCCACCACCTCTCCTCCCCCGAATCCTCCGCGAAGATCTCGACTCGCGTGCCCGTCTCGAGGATCACCTGACCCGCCTGCCTTGCTGCCTCATCCACCATGAGCCGCTTCCGGCGCGACTTGACCGGCTCCGGCGCCTTCGGCAGCAGGTAGTTGGGCCCGCTCTCCTCCACCGCCGCGAGCACGACGGACGCGCTCAGGTGCTCCACCGCCCCCTCCTCGTCCGGCGGCGGCTCGAACGCCCTCATTCCCGCCTCGCGCTCGCTCCTCTCGCGGGCCGATCGCTCGTGGTGGGCGTTACGCCGGTCGACGCCGTCCCCGCGGTGCTCCGCGGTCGCCGCCTGCGGCATCGTCGCCGCCCAGGCGTCGCTAGCAGGGGCGTTCCGATGTGCTCCGATGTGTTACGACTCGCTCTCCAGCCCCTCCGCAGCTGTCACGCTTTTGGTCGAAGGTATACCCCCCCCCGACCCCCCCCCCCCCCGGACGCGTCCACCCTCCGTCCAACATTCGCGTCCCCTCTTTTACATACATAAACGCACAACCCCGGGCCCGAAATCGCGGTATCTGCACGCAGCGCGGCATGAATGGCGCCAGCTCAACCGGCCGTCCGACCCGTGCTTTTGCTCCCACGGCAGTCTCCTTTCCCCTGAGATCAGCCTGAGATAAGTTTTCTTTTGTAAAATTCTCTGTTAGTGCCATTTGATTGTAAAATTCTCTAATACCTGTGTTAGTGCCAGTGCGCGCCAGTCCCGTGCCCAGTAAAAGAAAGAAAGAAAGAAAACAGACAACCCAAGGGAGGGATGGGAGGACGGCACGCCGCCACCACACAGGGATTTTAAGTGCCCAGTGTTGTGCGAGGGAGTATTGGTAAAATTCTCTTTTAGAAAAATGGCTGCTGTGACACATGGCGACCTCGACTCGTCTGGCGTATGCGTCGTGCGCAGTTCGGGCGCGGAGATGGTCGACGCGTGCCGTGCGTGCCACGCGGGGGTCATCGAGAGCCTGGACCGCATGCTGTCGCTGCCTGGAACGCTCGGCGCACCTTCGGATCGCCACTTCCTGCCGTTCGCAACCTGCCGCGGCGACGGCGGTGCCCCACCGCCGACTCATCAGCGCGACTTCTTGTTGCCCTTCTCGCCTTGGGTGGAGGAGGTGCTTCAGATCGCACTGCGAGGCACCGAGGCGGGAGCAATCCTCGTGCAGGCGCTTGGGCGGGATGCGGAGCTCGATGGGCTGCAGGCCATCACCAGTGAGCCGGGCACAGCCGCGCAGGATCTGCACAGCGACGCGGCGTGGGGAACGCCGCGGACTGTCACTATCTTTCTTGCGCTGCATGACATTCTCGACGAGACGATGGGGCCCACGCGGTTTGTGCCGGAAACCCATGAGCCCCGCTGCTTCCCGGGGCGGCGCTGGATGCCGCCGCCAAGGGTGGGTGGCGATCTGGGAGAGCGACGCACAGCGTGGTTTGCGCTGCGCACTGGCGACGCGGTCCTCATGGATTCGCTCACGTGGCACGGCGCAGGCGCAAACCGAGGCGAGCAGAGGCGCACGCTGCTCGCTGCATCATTCGTCAATAGGAGTAGCGAGGGCCGGCTGCCAGCCCAGCGCCCGCCAGGACTGAGGCTCGGAGATTTCGCGTTGTGATCTAGATCACCAGAGCGTAGAGGTAGAGCCGCGGCGCGCGGGGTTTGCGTGTCGGTGTGTGTATATAACAAAAAAGCCGTGTGATGTAACGGCTAACGCCGTAACGCCCTAACTAACGGGGTAACGCGTAACGGGAGCGATAGGATTGATAAATCAAACAAATAAATAAATAAAACGGACTCTCTCTAGGAGATGGGTAAAAAGGAACAGGTCCCCACCCGTGCGATCTCTGTACTTTGTGTGCAGGGTGTTCTCGTTGTGGGTGTGGTCGGCGACTAGCCGGGGCGGTCGTCCTCACGATGCCGCTCGAGCACGATGGGGGACTAGCACTAGCCGTCTTCCACATGGTCCCTCGGGTCCCTGCTGCTCCTAATCTCTTCCACTCTTCGTACATCCTCCTGCTGATCTCCGCAAAGTCCTGCCCTCCTTCCCTCGTCTCGCCCTGCCCACGCTACAGAAAGGTGCACCTTGTACCGGGACACAGTGGTAGGCGCGCCGTACGGCGCGCAGCGCCCACGGCCACGCCCGCTACCTAGGAGCTAGGTGTGTGAGTGAGTGCTATACCTTCAGCGCACCTTATACCGAGGTACCCTCCACATGTCCACACCGGCACCTGGGGTACTCTCGAGACGTTCACACCGGCGGTGCGCGCGAATAAGGTGTGCACCGCCCGTCGCGCGAAACGCAACAACACAGCTCTCATGGCGCCAAAGAAGCCCTCCTCTACGCAGAACGCGACGCTCCAGTCCATGGGCATGGACGTAATCAAGCAGTACCCGGGCCCGCTGTCCCTGACAGTCTCGAGGGCCGTCAAGCTAACTGTCAAGACCGGGCATGGACGTCCCGGGCAAGCACTTCCCGCAGCTCACCGGCGCGCGGGGCAGAACGCGTCGTACACGGGCACGGCCGTCGAGTTCACGGAGCGGCACACGTTCACACGGCACGGCAAGGCCTGGGGCGCCGCGCACACTGGGCCCGGCATCCGCTTCATCTGCGATTCGGACGCCATCGACGACCCCGACCACAAGGGCTTCTGGACGCCGCTGTGGCTCTGGAACCGCTTGCGCCACGAGACGTACAAGGACAACCGCGAGAGCGAGATTCAGTACCTCGACAAGATGTCGGAGACGGCCGACGCGCCGGCGCCCGGCGACGCAAAGCCCACCAAGAAGCCACCGGAGGTCAAGAACTACTTCACCATGCGGCTGGGCAGATCGTCAAGGTGCACAACAAACTGGAAGTATCTGTGCTTGCGGCCCACCGAGGAGGCGATCATCGCGCGCTACATGCTGAAGCACGGCAACGTCTCCGCCCCCTCGGCTGCACCGCCCTCCACCTCGCCGGACCCATCGAGCTCCGATGCTGCCGCTTCGACTGCGCCATCCTCGCGGGCTCGGCCGGCCCGTCGACCTCCGGCCACGCCGCCGACCCACCCTCCGCCGACCCGCTCGGTGGCGTCGGTATGTCGCTGCTCCAGCGCGCCGGTGTTCTCCAGAACACGCCATACGCTGCATGAGTGAGTCGCGTGTCGGGCGGGGCCGTCGGGAGGGGGCGAGCGTGTGTCCGGCGAGGCGCCCACATACCTCACCCGTACCTTTACCGAGGTAGCGCGCGGTGTCCTATACCTCCACCTTAGGTAAGTGGCCCATGTCTGTACCTTACTGTACCGCTACCTAAGTGTGCCGGCCAGCGCCCACACCGGCACCGGGGGTAGGGTCAGAGGGACTGCACTCAAGGTGTTGTCTGTTGAGGTGCTCGAGGGGTTCCGTAACCCGTACCATATGCGGAATCGACCCTATCCAGTGCTCAAGTGCTCAAGGTGAGCACCTTCTGTAGTGTGGCGCCCTGCGCGTCTGCCCCAACTCTCCCCCGTCGTCTGCCCTGCGTCGTCTAGCGACTGGTCCTCCATAGTCGGTCGAGGTCGCCGCCCTCCTCGTGCCTCTTCCCAACGTTCCCTCGGCGGCCGATGCCGTCTGCTCAGTGCTCAATATTTACCGGTATGAGACTGGTATTTGGTGATATTTTGATTAGTTTTGGAGTGGTGTGGTATAGTGGTATGCGAAAGTGGTATGCGGGGTTTTCGATTAGTTGTAGCGGCTGTGTGTGTGGTCCCGGGGGCGAAAGCGGCATGCAAAAGTGCAGGTATTACCCGGTATACCCGGTTTTTCCAGGTATACCCGCAAAATACCGGGTATTTGCCGATTTTGCCGATTTTGCCACCAAAAAGGCACTCCCACTCGCTTTGATTTCCGTGAGGCAAGTGGTATCCGATACCACTACGGCTCTAGTTCAGGCCTAGGGTTTGATTAGCCAAAAACTCCCATACCGGTTACCGCGGTAAATATTGAGCCACTGCGTCTGCTCCGACTCCCCCGTCCCCGGGTCTGCCCTGCTCTCATAACAATCGTGATCAGTCCCGCTATGGATATGCCCAACCCACAAAATGAATACGCATCGCCTTATGCTCTGGTTTCGGGTGCGTAACCTGGTGCGTAGACAGGCGCAGTTATCAAAATACAGCAGATATGAAGGCCGGCCCTCACCCCGGACCTGCTCACAGCGCATATTTTCCTTCGAAAACAGCACAGAATACTTCAATGTTGGCACTGCCCCGCACTTACGCAGCATAATTTTACCAATTCAGGCCCGCATGACGTATCATGTATCCGCATACGTACCCCCTCCTGGCGCCACAGCCTGGAGGCGCTGACGTACTACGTATACGCATTATGTTTCTGCACTCGCCAAAACGCCCGCGAGACGATTGCCTGGCCAATGATTTCAGGCTCCCGCGCTGCCTTGCTCAATCCAAATCGAATCCCAATTGTCAAACTCGCGAAATTCTACGTGCGTCCGCTGCATCATGGCCCCGCCTCGGACCGCGTCGTCAGAGGGCGTTATGCTGATCCCAGCCAGTGCCAAGAACAGCACGACTGGCTACAAGAACGTGTCCTACATCCGCGGCAATAAGAAGTTCCAGGCGAAGGTGAAGGCTGGCGGCCAGCATGTCTTCCTCGGCTGCTTCGACACCGCCGAAGAGGCGGCCACCGCCTACGCTCAGTCAGAGTACGGCCGCGCCGACGCCGCCAAGCTGCTGCAGCCCCGCCCCGCTCCCATTCCAGCTGGCGCCGAGGCGATACGGCAGGCGGAGAGGGAGGGCCTCACCCTCACCGCCAGTAGCAGCAGCAACACCGGCTACAAAGGCGTCTGCTACCGCCCGAAGCAGCAAGGCAGCCAGAAGTACGAGCTGAAGGTGAGGGACGGCGGCAAGCAAGTCCGCCTCGGCCTCTTCGCCACCGCCGAGGAGGCGGCGCTCTTCTACGCCCGCAGGGAGGCGGGCAGGGACACCAGCGATCTCACCGCGCCGCCACCGCCGCCGCCGCCGTCCTCAACCTCTGCGGAGCTGCCAGTGTACGAGCTCAGCATTCTGACGCCTGAGCAAATGGCCGCCGTCCCGACATATAGTCCATCGTCCAATTTGGACTATAGTCGAGCGCGTCGGAGAGGTGTTTGGAGACAGGCTCATGATTGTGCAGCAGCCCTAGCGGCAGCGCCAACTTATGGCAGCCCGAGCGGCAGCGCCAGTGCGCGCACATAAAGGGGGGGGGTGGGGGGGTTAGGGGGTGGCTGTCGAGGGCTATGCCCGAGTCTGTTGTTACCAGCGCACATACAACCCTAGCCAGCTTATGGCAGCCCTAGCGGCAGCGCGAAGTTAGGGTTAGGGGTTAGGGGTTAGGGGTTAGGGGTTAGGGGTTAGGGGTTAGGGGTTAGGGGTTAGGGGTTAGGGGTTAGGGGTTAGGGGTTAGGGGTTAGGTGGGGCGGATGCGTCAGACGTATGCATAATACGTGAGGCGTAACCCTTGCTGGCCGCCACTTCTCAGTCAAATCCGTCGTGCGTGTGCGTAATACATGGGACGTAAGCTCCCCCCGACACCCATGGCGACCGATGCGTCAGACGTGTGCGTAATACGTGAGGCGTAACCCTTGCTGGCCGCCACTTCTCAGTCAAATCCGTCGTGCGTGTGCGTAATACGTGGGACGTAAGCTCCAAACGACACCCATGGCGACCGATGCGTCAGACGTATGCGTAATACGTGAGGCGTAACCCTTGCTGGCCGCCACTTCTCAGTCAAATCCGTCGTGCGTGTGCGTAATACGTGGGACGTAAGCTCCAAACGACACCCATGGCGACCGATGCGTCAGACGTGTGCGTAATACATGAGGCGTAACCCCCTCTCCGCCGCCGTTCACGGTCGAGAGCGTAGAGCATGTGCGTAATGCGTCGGTCATAGGCTCACCCAGCCCCGATTTACGATCCCACTGCATAAGACCTGTGCGTAATACACCGTGCGTAGCGGCCCGAGAGCGAGCCTCTCTGGCAAAGCTTACATAAAACAGATGCGTGGTGTGTGGTGCGTAGCGGCCAGAAGGTCGGTGGTAACGATCGGGACAGAAGACGTGCGCATAATACGCAGCACATTTGAAATCACCGATCGTGCTTTCTGTCCGCACGCGTAAAGCGAGGCGTATGCGTGACGCATCACTGAGCCTCCACTCGGCTTGACACGGCACCAAAATACACGACGTCTCAGCGACGTCCTACGAACCGTGGGCATGGATGTGCATAAGGTGGCCGACAATTGCATTAGTGGCTCTTACATATCCATAGCGGGACTAATAACCTCCCTCTCATAAATCAAACACGTGCGCCAGCGCCATGTGGGATGTGGCCAGCGCGCTGCGCGCCGGGCCAGTCGGCGGCTGCGCGGTGGCCGCGGGGCCGGCGGGCCAGGGGGGGGGGGGCGCAGCACGCTCGTCTTAACATTTTTCTACGAGGTATAGCGAGGCCGTGCACGATAGAAACGAGAGATAATGATACACCGGTGGACGCATAATCCAGTAAGTACCCCCGGGTTGGCGACCGTGGGACGCGGTGGGCGCAGCGCCAAAGCGCCGCCCGAGCAGCCTCGTCACACACCGCTGGAATAGTCCGCGCCTGCAATCAGCGGCGCGGTCGACCCTACTTCATCGCCCGCCTCTCCCGCCTCGCCGCCCCTCGTGCTCCCTCGGAGCAGGGCGACCGTGCGGGCGAGGGAGGCGGACGGCCCCTACTTCTTCTTCGCGCCCTCCGAGACGGGGAAGGCTTCGCCGCGCCCTGCCTGCCCGCCCGCCCCCTTGGCCGCCTCCTGCGCCTGGCGGGCGGCCAGCTTCTTGAGCTCCTCGGGCGTGGCGGGCTTGAAGTTCTTGAGCCACTTCATCAGGATGAGGTCGTCGCGCACCTGGGGGAGGGGGGGGCGGCGAGGGGGAGGCGGGGCGGTCGGCGAGGGGAGGGGAGGCGGCGGGAGGGGAGGGGCGAGGGGCGTGCGTCGCGCCAGCAGCGAGAGCGAGACGAGGTAGAGGACCTCCTGCCAGCGGAGGACGCCGCGGGCGGCGTTGTCTGCGCCCCAGGCGAGGTGGAGGGACCAGTTGCAAAAGCAGCAGCCCGCGTAGAGGACGAAGCAGCCGCGGGAGAGGGGTCGCATCCACCACGAGCCGGGCGATGTGACGCGCAGGCCGAGGAAGCCTACGGCACCGGGCGGCAGGGCTGGCTGGTGGCGCGCGCGATATGGCTCCGTGTGGCTCCTTGCGGCTGTGTCTCGCCGTTGACGGGGAAGGCGAGCGTGGACCAAAAGCCGTAAAACATGAGCTTCTGCGCGATGGGCGACTCGCCAAAGTCGATGGTCATCACCCAGAGCAGCCACGCCGTGACCGCCCAGTGGTGGATCTTGGTCGTGAGCGGCAGCTTGTGCACGACAGCCAGCGCGACGATGTCGACCGCGGCGTACAGCAGCGAGATCTGCTTGAGGTATGCGTGGTGGCCGGCGTCGACGCTCCAGTTGCAGCTGACGGGTCGGGCGCCGGGGGCCTCTCGGCGCGCGGTGCGTGCGCGCTAGGGGCGTGTAATGGGACGGGCGGAGGCGGAGACAGGAGGAGTGGAGGCAGAGAGAGGCGGCGGGAGAGGCAGAGGAGGGGGAGGGGATGGAGGCGTCGCCTCAAGTTGAAGCCGAGCGGGTTGAGCGTGCAGCCGTACTCCTTGGACGAGTACCAGAGCCACGAGAAGGAGGTTGCCTGAGCGCCGAGCAGCAGCGACTTCATCAGGTTCATCAGAACGTACATCTGCTTGTGGCGCGGCGTGATTTTCGCAAAGTCGGGCCACACCGCGTTTAGGACCGAGCGCGAGGCGTAGAGCGCGACCACCATCGCGAGCGAGCAGGTCGCAAAGTAGGCCGCCTCGCGTGGGTGGTCGTCCAGCGCCGCGACCGCCTCTTTGCCAAAGAGCCGGTCCCAGAGAGCGTGTATGCCGTTCGAGATGGCGGCCTGCGAGTCGAAATACCGCCCCGCCTGCGGGCACTCGCCGCGGTACTCGGGGATGAAGCGGTGCGCTTCGTCGACAGTGGGTTGCAGCGACGTCATTGGGGTTGCGAGCGTAGCGTTGGAGCCACACCCAGAACCTTGCGAACGAGCCTGAAACCCAGGGGGGAGGGTAGTTTGACGAACACAGGCTTGATGACAAAAAGAAGAACATAAATCAAGGCTAAGCTCAAAAGAAGAACAGAACGGTGTGTGTGTGTGTGTGTGTGTCACACACTCACACACAGAACAGAACGCGGGCGTCTTTCTTTCTTCACCCCTCGACAATACACCTAGAGACCCCTCAAACTTACAATCCAATCGATCAATCGACGGGCGGTACCTCGATGCCACCCTGGCTTTTGCGCGGCAGCAACTGCACTATCCTACGACAATCGGGATGCCCCCTTCCGGCACCGCGATCGCCCCAGTGGCTGCCAAGCCTGCCGTGCCACCGCCGAGCCTGCAATACGTGAATGGCCTGCGGCGTGCAGAGCGAGGCCACGAGCAGTCGCCGCAAGTGAGAGACGTCTCGAAGGCGAAAGGAGGTGGGCATGACCTCAACTGCTGCCCCGAGCGATGCTGGTGTGTAAGCGCTCTGCCGTTGCCCGCTGCACCGGACGGGGACGGACCCCTGCATGCGCTGAACGAGTGGATGCTCACAGACACGCGCGCACACGTGCCGCCCTCCGCCTGCGGCAAGGCGCTCTGCTTTTGTGACGACGCCTACCCGCGGGTGCCAAACGGCATCAAGGACATCGAGGAGATCAAGGCGCACCCCCCTCACCCCTCCCAATCTGGTACCGCCTCTCCCCTCTCACTCTGGCGTCGCCCCAACTCCCCAAGATGCTGGCCGGGGTGATGATCGAAGGGGAGGGCGGCATCACCGGGACGGTCCTCACCAAGCGCTGGATGGAATTTGACGCGGAAACAAAGTCCGGCCTGATCAAGACTTACGGCGGATACGGCGGCTTGTACAGCGCGGCGCAGTGGTCGGGCGGGAACAACTTCTTCGAGAACGGAGTTGGTCCCTTTTTCAACCGCTGCTGCAACCAGAGCTGTGCGTGCGTTTTGGCCCTCCACCGCCCCCCCCTCTTCCGACCCTCCCTCGGCACCCGCCCGCACCGCCGCAGACGGCTTCCAGTTCACGGAGGACTATCTCAAGGCCACGATCAGCGTCAAGTTAAACTTTTGCATCTGCATCCCCTGCCTGCCGCCGTTTTTTAAGGTGCCCGAATGTTGCATCGCGTGCGACATGGTGCAGGTGTGCGTGCAGGAGACGCTCCACCCGCACCTCTCACACGCTCACACTCGCCATCCCCTTCCGTCCCGTCGTGACACAGGAGCCAGAAGGCCACGGCCCCGACGGCTCGAACTGGAACCGGCGGCAGGCCATCTGCCCGCTCTGCTGCGGCGGAGAGATGAAGCACCTCTACTACTTGCAGAATGTGGTCACGCCAGATGGGCGCCGGGGCGTCTACTACGACCAGCTCAGCAAGATCGGACACGCCGAGTATTACTTCGCGCGCTGAGTGGTTGGCGGAGCGCGTATTGTTCATGAACCATCCACCGAGAGACACGCCCTCGCGCCTCGCCGTTCGTCAAGGGAACAGTTGGGGGGTGGGGTGTCCCGGCCGCCGACTCTGACGTACATGTCATCGTCATCGATCACATCGTCCCCCGCACCCCAACGCCAAACGTGATAATTTTTGAAATAGTTGCGGTTAGTTCTAACCACGGACTTCTTTAATAGCACCAAATGTGCACTTGAGCACTTGGAGTCTTGGAGTGCAGTCGGCAGCCTCACATCCAGGGCCGGGGAGCTAAGAAGCGCACCCAGCGAGCCGGATGATCGATATCGGGTTACGGGCTAAAGAGCCCTTAGCCCTGGGGGTGCGCGTTCGCAGGGAAAGGGCCGTAAAGGATAAACAATCGGTTCTCCGAGGGTTGGTTCTGCGCTTTGGGTGTCCCCTAGCGGCGGAACGCCCCCTCTACTCGGAGCTAAGAAACACCAGACACGCACACGACGTACGTGAGTGAGTGTGAGTGAGTGCACACACTTGAAAGAAAAAAAGAAAACAGAGAACCCAAGGGAGGGATGGGAGAACGGCACGCCGCCACCACACAGGGATTTTAAGGAGAGGGGTGTGGTGCGCTAGCCGTCGCCCACCCTTGAACCAGTCGAGAAGTTATTTCCAAACCGCACAACACGCAACACACAATGCACAACACACACACACCCCGCACACCGCACACCACCACAACACACAACACACAACAAACTCGTAGTTTCTTCTGTCAGCAAACAGATTCTTTTTCTGTACGCTCGCCGACGCCGAAAGGCTAGAAGGCTGCGCGGCAGCATGCTCGCGATCCTCATCGTACTCGTGATCACAGTCGCCGTGGCCATCCTCCTTCTCTTTAGCACGATGATCGGCCTCTCCCCCCTCGACATTCTGGCGTCCGTGTTCACCAAATCCTCCGGCACCCTCTACCCGCCGTTCAGCTCCAAGGTCCTCGCCGCGCGCACGCGCCACGAAGGCAAGGAGGTGGTGCTCAACCTGCCGCTCGCCCGCAAGTGGGCGGCATTCTGCCACTCGCCTGACATCGAAAAGCACATCTCGGCCGTCTACGTCTCCTTGCCGCTGACGATGTCGGCGCTGATCCGCCACGTTGTCGCCTCGCCGGACTTTCCGCTCTCGGTCATGGGAGTCGTCCACGCCAAGCACGTCATCGAGCAGTTCGAGTGCATCGACGCCTCTGTGCTCGGCGTGTACAACTACAGCATCTCCGTCACCGGCTCGCGCCTCAACGAGATCGGCGCCGAGTGCGACGTGCTCATCGAGGTCTCCTCGCCGCTGAACAGCCGCTTGCTGGTGAGCACCACGATGACCTTCACCTCCACCGACGCGAAGAAGGCGCGCGCCGCGAGGAAGCGCCGGCCGGAGCTGACGGCGGCGGAGCAGGCTGCCAAGACCAATCTGGGGCCCACCGCCTCGGCGCCCAAGCAGTTTGTCGAGGAGATCAAGCGCGATCACTCGAAAAAGTACGCGGCGTGCTCAGGAGACATGAATCCGATCCACCTCCCGATCTACTGCAAGGCGATGGGCCTCCCAAAGCCCATCATGCACGGAGTGTTCTCGCTCGCGCGCGGTGTCGCCGCCATCACCGACGCTTACTCGCTGGCGACGGTCCCAAAGCTGCGGATTGCCGCCGCGTGGAAGCTGCCGATGCCCGTGCCGGCGACGGCCCACTTCACCTTCGGCGAGTTGGTCGACGTCACGAAGACGGAGCATGCGAACGGACTTGACACGACAAAGTTCAAGCGACACATCGAATTCCTCGCGACTCGGGAGGGTAAAGGGGGCACGCTCCCCCACCTACGGGGGGTCGTTTCCTTCTGACGCGACGAGCGAGGCAACAAAGAGAGAGGCCGTAGAACTCACCCACAAAACCACCTATACTAATTTCTCATTCACCTTTTTGGTCTGTGCTAGACGTTTCGCCCCGTGCCCGTGAGCGTGTGTGTGTCGCCCCACACGCCCCGCCTTTTACTACCATGTACCATCTGCCAACGCGCCATGCAACGCGCAACGGCCTTTTTTACTGACTCTCTGTGCACACTCGAACCCTCGCACCTAATGTGCGCGCCATAGGCTGTCCAGTCGCAGTCGTTCGGGGTGACTTGTGTGCATGCACAACATGACATGTACATGTACATGTGTATTTTTTGCAGGGCGAGGAACAAGATCCTGCACACCATGCGCACACTCGAGAGAGAGCGTCCGGCCTCACGTGCTCTGAGATGAGCTCTATTTCAGATTCACAATATGTTCCGGTCCACAATGTGAGAGACTGTGTCCTTAGAGCTGCTCCATATCGTCGTCGTCAAGGAACGCTTCGCAATCTGCGCCGCGCTTGGAAACCTCTGAGTTCCTCGGTATGCTCGCCTCCTTGAGCTTCTTCGAGGTCAGCGTCGAAGTGAGCACGCCGATGCGAATCTCGAGCTGTTTTGTCTCGGTGCGCAGCTGCGTAAGGGCCGTCTTCACCTTGAGCAGCGGCTTTGTGTCCGTCATCGACGCACCTCGGGTGTCCATCTGCGCCTTCACTTTGGCGAGATCCTCCGAGACGGACTGAAGATCACTGGTCAGCGCGTTGATCGTGTCAGCATTCTTGTTGTACTCCTCCATGCGAGCCCTCAGCTCATCCTTTCTCTCTGCATAGCGCGCGACCGCGTCGGCGCATTGGGTGTTGACCTTCTGCTCGGCGTTTTGAATGGCCTGCAAAGTCCGCGCGAGATCCTCCGCAAGCCGCTCGAGCGTCGCGGCCGTCTCCGGCGCGAGCGCCTGCAGCTTCGCCTGGTGCGACTTTGTGTTGACTAGAGCCCCAGCCTACTCCGCGTGAACTCTCGAGGGATCTCGAGTTGCTCCCAGCTGCTCGGTGTACGAACTCTGTTCACAGCCTTGTTATTGAGAAGAAAATACGTCGTATGGCGCTGTGCGCTGGTCTGTGAGAGGTTGAGGTGCGAGCCCTGGAGGCCCTGGGGATGGGGGGAGACTACCCGCGGGCCTAGATGGCCGCGCGCATTCACACCGAGCAGCGAGGAGTGACTGCGGCACAGCAGAGGAGATTCATGTTCGTGGTGGCGCTTTCTGGCGTGCTGCTGGCGTCGGCCGGCCACGTCGTCCGCCTGTCGGTTCGCGCACGCCACGCAGTACCATCCTCCCACATCCGGGCGTCCGAAGCGCCTGAGAAACGTCGGATCCCTGAGCCTCTGGTGGAGTGGGGCATGACCGAAGAGCTGTACTCAAAGCTGTCGCACAACTACCGGCGCAACTTCATAAAGCTCATGAAGCGTGGCGACGAGGAGATGGCGCGCAGCAAAATTACCAGACTTCGCGGGTACCTCTGCAGCGACGCCGACGCGGACGCGACTCCCGCTGCTGCCGCCAGCGTCGCCGACGCACCTCCTGAGCAGCCACCGGCGACGGCAGCGCCACCGCCATCGCCACCGCCACCAGCGGCGCCACGAGCGTCGCCCACGCCAGCGCCCTCGGCTGCAGCGGCTGAGGCTTTGGAGGCCTCGGCGGTGCTACAGGCAGAGCTTGCATCTGCGAGGCGCAAGCTGGCGGCAGCCGATGCGGCAGCGGCTGCGGCGGCCGAAGTGGTGGCTGAGGCGGAGCTTGTCCGAGCGGAGGCGGCCCAGGAGGTGCAGCGGGTGGAGGCGGCAGCGGCGGCGGCTGCAGCGGCCGAGGCGGCGGCGGCGGCCGAGGCGGCGGCGGCGGCCGAGGCGGCGGCGGTGGAATCGAAGGAGGAGGCGGAGGCGGAGGCGGAGGCGGAGCAAGAGGCAGCCAGCGCGGCGGCGGCGCAGAGTCTGCACGTGGAGGTTGCTTGCCCGGAGACGCTGCCTCTTTCGCGCGCGATGCGGCTGCGTTTGCCCGACGGCCGCGAGTTCGACATCAGCGTGCCGGAGGGCATCAGCGCGGGCGAGACCTTCACGGTGGGGCCAATCCCTCCGGCGTGAGTGGCTATCGGCGCGACGTGCCGCATCCCGGCTCTCTCTCTGAGTCTGAGCCACGCGACCCCGAGTCGTGTTCAAGACATGAATGTCCACACTGGAGGTGTAGTTGTGTTGGCGTCGCCGGGTGCGGGGGGGGCACCTTTAGCTAAGTCTTTAGCTATTACAGGCGCACGATGTGTGTGCCATCTCGGTCTGCGCGCTCAGTCTGCGCGCACACTCTCTTGCCTTCAGGAGACGCGGAGGGGGCCCTCACTCACTCTGCACACGTTTTTTACACCGGCTACCCCCGACACCCCACATTTTGTACCCTGGAGTAGCCTGCTGGTCCCGCGCATGCACTGCTGAGTCATGACGCGGCGCGCCGTCAGCCGACACGTCGCTGCCTTCAGTCAGCCTTGCGGGCGTCCCCGGCGCTTGTGAGCCATGTGCGCGTGCCGGTGCTCGCGAGGCCCCGCAACCTACCGTGATGCCCAAAGAGCGAGGACTAGCTCGGCTGCCTCGTGAAGCGCAACAAATCGCCCGCCGGCGTGAGCCGACGTGGCACGGTCGCGCACACTGGCCACGCGAGCCATCAGCGATGCATCCTCATCAGATGAGCGGCTGTGCAGCAGCGCGTGCAGGAGCTGAAGAAAGCTCGGGTGGGCGTCGCCCGCGGCGTCTGAAGCGAGCCGGCAGAGCGCGGCGCGATCGCCGCGCTGCCGCCACGCATCCAGGTCTTCGCTGCTCGCAGACTCGAGCCAGTGCCGCCGTTGTTGCAGCGCATCGGCGGCTGTCGCAAGGCGCTTGTTGATGTGCTCGTCCATGTGCTCGTCCGAGAACATTTCTACCTGCCGACGCTTCAACGTGCCGACGATGTTGTTAACGTTCTCGACGGCCATGTTCTCCATCGCGGCTGGGGGCGGCGGCTGCGCAGCGTGCGTGCGTGCGGCGTGCGTGTCAGGCAGGAGGGCGATGCTGCCAGCCCTCTTCGCCACCGTCGGTGAAAAGGCAGTGGTAAGCGCCCGCGAAACAGTGCACGAAAAAAGAATTTTCGCGCGAATAGAACATATAAGAGAGAAGCGGGGTTTTAAAAACAAGAACCGGAAAGAACAAGGAAAAGAAATCGTGGGGGGGGCTGTGACCCCAAAGGGGTGCGTGTGTGTGGCAAACAACTAAGCCCAGCCACCAACCACCCGCCAGCGACGAAACAAAACAAAACAAAACAAAATTGTATACAAAAAGAATTGCGGCGACGAGAATTTTACATACAAGGTGAAAAACAATTTTACCGGGCTGACGCGCAACAGCCAACACTGGGCACAGCCCACAGGACTGGCAGGGCGCAACCCACTGGCACACTAGGTACAGCGGGAAAAAGAAAAGAATTCAGCGGGTTAGTATGGTGATCCGCCTCCACTCTTGTGTTGCTCGCTCCGCCCGGGCGGAGGGCATGGCCGCGGAGGAGGCGAGTGAGCGCTTGCGCCTTGCCAGGCCTCGTTCCGCAGACAGTGGGGGAAAATTAATAAGTGGCCCCGCGAGCTGGTGGGAATAGGACCGCCGCAAGCGGCGTGGCATGGGGCGGTTGAGCATCCCTCTGGGGGCCCCTCTGCGCCGGGGAGGCGTTGTTGGAGGCTAGGACGCAAGCGTCCGTCGCCCTTTTCAAACTCGGGGCCCACTCCGCTGCGCTCCGACCCGAATTCGGAGGGCCATGAAATTTAAGGTGTTGCTGCGCAAAAGGGGCGGGGCGCGGGCGCGCGCGGCAGGCCGAGAGCTCTTTTTGGAGACCAGACCTTTCGATGGTTCATGCTTTCTATGTCTATCTATCATGCTTCATGACACGACACGCGGTGGTGGGAGCTGGTGGAGCTGTCAGCTGATCGATCCAAGATGGTGGGGAGTGGGGGGCATGGCTGGGCATGCAGGTCCGCCAGTCGGCCCGGCCTCTGACGTGGTGCTGCCGCTGCATTCGCTGAAGAAGAGAGGTGCGACGGCTTGATTTGGAGGCACTGGAGGCGATGGCGCTAGCGAAGGGAGGTTGGGCCGGGCCGTGAGGGGCTGATGGCGCTGGCCAGCGCGGGGTGTGAGATGCCGTCGTCGTCGTATACTGCTGGCCCTCGCCCTCAGTTGCCAGGGCTGTGGGCTGCAGAATTGGCGTCTGTGGCGTCTACGCAGGCTCTCTGCAGCGTGATGGCTGGCGGGACTGCGAGGCCGGCGGCAGCGGAAGGAGAGGCTGGGCACGAGCCAGGAACAGGCTGGCCAGTCCGCAGGTGGCTGCGCTCGGGCGAGCGCGCGCGCACATGGCAGGCCGAGCAGGCTCGGCATGTATGGTGAACCCCCCGATGTCGCGATGGCGGTCCCGCTTTTCCGCGATCATTTCGTCCGTCCAACCGAAGGAAGCGCCGGATCGCCCATGTTTAGCGTTTACCAAACTTGAACCGACGTTCTTTTCGGCTCTGAGATTCCGTTTTCGCCCGGTATATTCGGATTTTCGCTATTTGGTCGTGTGGGTGTGAATCCCGGGATTAGTCAATGGTACCGCGTCGGCGACGCGGGCGCCTTGCGGGCAGAGCCCTTAGCCACCCAATAAAAGTCTTGCGCGGTGCGCGGTCAAAACACGGAAAACTCGAAGTGCTCCCCGGCCCTGTGGATGTGAGGCTACCGACTGCACTCCAAGTGCTCCAAAACGTGCGAGGCTTCACGCTTAGGTCCCTCCTTCGGCGAGCGCCGCCGGAGCCGCTTCGCTCGGCGGCCTGCCGTCCGGCGACGCGGCGGGCGAGGGCGGCTCCGCGACGGGCTCCACGGTGATCTCGTGCTTGAGGAAGCGGCCGAGGCGAGGAGCAGCTGGACGCAGCCATCTCGCTGCGACGGGAGGGATGGCTGCGTCAGCCGCAGCCACCTGGGCAGCGCGGGGAGGCGGCGGGAGGGGAGGCGACGGGCTTGGTCTAGGGCCGCGGCGCCTCCCAGAAGCCGTCGAAGACGAGCGATCGGCCGTTGGAGAGGCGGAGCTCGAGCGAGTTGTCCGAGGCCTGGGACCAGTGCAGGAACCGGGCGTGGCGGACGGCCTCGAGCTCGATGAGTGGCAGGGCGAACATGGCGGACTGGTCGTAGGAGAGGAAGCAGACGTGCGCCGGCGTGAGGATGAGGTGGCCGGTGCGGCTCTGGTGCGAGACGCGGAATGTGTGCAGCGCCTCCTCGTCGGCGGGGAGAGCGAAGAGGGCTCTGAGCGCCTCCGCCATCGGCAAGCCGGTGCCGACGTGGCTCGCGCGTCGCGAGTCGTTGAACTCTGAGAATCGCGCCTGCATCACCGGCACGCCCTCCCTCGCCACTCCTCCCGCTGCGAAGAGGTCGTCGGTGTGGACGCCGATCGAGACGACCCAGTCGTGCTGCAGCGCCTCTGCTGCGGTCATGCGGCGCGCCGGGTCGACGGCGAGGAGGCGGCCGAGAAAGTCGCGCGCGGAGGAGGAGATGCCCTCCCAGTACTTGTGCGGGAAGCGGTACGAGCCGGCTCGCACGCGCGCGTTCATCTCTGCGTCCGTCTGGCCGAAGAAGGGCGGCGAGGCGGAGAGGAGGATGTAGACGACGACGCCGACGGACCAGAGGTCGCAGGCGGTCGAGTACTGCGACAGCGCGGCGCGGCTCGTCTCGCGCGACAGCACCTCGGGAGCGACGTACCCCGGCGTGCCGCAGCGCAGCGTCTTCCTCAGGCCGTCGGGCGCGAGCGCGACGATCCGCGAGAGGCCAAAGTCGGTCAGCTTGAGCTCTGCGCCGGGCGCGTCGGAGGCGAGGAGGATGTTCTCGGGCTTGAGGTCGCGGTGCACGATCTTCCGGTCGTGCAGGTAGAGGACGGCGTTGAGAAGCTTGAAGGTGAAGTACCGCGCGTCCTCCTCGGTGTACCTGCCGAGCTGCACGATCCGGTCAAAGAGCTCGCCGCCGGTGACCTCCTCCATTACGAGGTAGACCTTCACCTCGCTCTCAAAGATCTGCGGACGGGCGTGGGAACGACGGGTGGCCCTGGCGAGGCGTCGAAGCTCTCCGCGCGAGAGCGCACCTCGAAGAGACGGACGATGTTTGGATGCTGGACCGAGCGCAGGATCTCGACCTCGGCGCGAATCATGTCGCGACGCTCGGCTGAGCGCGAGAGCGGCTTCCTCACCACCTTGATGGCAACGGTGTCGCCGGCCGCCAGCCGGCAATGCGGCGTCGCGCACCTGCACGTCGCTCGGATCACCTTTGCAAAATTGCCCGTGCCGAGCGTGTCTCCAAAGGCGTAGTGAGCGTGAACAGAGGCGGTGCCCTCGCCGAACAGCGGTGGATTCGACGACGACGACGCCGCTTCTCCGTCGACAGACGTGGCCCTGGAGCGCGGCGAGCCGACGGAGGAGGGTGCTGGCTGCATGGGAAATGTCGAAAAAACAGGCGAATTGGATTATGCTTGGGGCGGACAGCATGACGGGTAGTTAGGGTAGGTCTGGGCCCTCCGTCGGGTTTTCCCCTCTCTTCACGCTGGAATTTTCACAGAAGAAAAAGAATTATGCGGGGTGTGAGGCTGCCAACGAGGAACGAGAGAAGAATATAGGGTGGATAAAGCGCCTGTTCACGGCATGGAGGGTGAGCCACACCGAACGTACCGAGCGAAGGGCCGAGCGGAAGGAGGACGGGGAAGATGACTCGGAGGAGGACGAACCAGTGGAAATTCAGTTGTCAGATGTCACGGATGCATCCGAAGGGGACCCCAGCGCCGGCATCATCCGTAGAGGCACGAGTGTTCGAAGAGAGAGTGGACCTGAGCAACAACATGACGTGTAGGCAAATGATCGGAGTGGGAGTCAGAAATGTGGTCCTTGCGCGAGGGGAGCTTGATAGACTCGAGGGGCCAGGATACGCCGCGAGGAGGACGGAGTTGCGCAAGGCGAAAGAAGCCGCGAGAACAAGGGACCGGCAGGCGGCGGCGTCGCAGGACGAGGCAGAAGAGAACGACGCGACAGAGGAGGAAGTGACAAGGGAGAGACCGACGAGAGTGGGACGGCCGCGAGGTGGCATGAAGGTTGCAGCGAGAAGCGGCGAGAGACTGCGAAAAGAGATACGAAGAGGCAGACTCCCCAGGGTGGGCGACGGCTAGCGCACCACACTCCTCTCCTTAAAATCCCTGTGTGGTGGCGGCGTGCCGTTCTCCCATCCCTCCCTTGGGTTGTGTGTTTTCTTTCTTTCTTTCTGCACTCCAAGTCCGCTCCAAGTGCCAGTTCAGGTGGAATTCCGAATTTTCGCATCGTGGGATTTCCATCCCTCCCTTGGGTTGTTTTTCTTTCTTTCTTCGCGGGGTGGGGGTGGGGGTGGCGGCACAAAACTCTCTCGCACGCTGGGCACGGGACTGGCGCGCACTGGCACTAACACAGGTACACCACGGGAGCCGCCTAAGCGCTGCTCACTAGATCCGTTAAACGCCCGAATGGAGGGGGTAGGGGGTATGTACGTTCGGGCTTATTTTAAGATGAGGTAAACAGCAATAGATCCCCCTGAAGCGGCCTAACTAATCGATACCCAGCCCTCACGGAATCGGTCCCTCGTTGTACAGCAATCGATCCTTCACAGTGCCCGTCCTGCCAAACTTGCCGAGAATCGGTCCCCCACCCACCCAGGTCACCTGTGGCGCGAAGCTCATGTCTCCCGCCCTCGGCGCGCCGACCGCGCAGCGGCGGCAGACCACCCTCAGGTTCGAGGGGCGCCTGGGGCTGAGCGGGCTGCCTCCGCCAGAGTTTGGCTCGCCCACCCGCGGGCTGTCACCCTGCCACGGGTCGCAAGCCCTCTGCCGGCCGGAGCGCCGGCTGCGCAGGCTTCCAGCAATTGGTCCCTTGGCAAGCGCGAATCGGTCCCCCTGGCTCCAGGAACTGATCCGGCACTGCACCCGGATCTATTGCTGTTTACCTCATTTAAAATAAGTACCCGACGGTATGTATGTATGTATGTAGGAAGGTGAAGAACAGCCAGGCTCGGACTGGACACCAACGCGGTATGGGTGGACGCTGGACAGATGATGACGGCACGCACGAGCGACACACACAGACACAAAAACAGGCTCACTAGGGGGTCTGCACAGGAAGTGTTGTCAGCGCGCGGGTATGGCGTGGGTGCCGTGAGGGTGGGCATGCGCGTGCAACATCAATCGCCAGCAGCGTACCGGTAGCTGCGGGCGGAGGAGCGGGCAGGATGCACCATGCACCACGAGCCACGAGGCAGCTGCGCTTTGACGCTACAGAATGGGAGAGTCCGATGGCTGGGCTTGTCGCCGGGCGAGCTAGCCCCTCAGCCGGCCGCGGAGGTGCTCCCCTCCTACCCCCTCTGCGCGACTAACCAGGGTTTTTAGAAGCCGATGATCGCCTCCCACACGGCCGCGCTATACACCGCAGTCCACCGAGCCCTCACCGCCGACCTGCCAGAGCTGCTCCGCCTCGCCGCCGATGCCCTTGCCACGGTGCCAGCACCGCCTGACCTCGCCGGATGGTCCGAGCTAACACGGGAGGAGCTCTTTCGTCTTGCGCCCGTCTGCGGCTCCCTCGTCGTCCTCTTGTTTGGACTCCCTGCCTGTGTGCTGTGCGAGCCGCGAATTGGCAGGACCGGCGAATACTGGCTCACCCGCGTCGCCCTGCTCCGCGGCATCGGCCTTCTTTACGTCTTCGCCTTTGCTTCGAGCGCGATGCAAGGACGGGCGCTGTTCGGTGCGAGAGGGCTCTTCGCACCCGCGACCGGCTCTTCGGGACCAACGCCGGCCCTGGACCTGCTTGCCGGCGCCGGCGTGGGCTCAGCCGACGCGCGCGTCGAGCTCGCCTCCCTGTGTGGGCTGCTGCTCTCTCTCCTCCTCGCCTTCGGAGGGCCTCGCTTCGCGCTGTGGGCGCCGCTGCCCGCCAGCCTCTGGCTTCTGCACCTCTCCCTCGTCAACAACGCCTCGCGCCTCCTCCCGGCCCACAGCTGGGAGTGGGCCGCGCTGGAGCTCGGCTTCCTCGCCATCTTCCTCGCGCCCGAGTGGCCTCCTTCGACGCTGTACCCGCGGCTGCTCCCGCCCCCCTCCGCGGTGCTCCTCCTCTTCCGGTGGCACCTCTTCCGCCTCCTGCTCGGCGCCGGCCTCTCCCGGCTCGCCGACCACTCCCCCTCCTGCTGGCGGCGCCTCGACTGCGCCGCGGCGCACCACGAGACGCAGCCGATGCCGACGCCCCTCGCCTGGCTGCTGCACGGGATGCCTGCGAGGTGGCGCGCGGCAGAGGCGGCCGTCTCTCTCGCCGCGCTGATCCTCGCCCCCTTCGCGGCGCTGCTGCCGTCGCGCGCCGCGCGCCTCGCGACCTTCTGGATCGAGGCTGGCGTCCAGGCTGGCGCCCCAGCGCGCCTCGCCCCTCCCAGCTCCTCCTCCACCAACCACCACCCCTCCAACACCTCTCCCCGTGCCCGGCCCTCGCAGGTGGGCTCGATGGCGAGCGGCAACGTTGGATTCGCCAACTGGGCCGCCCTCGTCCCCGCCCTCGCCCTCCTCGACGACGCCGCCCTCGCGCCCTTCTTCGGCGCCGCAGCGGCGGACGCCGCCGCCGCCGCCGCCGCACAGGCGGCCGCGCTCACCGCCGCGCCGCCGCCGCCGAGGCCGAAGCCGCCAGCTTCGGCAGCCACTGCTGCCTCCACCGCATCCACCTCCATGGCCGGTCCGAGGCGGCGCCGAGGTGGCGGCGCCGGGCCGGCGGCGGCGGGCGGCGGCGGGGCGCTGCGAGCGTGCCGGCGCGGCGCGTGCGTTGCCTACCGGCGCGGCCGCGCAGCAGTGCAGGCTTGCCTCCTCGGCCTCGTCTGCGTCAAGTCGCTCTCTCCGCTGGCTGCGCTCTTCTCGCCCGCGCCGCAGCCGCAGCACTACGACCGCTGGTTCCTGGTCAACGCCTATAGCGGCAGCTTTGGCGGCGACGCGGTCCGCTCGGGGAGAGGGCAGCTGCGGCCGTCCTCGAGGCGGCCCCCTCCCCCTGACCAGCCCGGCGCCCCTCGGCAGGTGCACGCGCATCGAGTCACCCTCGCCCTCGACTACTCGAACGACCCCCTCCTCGAGCAGGAGCCGCTCCGCGCCGCGCTCGCGCCGCACCAGCCCGCGCCCCGCTGCACGGACCAGCCCGGCCCGGTCGGCAAGGACGAGAGGGGCGCCTCGTACACTTGCGCGCAGCTCGCGCGGGCGAGCGCGTGCAGCACCGACAAGCTGCGCGCGACGTGCCCGCTCGCCTGCGGCGTGCCGCGCTGCGACGGCAGGGTCGCCCTGCCCGACGCCCTCGTGGCGCGCGTCGGGGCGGGTGACGACTACGGCCGTGACGCGCTCGGCCGCAAGACGGAGGGCGGAGAGGTGCGGTGGTCGCCGCTCAGCTTCGCTAACCTGCCCGGCGAGCTGCGCGCCGCTCCCCGCTGGAGCTCGCCGCTGCACCACCGCTTGTCGTGGGAGGCAGCTGCTGCGAGCGGAGCAAGGGGGGGCGGGGGGGGCGCCGGTCTCCAACCCCTCCCCCCGCCGCTGGCAGGTCTGGTCCGCAGTCGCGGCGCGTCTCGAGTCGGTCGGCGAGGCGGCGAGCGGGGCGGGCGGCGAGCCGCCGCCACTCGTCGAGCTGCAGCTGCCCGGCTTCGTGCTCGAGCTCGTCCGCAGGCTGCTCGACGGCGACGCGGACGCGGTGCAGCTGCTCGCGACGCGGGCGCGCGGCGCGCTGCGGCGCCCGCGGCGGAACTCGAGCGTGCGGGGGCGGGCCTACGGCGTGGTGGGTCCAGCCGCCATTCGCGCGCGGCTGTGGGTCTATCGCTTCTCCTCCCTGGCCGCGCTCTTGCAGCGCGGGGAGTGGTGGGAGCGCGAACCGCTCTCGTCGCCCGCCATCTACAGCCGCCGCCCCCGCCCTCGCAGCCCCGCGGCGGCGAAGGCGTCGGCCACGGCGGGGACGGAGCAGGCAGCCACAGAGGAGCCGCCGCCGCTGCCTCCGAGGGCCTTGCCGTGGGTGCGGCAGCGGCTTCTCCAGCTCTCCACCGTCGGCGCGGCGGTGGCCATCGACGGAGTGGTGCACTCCACGGCGCCGCTCCTCATGGCTGCCGCGCTCGCCCTGTACTCCACGCTGCTCCTCCTCGCCGGCGTGGCAGACTACGGCGGCGTCGACGCGGTCGCAGCGCCGGCTCTCGCACGGATGGGCGCCTCCGCCGCCCACATCGGCGCAGCCATCGGCGCCCTCGACGTCTCGTCGCCCGAGCGGTGCGTCGCGGCAGTCTGGAAGCTCGTCGCTACAGCCGCCGTCGTCGCGACGACGTGTCTCCTCTGGGCGGTGGGCTGCAGCTCGGGCACCTGGAGGGCGGCGATAGTCGCGCAGCTGCGCTTGCCGCCTCGTCAGATGGCGGCGCTGGTGCTGCTACCCGTGCTGATAGGCTGGCATGCATGGTCGGGCTGACGCGAGCGAACTGCAGCTCGAGGTCGAGCTCCGATGAATTTTCATCGGAGCAGACGGAGGGAATTTGTGTGCTGACTCACGTGTCCGCGGTCCTCCTCTGTACGGCGGCTCTACTACCGACGCCCCCGCGAGTCCCCTGCCGTGTCTGGGAGAGGATTGGACCGAATGTATTTGTTTCTAGCCGATGCCGTGGAAGATGTAATCCACGCCCACACCACATGGAAGATACTAGCGCTCATGCAAATCAACACACACCCGCGCACACGTCGGTGTCACCGTAACGGAAACGGTGTGTGTGCCGCGCGCCAACGGTACACGACTCACGAGGCGCAGGAGAGAGGAGTCATGCTGGGGACATACACATGCAGGAGACTCGGGCCTGGACCCGCGCGGCCCTGAAAGGGCCTGCGCTCTCATTCATGCGGCTCGCTCAGAGCGCTATGGAGAGGCCTGCGCGCACAGCCGTCGACGCACGGCGGCCGTCTCCGGACTCGGCCGCCCGGTCGAGCGGCAAGCTCGCCTGCAGCTCGACGGCGCCAGCGTCGCCGAGCTCCGTCTGCCGCGAGGGGGGGAAGGGGGGGGGGGCAAGGGGGGGCGTGAGGCCATCCCGAGGCGGGCAAGACGCGAGGTGGCGCTGGGCTCTGTGCGCCGCGAGACGGGGCGGGCTCACCCTCTGAGTGACGATCATCTCTGCGCCGCCGCCACCGCCGCTGCGGCGGCGCCCTAGCGCGGCGCGGAGGCGCGCGTCGAGGGTCAGCCCCGTGATCGCCGGCTGCGCGCCAAGGCTGCGCTCTGCCTGCGGCCGCGGAGGCTCCTCCGCGCGCGCGAGTCGCACGCAAGCGGAGAGCTCCGCAGAGAGCTCGCCGCTGGCCGACTCGCGCCGAGCTCGAGCGACTCGCGCCGACCTCGCCGACTGCGCCGGGGCGAGCGGCGCGGCGGGCGGCTCGAGGGTGGGCGCGCCGCCTTGCGCCGCCCCCTCCGACGCCCCCGCCACTGGCGACGGCGGCGTCGCCCCGCCCCTCGGGGCGGCGAGGACGGCGTGGTGCAGCGCCTGCTGCTGGCCTTGGGCGGCGTGCGCGCTGGAGAGGCGTCCCCGCTCGAGCCCCCCCCACTCGGGCCCCCGCTGGGCGACGGAAGCGGCGGGGGGGCTGGCGGCGCCGTTCGCCGCCTCCGCGGAGTCCGAGGGCGGGGATGGTGGCGGGGGAGGCGGAGAAGAGCCTTGGGCAAGCGCGTGCTGCGGCGAAGAGCCCGCGCCCAAGGAGGGTGCCGGAGGCTGGGCGGGGAGCGGCGTGCGGGTGGATCCGCCGGGGGGCCGCGCGCCAGGCGGGCCCTCCTGCCCCGCCCCGCCGGCAGTCTCCCCGACCCCCACCCGCACCGCCGCGACACCGACACTGTGTGTCCAGCTCCACTCTCCTCCGCGGCGCTTCGAACTGGCGGCTCCGGTCCGCCCGTCGCGCCGCCGCGCGTCGAGGAGCCGGAGCAGCCGCCAGCGGCGCGGCTCGCAACGCAGCTCGGTGCTCGAGATCGCTCCCTCCGCTGAGCGGCGCCAGCCGAGCGTACCCGTCCACCTCCTCTCCTCGCCGTCGAGCGAGAGGCGGGCGAGGAGAGGCAGCAAAGCGAGCGAAGACGCACCCTCGCCTACAGCGAGAGCGGCGTGGCGGGTGAGCGCCTGCCCGCAATCCGAGGGAGCGACGGCTCGGCTCGCGGCGCCGCGGGCGCGCGACGCCGCCGCCGCGCCGCCCTCGCGGCCCGCCCGCCGCCCCGGCGGCGCTTGTGTCGCCGTCCCTCGCCCGGGGCGCGGGAAGGGTACTGGAGCCGCTGTGGAAGGGAGCGAAGAGCGGGGCAGCCGAGGGGCGGCGCTGCCGAGCATGAGCTCCCTCGCCGCCGCCTCGGCGCGCGTCTCGCACATCGGCGCCGCCTGGAGGCGAGCCTGCAGCCGCCGGTCGAGCGAGGCAGCCAGGGGACGGGCGGGGGACGCACGCGGACTCTCGCGGCTCTTCGCGGCGCCCCCGCCCGCGCGGCCGCCCCGGCGGCCGCCCTCCGGCCCGCCGAGGCGCACGACCCCGCCGGACACGCTAGCGCCCACCCGCCCCGCAGCAACCCTCGCGTGGACCGCCACGGACGCCTGCTCGTGCGCCCCTCCGCAGGCCAAACTCCCGCCCAGCCATGGCCCGTCCACGCCTCGCAGCAGCGAGCCCCAGCCCGCCGAGCCGCGCCCGCCCGGCGCGACCGCCCTGCCCGCCGCGCCGCCTCCCTCTCGGAGGCGCGCGCTCACGGTGCACACCGCGCTCGCGTTTGCGCCCGGCAGCTCGAGCCGGCGAGTCATCGCACGCAACAGCACGGGCGCGACCTGCACCGGACGGGCACGCGCGGGGTCGGGCTCCTGGCCTCCCCGCTCCCCCGCCGTCGCCCCCACACACACCTCCACGGCGGGCGAGCGCAGAGCCACCGCCGCAGCGCCGCCTCCGTCGAGCGCGGCTGTCAGCCGGCAGCCGCCAAGCCCGCGGCCCATGCCTCGGCCTGCCCCGCCGGCCGCTCCCGGGGCGGCGGGCGTCGACTTGCGCGGAGGGGCCGGAGTCTCGCCCCTGGCCTCGCCCTGCCGCCCGCCCTGCCGCCCGCCCTGCCGCCCGCCCTGCCGCCCGCCCTCCTGCGACCCGCTCCGCTTCTCCCTCCCTCGAACCAGCCTCTCCCAGAGCGGCGCCGGGCCGCGCGACGGCGACGGAAGAGGGATGGCCCGAGGGATGGCCCTCGACGCGGAGGCCGCAGCAGCCTCGCGCGAGGCCGGCTCGGCGGCACTCGGGGCAGCGACGCGCGCGGGGGTCGGAGCATCGCGGTTGGAAGACAGGCCCGCGGGCAGGGCGAGCGAGGCGCCGCCGCGGCCGCTCGAGACCCAGCCGACGGCGTCTTGGAGGACGAGGCCACCGTCAGAGAGGTCAAGGGAGCAGCTCGACGCCTGCAGCGTCCCTGCGAACCCGCCTCCCGCCTGCAGCCCGCGGAGCGCGTCGCCCGCGTCGGCCCGGCCAAGGCGGCGGCGCGCCAGCTCGAGCAGCGACGGCGAGTCTCGCCCCCAGCGCACCAGCCGGTGGGCAGCCCCGCCCGGCGCCAGCCCGGACGCACCCGCTCCCGCCAGGTGCTCGCTCGCCCCGAGTCGGACCGCCGGCGGGACAGACCACTGCACGCGCACCGGCCCAGCCGCATGAGCGGCGCCGAGGCTGCTCGAGAGGGTGAGCCCGCGCGAGCGCAGCCGCAGCTGGCCGGCGGAGAGGCGGGTCGCGCCGCGGCACTCGTAGGTCGCGCCGCCATCGCCGTCGAGACGCACCACCAGGCAGTCTGTTGAGACTGAAACCGCCGCGCTGCTGCCTGGCTCGCCCGCGAGGGACTTGTGCAGCAGGACGTCCTCGCGGGGGAACGGGCCGTGCTTGGGCCGGACGACCCGTAGACGACGAGCTGACACCTCCATCGACACGCTGCTGCCGTCGCGGGAGAGGAGCAGCGGCGGAGGGCCCATATCAGAACCCGCCACCGTTTACTACGAGCCTCGCGCCACAAGCGAAACGACAAAAAACACACTTTTCGCCGGTTAGTGCACTAACCTCCGAGAAACCCTTCGAATCGCTCCTCATCGCAAACCCTGTCAGCAGAGTCCTCCTACGGGAATGTACGTAAGAGCCACATAGAAAATTTTTAGGTGCAACGTTGGTTTCTCCGTTTTCTTTCTTTTCTTTTAGCCTCGAACCATCGGAATAGCGAACAGGAGGGAGGACCGGGAGGAGAGGGGAGCCCCTTCGGATGGGGGGTGGGGAGATCGGGCGGAGGAGCCCTGAGTGGCGATGTCGGGTGAGAGTGTACGTCATGCTCGTGTCTGGTGTTTATACTATCTCCGAGTAGAGGCAGAGAGAGGGGGCGTTCCGCCGCTAGGGGACACCCAAAGCGCAGAACTAACCCTCGGAGACCTGTGTTTACTTTACGGCCCTTTCCCTGCGAACGCGCACCCCCCCAGGGCTAGGGCTCTCTAGCCCGTGTACCCTCGAGTAACCCGATGCCGATCATCCGCGGCGGCCCGCTGGGTGCGCTTCTTAGCTCCCCGGCCCTGGATGTGAGGTTACTGACTGCACTCCAAGTGCTCCAAGGGCGGCAACACACCCATCAAGCTACAGATCAACGGAGGAGCTGCGCCGTGACCTACAGAGAGTAGGTAGGTAGGTAGAAAGGTGAAGAACAGCCAGGCTCGGACTGGACACCAACGCGGTATGGGTGGACGCTAGACAGAGAGTCAGCTCAGCGGCGCTGGGGAACGACCAACCCGTAGAGATCAAACCCATGGCCGTGCGGGGGGTGACTCGAGCCCGGTGAGGGAGAACAGAAGCTCAGTCAGCACTGCTGGGTGACAAATCTTGGTGCACACGTGACCAACTGTGATCTGAAGGGGGCCGAGGAGGGCGGTGGCACGGAGAGGTGGGCGCGCAGCGAGGCGAGGTGGCCGGCGGCGATATCGGTTTGCAGGCTCGCGGCGGACGCCATCACCGAGTCGAGACGCGGCAGCTACGCCCGGAAGGGCGGTGTCGCACGGCGCCCGCCAGCGGACGGCTCTCTTCTGGCTGCGCACGGGCGCCGACATCTTGGCAAACCTTGGCCCGCAGCCCGCGCCGTAAGCTTTTTCAGTGTACGTCTCTCTCTCAGTGTATGTAGCTCTTACGTACATTCCCGTAGGAGGACTCTGCTGACAGGGTTTGCGATGAGGAGCGACCCGACGGGTTTCTCGGAGGTTAGTGCACCACTAACCGCCGAAGCGCAAGCGCTTGGAGCAAGAGAACTGCCACGTATCGGTCTCATACTAGCACCCCACCTCGCGAGCCGACGTTCTGGCTCAGCGAGGTTGCTGCGGAGCACTCGCCGGGTCTTTTTTCTTTTTGCTCTTCCGGTACACTTCCCAAGACTGACTGAGACTGACTGTACACTTCCCAAGGCTGCGCATGCTGCTGCCGTCCTGCTCTATCCCGCCTGTGCGGCCGCTGCTGCTGCACACCGTCGCAACTTCGGGCGTCGCCATGCTGGCGGACCCCGCGCTGGCTACGTCATCGGCGGCGGATCTGCCGCCCGCGACATCATTTGAGCCTCAGGGCGACCCGCTGCAGGCGGCGATTCTATTCTCGGTGGTTGCGCTCCCATTTGCCTATTGGTGGTACATCTCGGTGCCCGAGGCGCGACTCGCGCTTGCAAAGGACAAGCGCCTCAAAGAAGGCGAAACTAAGAGATACCTCGACGAGCTCGCGGACGACCCGAGCGGCAGGAAGGCCGAGCGCTGGTTCTTCGCCAAGTGGCTGAGACAGAATAAGCCGAGCAGGCCTGCTGCTGCAAAGGCCGCACCAGAGGACGAGGCGGCGGCGCTACCGCCAGAGGAGGCGGCGGCGGCGCTACCGCCAGCACCTCCTCCAGAGCCCGCGCGCGACGCTTCGCTTGGGGTGCTATTCAAACCGGCGTCGCTGAAAGGCAACGCGACGCCGAAGTTTTGGTCGGGAGACAACCCCATCGTCGTCACGATGGGTGGCCTTGCCCTAGCTGGCGTCGTCGCAACAGCGGCGCAGAGCGGCAGCGGCGCGCACGTGGCCGATATCGTGGTGCTGGGCGCGGGGCTGGCGTTTGGGCTGAGCAGGCTCACCCTCGACTAGCGCCTATTCAGAATAATTCTTTTCTTGCCAGTGGTGGAACAGCTCGCCACTCGAAGCCACACCCAACCTTTTGCGCTCACTGTAGTGCGCGTCGGGCTTGAGGTTCGATACCGAGTTTTGGCTACGACGGCCCGCAGCGGAACAGGGCAATCCGAGCTACACGCACGATGCTGCGACTTCCCGCAGCCATCCTGCTCGCCCTCACCCCAGCGAGGGCGACCCGCCTCCGGCTCGTCAGCTTCAACATCCACGGTTGGCGCGATGCGGACCACACAGACAGGCTCAGCGACCTCATCAAAGCCATCGCAGCCCTTCGGCCCGACGTGGTCTGCCTGAACGAGGTGCTCTTCCCGTTTGTCGGCCCGCCCAAAGAGGATCCCTACTGGGAGGCTGTGCGCGAGCGGCGCGGCTACCTCCACGTGCCGCCGGCCGGGAGCAGGCCAGACGAGCGGGACGAAGACAACTATCTGCGGCGGCTCGCTGCCGCGCTGGGCCTGCCGCACATTTGCTTCGGGGCGGCTGTCGGCACCGACCCAGAGCCGCGCCCGTTTGCGCGCTGCTTCTTTGCGCAGTACCCCTTCGGCAACGCCATCCTCTCGCGCTTCCCTCTCTCCGATGTGCGTCACTCGCTGCTCTCCGTGTCTCCCGCCGACCTGACGTGCGGCGACCAGCCTCGCACAGACAGCGACTTGGAGCACCGCGCCCTCACCACGGCCCGGCTGCGGCTGCCGGGAGGCGGGAGCCTCGGCGTCGCTGTCACGCACCTCGACCACAAGGCGGAGGCTCTAACCTTACCCTAACCCTAACCATAACCCTAACCCTAACCCATACCCTAACCTCGACCACAAGGCGGAGGCTCTGCGAGAGCGGCAGGTCGCCGCCGCCGTCGAGCGATGCGCTGGCGCGTTTGGGTCGCTGCCGCATGTCCTGTGCGGCGACCTCAACTCTTTCAGCAGGGGAGACATGAGCGCGCGGCAGTGGAGTGAGATCTGCGCGCTGTACGAGAGCCGCGGCTGGGGTGAGTGAATCGCCATCTCTCGCCCATCTCTCGCCTCTCCCCTCACCGTCTCCCTGCTCGCCGTCTTACTGCTCCTCTCGTCTCACCGTCACGCGGCCGCCCGGTAGGCTCGCCGCGGCCCGACTCGCTGGTGCGAGCCGTCCTGCACGCCGCCGGCTACTGCGACAGCTTCGGGGCCATCCTCCGACCTGCTGTCCTTCCAAACGTGCTGCCTCCCCCGACCTGCTGGACGAACACTCGGCTCGACTACGTGCTCCTCTCGCAGGTGGCGGCGGCCGGGGCGGTGCGGGTGACGGCCCACAAGACGGTGCGGGACTGTGACGTGTCGGACCACTTCCCTGTCTTATGCGAGATTGACATATCGAGATAGACCCGGTATTCACTCTCCTCGAGCGCAAGGACGCGGGGAGCTTCACGCGGAGTTGTCGGAGCTTCGCGCAAAGGTCAAGGACCTGGAGGCCAAGAAGCTCAAGGAGTGAACGCCTTCATCTCAAGGATTAGGACATAGTGTTAGTGACTGTCCGTTGTCGGTTATACGGTGTATGTGGGAGTCCCCACTCCCATTATTGAGACGACGCTTTTGTCTTCGAATCTTGACTAACAGCTTTCGTGAAGGATGGATTGAAAAACATTCGAACAAAGAAGAGGCGACGGGAGGAACCGGCAGAGGATGCAGTGACGTGACACACACACACACACTCACACCGCACTCACACACACACACACACACACACACACACACACCGCTCACCCACGCGCACCGGGCCTTGCACTTTGAATGCCGTGGGGCTCCTGTCGTTAGACGTGGAGACGCGAGGGTTGCCCCCCCTTGCCCCACCACCTCGTAGAGCTGTTTAACATTAACTTTGGGCCTAACAGTTGCGCTATCGTGTTGGCTTGAAATCCTTAACGTTGTTCAAGTGTTCACCCCAGCCCATGCTGTTACTGTTTGTTACTGTTGTTACTGTTGTTCAGCGGTCAGCAAGCAGAAAATCCCAAAAAAACCGGGTAAACCCCGAAATACCTGGGGTTTCCCGGGTATTTCGGGTATTACCCGCACTGGACGCTGGAGATCGTCGTGGGTCACTGCCAGGCCTTCCTTATTGTTGTTCAGCCGGCCTAACGTTAGCTACTGTTGTTGGGGAGCCCCACTGTTGTTCTGTTGTTACTGTTAACACTAGCAACACTGTTCAGCTCCCAACGTTAAACAGCTCCTACCACCTCGTGTGTGTGGAGAAGTTTACTTACCTTACCTTACCTTACCTTTCGGTGCTACCCCCCTGTCGCGCCTATCTGTATCTCTCGCTCTCTGCCAACTGCCTTGCTCTCTCCACCACCTCGGTCGCGAGAGGTGGAGGTCTCTGACGTGTCGGTGTGTCCCTGCACCCTGGGAGCTGAAACACGAGTGTGCCGTACTCCGTCCGAGAGCGCAGCACGAGCACGGAGCAGCGCAGTGTGCGCACCTCCCGAGCAAGCGTGGAGCAAGGTGCGGGCTGACCGGTGCAAGTGCAATGTGTCACGCCCCCGTGCAGTTGAGTCTCCCTTCAACGCACGCCGTCAGGCGACCCTGTTCCTCCGCGGTAAGCTCCCTGCTGTACGTGCCAAAACTGTTCTTCTTCTGCCACGGCTGCGGCTCCTTGTAGCCGTACAAGAATGAGAACGTAAGTGGCTCGTTGTATTCCTGGCCGACGAGCGTCGGACAGCCGTTCTCCTTGTAGTCGTTCCAGTCAAAGGAGCTGCTCTCCTTCAAGTCGTCGGCGGTAAGTCGGCAAGCCTGCGCCTGCGCCTGCGCCTGCCCCTGGAGCTGCCGCTGCGTTCCAAGTCTGCGACGAGAAGCCAGCAAAGGAGGGCAAATGGCCTGGTAGGGAAGGATGGTCGCGAGCACGCTGCCGTTGAGCTGCCATTGGTGGATGCAGTTGCAATACCGCTCCGCCGTGTGCTGCTGGGAGGGGATGACCTGGGCGAGGCAATTCTGGCAGCCGTGACCAGTCATGGGGTCGTAAGTGGTTGTGCAGCTGGTCGGATCGCGGAGGAGGAAGTCGGGCGGGTAGATGCCATTCAGCCAGGCGTCCTTGTAGTCGCCCGCAGAGATAACATTCGTCGGCGCAATGGCGTGGAAGAAGGCGAGGTTGGAGCCACCCAGCTGCGACGGGCAGCCCGACTGCTCAGGCTCGCAGTTTGGGGCGCCGGTTGAGGCGTTGACTCCAAGCGATAGGTCTAGCTTGTCCGAGTCCACATCGTTGGTCGTGATTGGATTGTTGGGCAGGTCGGGCGCCCGCCGATCCCAGATGTGAAAGAAGCAGTTTACCTCGGGCTCAGTCCAGCTAGTGACGCTGGAAGCAAGGCAGACGAACTCGCCGAAGTTGAACGCGCCGCCGCCAATGACCGGGTCGCGGACACCTGTGCTGTACATATGCTCCTGCGGCGCGTCATTTGGCGACGGCGCCATGAATGTCGTGATGGAGTTCATGGCGCGCACGTCAATATTGGTCGGGCACTTGGGGCAAGTGGTGGTGGAGTTGAAGTTGGCCTCGGTCGTCTCTTCGGCGATGTCTGGATGCACGCCCCGGGCGAGCATAGCCTTCACAACGTCCTCCTTGACCACGGTGCAATCTGGCTCGAAGTACGGGTCGAGATCGCCGTTCTTGCACATGAGGCCCATGAACGGGCAGTTGATGAGGTGGAAGTCGGTGCAGCAGGCGTGCGGTAGCGACGCGGAAGGAGAGCTCCCACTCGGAATCCCCGGCCTCGTTTGCTTGAATGACCGCAGTCGTGAATCCCAAACGGTTTCAAATTACCCGGCGCATTCCACTACCGGGTGATCTGGAAGAATTTAAACAAATGAACTCTCTCTCACAGCAGACAGGCTCGACACAGGTGGAAGAAGTAGAAGACATTTCGCCCGCCGGGTAACCTGCAAACGACATTTCGCCGTGAGGCCGTGTAACGTTGGGTAGCCTGGAAACGACACTAACGACATTCGTCGCCGCACCGGGTGATCTGAAATCGCCCACACCGGGTGATCTGGAAAACGCCGGGTGATCTGCGAGGCGAATCTCAAAAACCGGGTCATCTGAAATTTATCCATTGCGCATTGGAATATGTGGCTCTTACGAACATACCCATTCAGCTAAAAGTTCACAGTATGACTGTTCTTTTCCAGTGAGCAGTGTATGTGGCTCTTACGAACATACCCGTAGGTGGACTGCTGAGTGCTGACGGGGTTGCGATGAGGAGCGACACCGAAGGGTTTCTCGCTCGGGGTTAGTGCACCACTAACCGCCGAACGAATCTTTCACCTCAGAACATACAATACATACCGTGCACGGACAGTGTTGGAGAAATAGGTTGACCGTTGGGTATGCTGTCGTCGGACTTGTGAACTCGATTGTGCAGGTGATGATCTGATTAATTCACGCGTGGCGGTCCCATGATCACAAGTTTTTCAACCCACGACCGTAACCGCCATGTCGGAGGCCGTCGACGCGCACGTGCGGCGCAAATACGACGTCCAGGCGAAGCTGGGAAAGGGTGCGTACGGTATCGTCTGGCGGGCGGTTGATCGGCGCTCAGGCGAGACTACTGCGCTCAAAAAGATCTTCGATGCCTTCCAGAATGCGCAAGACGCCCAGCGCACGTTCCGCGAAGTGATGTTCCTGCAGGAGATGTCGGGGCACGAGCACATAGTGACGCTGCTGAACGTCCTCAAAGCCGACAATGACTGCGACCTCTACCTCGTTTTCGAGCATATGGAGACGGACTTGCACGCGGCAATACGCGCGGGAATCCTGCAAGACGTCCACCACCGCTACATTGTGTGGCAGGCGCTCAAGGCGCTCAAGTTTATGCACTCCGCGGAGCTTCTGCACCGAGACATGAAGCCTTCGAACCTGCTTCTGAACGGCGACTGCCTCGTCAAGGTAGCTGACTTCGGACTCGCGCGCTCCATGCGAGACCTTGACGCCGCCTCACGAGGAGGGCCTGCGACGGTCATGACTGACTACGTGGCGACCCGGTGGTACCGTGCGCCGGAGATCCTGATGGGCTCTCCGCGCTACACGTTTGGGGTGGACATGTGGTCGATCGGCTGCATTCTCGGCGAGATGCTCTCGGGGACGGCCGTCTTTCCCGGCTCATCGACGCTGGACCAGCTGGAGAGGATAATGGGACTCACCGGCAAGCCCAAAGCAAGCGAGGCCGAGGTGCTGAGCCCATATGCACTCGAGATGCTCTCGCAGCTGCAGGCTCCTCCGCCCGCCGAGACCACGTGGAGCAAACACTTTCCGTCCGCGTCGCCCGACGCCTTGGACCTGATGCGCCGCTGCCTCTCCTTCAACCCCGCCCATCGGCCGAGTGCAGAGGAGGCCCTCGCGCATGAGTACGTGGCTCAGTTCCACGACGAGGCGGCGGAGCGGCGCGCCACGAGGCTTGTCGAGTGCATCATTGACGACAACACGCAAAAGGCGACCTGCGTGTACCGGGAGCGCCTGTACCACGAGATCACAAAGATGAAGCGTCGGAAAAAGAGCGCCAAGCAGGGGCTCCGCGGGGAGGGGCAAGGTCAGGGCGAGGGCGACAGCATATCGGCAGGGCTCGGAGCGCAGCATAATCCGCGATAGCTACTGCGCCGCGTGAAATCTATGTTATGTCAAATGATCTGGTGGCGGTCGCTCTAGACGATGTTCGCTCTCTGAACATGTCCCGGCTTGATCCCAAGCGTGTTTGAGATCCTCCCTCGGGCTGTTAAATCTCCTCATCTCTTTCCCACCTAGGCGGGGCGGTGGGCGTGTGCGCGCGGCGCGGCGGTGGTGTGTGTGTGTGTGTGTGTGTGTGTGTGTGTGTGTGTGTGTGTGTGTGTGTGTGTGTGTGTGTGTGTGTGTGTGTGTGACTGCGACAAGGGACCATCGGCTTGTATCATTAACAACGAAGGCCTCAATGATTTTTAGATTTTACGCGCGGCGGAAAGAACACACCCCAACCCTCTTCGACCTCACCCAAAAAGCACGATTCTCAAGTCAGGGCCGTCAGGGCCTTTGGCTTTGCCAGAACTGCCACTCCGGTGTTCCCTTAAGACTCCTCTGCATCATCGGAGTTCGGAGCGTCGCTGGCCACCACCCCCTCTCGGTTGTCCACGTGGGACTGGAACGTTGTGGGACGGTATCGCTCGCCGGGCGAGTGCGAACCTTTTATCTTAAACGCTCATTTTTTTCTTCTCTGATCATAAACCAGTAAGTGTGTAGTTGGACCGCCGACGTGCTCAGCTGCTCATCGAAGACCGATGCTGTGCAGAGCGCCGCCATGCGGCCTAAACTAGCCAGCGTCCGCACTGGCCGCCCGCACAGGGCATGACTCGCGCCTCGAACTAACGTACCTGTATCTCACCAAACGCGAGAGTTTTACTAGTGCCAGGGAGAATGACAGTGACGTAGCGGTGCCTGTGGGGGGGGGGGGGGGCTTCAGGGTAAGCTTTGCAGGGGACTCGTAGGCGCGTGGCGACTAAAAGGCGGCGGCTCGCAGACGCACTTGGACTTGGCAGCGTCGCACGGCGTCGTGACTGGCCCCTTCTTTATCGTCGACCAGGCAAATGGTCCGCCGCACTTCACCGCCATTTCTCCAGCCTTCTTGCCGACCCAGATCTCGAAGCCTTTGAGATACTTCTTCGTCTCGGAAGGCTTGTTCTTGGTATCCGGGGTGACGGTCACGGAGCTGATGGGCTGCTGATTCTCCAGGGTGACCTAATTAATGTGTCAGTCAGGGGAGGGCGGTCGCCAATGGTGAAATGCCACGAGAGGGGAGAGGGCGAGGAACGCCGGGGTGCCTTGGCGAGAACGCGGCGAGGCTAACGGAACAAAAGCGCGAAACCGCCACCGCTCACCGGCAATGCCACCGACGGCGCCCACACGCCCTTTGAGAGCATCGCTCGAGAACATCATGTCCGTTAGTTTTTTCAGACGAGTGCGAACCTGCGAAGCCACAAAGTCGTAAAGCACACAACATTCCGCACATCTCACGGGAGGCGACGAGGACGACCCCGCTGCCGCTCCCCGGGCCCGATATAGCACAAAAAGATCGCACGGGCGGGGACCTGTTCCTTTTCACCCATCTCACAGTAGAGGTGTGTCCGTTTTTATTTATTTATTTAGCACATTCCGACTGGCGCACCACGTGTCGCGAGTCAGAGAGCGCTGAGCGGAGCGGAGGCTTATACACAAACCATATCCCCGGCACAGGGGCGCCTCTTCAGCCCTCTTCGTCGCCTACGTAGTCGCGCAGCACGAGCGAGACGTGCGGCTTCCTCAGCTTGCTCAGCGCAGCGAAGAGCACATTTTTCACCCGGTGGAAGGAGAGGCCGAGCGCCTCGCCCACCTCCTTGACCGCCATCGTCTCGCCGCTGCCGCCGAGACCGAAGCGCATCTGCACCACCTTCGCCTCCTCCTCGGTGAGGTAACGCGTCATCACGCTCTGCAGGTCGCGCTGCAGCATCGACTGCACCATCTCCGCCTGCGCCGTCTCGGCGCGCTCGTCGGGCAGGAAATCGCCCACCGTGAGGTCGTCGCCCGACGGAGCGTCGAGCGAGGTTGCCCGCCGGTTGACGAGCTCGACCACCTGGCGCACCTTGGCAGGGGGAGGGGCGCGCAGAGGTGTGAGGCGGCGCGCGGGGGGGGGAGGGGAGCCACACTCCTCCGCCGCCGCGCCTTTGCGGCCGAGATGTCGCCCACGAGCGCCGCCACCTCCTCGTCGGTCGGGTTGAAAGCGGCGCCGGCGCGCAGCTCCTCCTTGGCGCGCACGATCTTTGCGTAGACGGTCTGTACGCGCGAGGGCAAGCGGATGGTGCGGCTCTGCTCGCGGATGGTCCGGGTGAGCGCGTTGCGGATCCAGTAGGTAGCCTGTGCGGGGCCCAAGGGCAGCGGTCGGGAGGAGGGGGAGTGGGCCGTGGCGGGGCGAGGAGGAGAGGGGTTGCATAGGTTGAGAAGCGGAGTCCGAGGGAGACGTCGAACTTCTCGGCGGCCTTGATGAGGGAGATGGACCCCTCCTGCATCAGGTCCTGCGGCCGGTGCGGTGGCGAGATGTGGGGAGATGTGGGGAGATGTGGGGAGATGTGGGGAGATGTGGGGAGATGGACCCCTCCTGCGGCCGGTGCGCGGTGGCGAGGTTGGCGGTGGCGAAGCGGCGTCCGTCGGGCGCACGGCGCGAGGGGGGGCGAGGGGGGCGCGAGGGGGCGGGGGGTGGCGGAGGGGGGAGGCGGCCGAGGGAGGGGGAGGGAGGAGTGTGGGCCACCTGCTCCGTCGTCCCGTGGTCGATCCGCCCGCCGCCGCTCCGCTGCAGCGCGCGGATCGCGCTGCGCACCAGACCGGCGTTGCTCGTGATGAGGCGCGCCTCCGCCTCCCGGCCGAGGTCGACCGCCTCCTGCAGCTCCTCTGGCGACAGGCCCGCCGCCCTCGCCCAAGCCGCCTGATGCCGCGCCGCCGCCACCTCCACGCCGCCTCCGCTCCGCCGCTCTCCTGCGCCGCCCGCCCGGCTGTGGAGCGACTCCGCCGCCGGCGCCGGCGCCGCCACGGCACCTCGCGTCGCCACGCCAACGGCGACGCCTTCGCTCGAGAGCGAGAGGCCTCCTCCTCCGCCGCCGCCTCCGCCACCGCCCCCTCCCTGCCGCGAGCCGTGCAGCTCCCCGCCGCCGCTCCACGACACGGGCCACTCGGCGGCCGCGGCCTGGGCGGACGCCTCGGCGTGGAGCACGTCGCCACGCACCGCCTCGAGCTGGCGCAGCCGCTGCACGCGCTGGCAGAGCTGGATCTCCTCCGCGTGCTCGAGCAGCCTCGCGCGGCTGGTGCTCGCCACAAAGCCGGTCAGCGCGCTGGGTCGCTTTTGCCCCGTCGGGCGGCGGCGAGGGCGGCCGCGGCCTCCACGGCCTCGCCCGCCACCGCCGCGTCTCCCGGTGGACGCCCCGCTGCCGCGAGCCGTCCTCTGGCTGTCGGCTGGGGCCGCTGCTCCCGGCGCTGCCGGTCCTCGGAGGATTACGCACGGCACCCGCCAGCGCCTAGCGACCGCCGCGGGAGCGCCGGTCAGCCCGGGCCGCTGCACTGGAGCGAAGGCCGAACCGGCTCCGAGGCTGAGCAGGAGGAGGACGGCGGCGGGAGGCATATGACACACAATTTGCCAGTCAGGGGCTGGACAGGGGGCTGAGGGGTCGCGCTCTCTCGCGCTGGAGACCTTTCGCCGACATTTCTCGAGTAGAGCTCTATCCGCTTCTTGAGCACTTGAGTGAGCACCGGATAGGGTCGATTCCGCATGGTACGGGACCCCTCGATCGTCTCGCCCATCCGCTTCTGGCAAATTGTGTGTGCCAGTCAGGTGCCAGTACTAGTAGCGTAGTAGGATGAGATTATGAAAAACGCCGGAATTCGGACGAGTACTCTCGCCTGCACAAATTCGATAAGTGGGACAAGGAGGGATGCGTCCCAGGGTCCTGGAGTTTCAGGCGTGCTTTCGCTCCGACTCCTCGGTGACCAAACGACGAGCTGGAGAGCTGGCGACCGAACGCTACCCGAGGCGGCTGGCGGCGATGGACGACCGAGCGGAGACGCAACGAATCGAGGAGCGGCTCCCGCAGGGAACCGACGAGTGGCTCGCGAGACCCTCGTAGCCGTGGGTAGCACCTTTTATTCTTTTTCTTTGAAAGAAAGTTGAAAGCCTCCCTTGCGCCTTGCTTGGGTTGCCTTTTCTTTCTTTTTCTTTGAACAGGTCTATCACTGCGCAGAGGGGCCCCCGGAGGAATGCCCACTCTCTCAATCAACCGCTCCACGCCACGCCGCTTGCGGCGGTAAAGAAAGAAAGGGGGGGTGTCGGAGGAAAGAAGGAAAGAAAGAACAGACAACAACCTCCAAGTGCTCCAACCCAAAAGAGGGATGGGAGGGATGGGAGGACGGCGGGGAACAGTCTGACATCAGAGGGGCTCCGTCGCTGTCAGGCCCTAACGTGACAGCCTGACAGCCCGACAGCACACAGTGGCCTGACAGCAGCGCTGACAGCCCGACAGCCCGACCAGCCCGACAGCAGCACAGACCGTACACAGCCGTGCAGCCTCTTTCTTGTGCCCCATGAGGGTATAACAAAACTATTACATGCAAAGACATGCACATGCGAGTGTGGTCCATGCAGTGTCATGGGATGGTCATGCCTCATGGGTCTCTCTCTCAACCCTCCCGCCCCACCTCTGCGGACCCGCGGCTGTGCTACAACTACAGATGAAGCTACCAGCTAGCCTTCTGGGGCCCTACAGCCATATGCCTACGGCGTCTGGGTGGGGGTGGCCGCCGCCGTCTGTGCCGCGCTGCTGCCGCCGCCGCCTGCGCCGCCATCTGCGCTCCCCAGGCGGACCCCTTCTGGCAGAGTAGAGACTAGAGTATGTGTAGTAGAGTCCTGCTGGTCTCCTCTTGATAATGTCATAAGTGTGGATGGTGTGTCAGAGCCTGACAGCACCCCGACAGCACCAACCGACAGCACCTGACAGCACCGGCGTCTCTGACAGCAGCAGCAGCCCGACAGCTCTGACAGCTCCGACAGCGTCTGACAGCAACACCCGACAGCTCCGACAGCACCCGACAGCTACGGAGCCCCTCTGATGTCAGACAAGCACCCGACAGCACCCGACAGCACTGACAGCACCTGACAGCTGGTCTGACAGAGGCACCTGACAGTGCCTGACAGTGCCTGACAGCCTGACAGATCACCTGACAGCACCTGACAGCCTGACAGCCAGGCGAGGGCTCAGGGGGCAGGGGCGATTCGCTGCTGGCTGGCGGTGGCGACGGGCTCCGCCTGATTGATGCTCGACCTGCTTGGAGCGGAGCGGGCTACGGGGGCAGCGCGCGGCATATCGGGCTTGTGAAAAGAAAAAAATCGCCGCGGAGGGTGGGAGATGAATAGATAAAACGGAACGCCAAGGTGGGAAACAAAAGAAAGAAAGAAAACAGACAACACCCAAAGGGGGGGATGGGAGGACGACGGCACGCCGCCACCACACACCACACAGGGATTTTAAGGAGAGGGGTGTGATGCGCTAGCCGTCGCCCACCCTCGGGCGTCCGCCTCTTCCTATCTCTCTTCGCAGTCTCTCGCCGATTCTCGCTGCAACCTTCATGCCACCTCCGGCTCGCGGTCGTCCCACTCTCGTCGTTCTCTCGGAGCACTTGGAGTGCAGTCGGCAGCCTCACATCCAGGGCCGGGGAGCTAAGAAGCGCACCCAGCGAGCCAGATAAGATCGGGATCGGGTTACGGGCTAGAGAGCCCTTAGCCCTGGGGGGGTGCGCGTTCGCAGGGAAAGGGCCGTAAAGTAAACACGGTTCTCCGAAGGTTAGTCCGCGCTCCGGGTTTCCCCTAGCTGCGGAGCGCCCCTCTACTCGGAGCTAATAAACACCAGACACGCACACGACGTACATCCTCACTCTCGTCGACGTCACCCATCAGGGCTTCTCCGTTCGACCTCACCTCCCTCGATCCGGGGGGGCTCTCCACTCCCGGTCCTCCCCCCCCCTCGCTTTCCGCTGGTTGGGCAACGGATGCGGGGCCCGGCTTCCCCTCTCCTAGCCTTTTTCGGCCGCGGCCCCGTCGCCGTCTCGTCTTCTCTGCCTGATCCTGTTGACTCCGCCTCCGGCGAGCCCGTGCCCGACTCCCCGGGCGAGGGCGGTGGCGTTGGATCGTGTCGCCCCCCCTCCCCGGGGGGTCGGGCCGGTTCTCCTCGGTCGACGAATCGCGCCCGCATCCGCGGTCTGCTCTCTCTATCGTCCTCGGCTCGCCCCGACGTGGCCCTCCTTGTCGTAGTTCACGGTGGTCTGGCTGTCGCCGCGACGGGTCTACCCCCGGTGAGCTCGTATGCCCCGACTCCACTCGCAGAGGCCGAGTCAGCTCGACTCTCACCCCCTCCGACAGTTGACTCCAGGTCTCACCCGGGGCCCTCCGGTCTTGGCCTTCCGGTTCGCCGGACGGCCCGCTGTCGTCTCGCGGCACCTCCCCTCCCTCGGTCCCCTCCGTGTGTAATAATCCAGCCTCCGATGGGGCGGTTCTGGGTTCCCCAAGGTTCGTGAGGGTCTCTCTCTTGTCGCTTCTTCCTCTGTCGCGTCGCTCTCCTCTGCTTCGTCCTGCAACGGCGCCGCCTGCCGCTCCCTTGCTCTCGCTTCTTCTCCCGCCTTCGTCGCAGCTACGAGGCGGAAAAGAAAGAAAGAAAACAGACAACCCAAACGAGGGATAGGGGAGGAGGACAGGGTTCCCCACCTGCACGAGCAGGATTTTGGAAGGACGATCAGGGGGACAGGTGGGCTCTCCTGCTCCTGACAAGGGACACGACAGGCTCGCAGCGCGGTGCACGGTGGGCTCCCAACTCCACTGGCGGTCTCATCTCAGTCTAGCGACCTTCCTCCGGCTTCTCACCGGCAGTCTCTCACTACCACGGGCACACTGACACCGGGGTAATAAATAAATAATCCGGACACACCAAACAAGGGGTGGGAGAAGGACAGGGTCCCCACCTGCGCGAGCAGGATCTTGTAAGGACGATCAGGGACACAGGGGAACGGGAGCGGGGAGCGCATCGCGACACGGAGGGGGGCTGGGCAGGGTTCACCCACACGACAGGGTCCCAGGGATTCCCCTCTCGTATAGGACAAAGTTGCACCCGGCGGCACGGGGGCAGGCGCGGGCCTCCTACTGGTTGCGCTCTCCTAGTTCTCCTGCTACTGACAAAAGGGACAGCGACAGGTTCGCAGCACGGTGGACTCCCTATTCCACTGGCGAACTCTCTCGACTAGCGACCTTCCTCCGGCTTCTCACTAGCAGTCTCTCACTATCACGGGCACACTGACAGAGGCGGCCAAGGCTCACGTCGTGGGTGGCAGAGGCGGTGATAGGAGTCTCCCACTCTGTGGGATCGCTAGTGGTGCGGCCTACTCGTGTCCTCGCCCTTGCGGTCTTGAGAGGGAAGGGGAAGGGGCTGTGTGTCTGTGTATGTGTGTGTGTGCATGTGACACAGGGGTGGGTGTGCGGCGGTTTCTTTCGGCCGTAAGCGGACCATTTGGCGGCCACGTCCAAGGCCATGAACATCCTCATGCAAACCATCTTTGTGGCCCTGGTGTCGGAGATAATCTTCCTTTTGCTCCTCGTCACCCCGTGGCCCGCCGGATTCCTCGGGCCGATCCTGCGTGCCATCTCGTCCTCCAAGACGCTCGAGACCGCCGCCAAGCCGCTCGTTTGGTTCTTCGCGCTCGTCGTGGCCAACTGGCTGCACTCGACGCGAGAGATGCTGCGGCTGAACGGCGAGTACACGGACAAGAAGGCGGGCGACATCGGCCAGAAGCTGATGCACGAGGTGATGATGTTCCGCAGTCAGCGGGACTTTTACCTGGCCGGCTTCACGGCGCTACTGCTGCTGGTGCTGCGGCGCATCTACCTGCTCGTCAAGGAGGTGCACACGCTCAAGGCGAGCTCGACGGCGCTCAAGCGGCAGGCGGAGCAGGCGGCGGCGGCGTACACGAGCCAGCTCGACGAGATCGAAAAGCTCAAAAAGGGCGCGGCGGCTTCCGGCTCGTCGCCTCCCGCCACTGCGAAGGGCGTGCTCTCCGGCCGGCTCGACGCGGACGAGATCGAGGCGCGCGCCAAGGCGGCCGCGGCGGAGGCGCTGACGTCTCCAAAGGCGGCGGCCGCCGCCGCCGGCGAGGGGGACGGCGAGAGGGGCGCGGGCATGCGGGCCAGGAGGGTGGGCGCGTCATTGTGAGGCGCCCGGAAAGATGCGTGTCTGTAGGCGAGAGCGTGGGCGAGCTCAAGGAGGAGAACGCGCGGCTGCGCTCGACGATCGGGTCGCTGCGCGGCGAGGCGCAGCAGGCGGCCGCCTCTGCCGAGGCGCTGCAGCGGCAGGCGGAGAACCTGAGCAAAGAGTACGGCAAGGCGTGCGGCGGAGCAGGCGCCGCCCCGAGGCCGCGCAGGCGGGTCCCTCTCACGGCGGGCGCGGCGTGGACAGGTGGTGGCGCAGAAGGAATCGCTCGAGAACCGCCTCGCCGACTTCGAGCTCGTCATGGGCGATTCGGTCAAGAAGGAAAAGTGAGGCGGGGGCGCGAGGCGGCGCTCGGGGCGTCTCGACTGGCGGCAGAGGCCAGAGGCCGCGCTGTCTGCGCGGTGGGTGTTGCGAGAGTCGACTCCGTCCGTCGTCGGTCGGTTTTTGCGCCACGCGCTCGCGATCCCGCATCCCGCTGCGGCGCGGCGTCACTCTCTCGTGCGCGACACCGTGCGTAGGCCGTAGCCCACCCCGCACCCGCGCCACGGCCCACTCCGCCCGCTCGTGATTACTGGCCTACAATGTGCCACAGAGTTTACCTGTGTGTGCGTGTGTCGTGACGGTGACTCCTGAGGGTGTATCCAATGGCGCTGGTTGTGCGCCCTCTCTGCTCTCTCCGCAGCGCGAAACTGGGAGACTCGCTCGCGCACGTGCTAGCTTAGTGCTTACATGTCGATCTAGCTTCAACTGGAGTTTTCACTTTTTTTGGCTTCAATGTCCTTTCAACCACGAAGATCGAAGTCGAAGAGAGAAGCGAGTCGATCGTACCGATCGAGACACCGCGCGAGAGCACTCACCCACGCGACCACGCGAACAGAAAACACACACATGAGAACAGCTGCACTCACAAGCTGCCAACAACACACCTAACACAAGCAGGGGCACCTTGCCATTAGGAGCGCCCTCGCTTCTGTCTCGCCGACTCAGCCATTCTTGTGGTTGTGAGCGAGCCGCGCGTACTTTTGAGCGAGGAGGCGGTGGTGCTCCTCCTTTTCGGGCGGCAGGCTCTTCTTCACCTTGCCGGGCACGCCCAGCACGAGCGAGTTGGGCGGGACCACCGTGCCCGCGCTCACGATCGCGCCAGCGCCGACGATGGAGCCGCGGCCGATGACTGCGCCGTCGAGCACGGTCGCCTGCATGCCAATCAGGCAGTGGTCCTCGATGGTGCAGCCGTGGAGCACGGCGCGGTGGCCGACGACGACGTGCTCGCCGATGACGGTCGGGTCCTCGTCGCCCAGGTGCACCACCGTCCCGTCCTGCACGTTCGAGTTTGCGCCCACGCTGATGTAGTTGAGATCGCCCCGCAGCACGCAGCCGTACCAGACTGAGGAGCCCTCGGCGAGGCGGACGTCGCCCACCACCGCGGCCCCCGGCGCCACGAGTGCGCTCTCCGCCACCGAAGGCAGGCTCTCGCGGTACCGGTCGATGATGGCGCCAGGATGCCTCGCGCGGAGCTCGCGGAGCGCCGCCTCGAGCCGCGGCAGGTCCTCCGGCGGGCCGGCTGCACGAGGGACCGTCTGCTCGCCGACCACCATCGGGTTGACGCTGCGGCGCGCCGGCGCGGCCGGCGCCGACTGGGAGGACAGCGCTCGCGCGAGCGGGCGGCAAACCCGCCGTACCCGCGTTACTTGCGCGACAGCCGACATGTGCACACCACTGTGTTTTTTTTCGAAGAAAAAGAAAAAACCATGACCCAGTTTTAGTTTACTGGCAGACAAGGGAGAGGGGGTTGTGTTCTCTACCCCCCTAGGGGCCCTACGCGCGGCGTGAGAGCTCTCTTTTCTCTCAGTTATCGAGCTCTTAAGTACATTCTGGAGGAGGACTGCTGACAGGGTTTGCGATGATGAGCGTCTGCAGCGCAAACTTTTTTCTTTGAGCTTAGCCTTCGGTGTTATGAAACAACGCAAGGCGGACATGGCATATCGCTCTCGGGCCCACAGACATCCCGCACACTCGCCGCACACCCGCCGCCCCCGCGCGCGCCCCACCCCGGCCGGGAGAAAGGGGAGTGACAGTTTGGGATGGCAACAGCCCGAGTATGTTGAGTCCTGGCTCAACAACGCAGATAACAAGAGGGGGTGGTCCGGCTCACAGGTCCGGCTCACGCGCCTCGAGCTGACCCTCTACCGCACTGGTCACTTCCGCCCCCTCGCTCCCAACCCATCCACCCCGCCCCGGGCCGCGCCGCGCGATCTCGGGCGATCTCGCGCCATCTCGGGGCCGCGCCGCGCGATCTCGCACAATCTCTTTTTGTAAGATTCTTTTCGCCTAGCAAACGGCCAGCCAATTTGACGGGTGTTGCTGCCGCCGTTGCCGCCGCGCGCAATGCAGACACCCCCCCGATCGCCGCCGCCGCGCGCCGCCTCCTCGCCCGGGGCCGCCTCGCCCGACCCGCGCAAGCTCAGCCGGCTCCGGCGTCACCTAAAGCAGCAGCTCTCCGAGCAGCAGGGCAAGTTGCTCGACGCAGTTGCCGCGGCACCCTCGGCCGATGAGGTGTTCGATTTTGTCTCGCTGCATGCGAGGATCCACGACCTGCAGGCCGACCTGAAGACCGTGGACGAGGCGTGCCGAGCCGCGGTGCAGGCCGCGTGGAGCCGCGAGGGCAGGCCGCCCCCGAGCACACCGCCCACTCCGTCGTCCTCAAGCTCTCCGCTAACATCGCCGCTCCGATTTGCCACCAGTCGGCGAGGGCCGCGCCACGCAGCGCCTGCCCGCCCGTCGCCACCCCTCCTCTGCCTTGGCGAGGGTGGCTCCTCCTCGCCGGGGCTCATTGCAGCCCGCGGGGCCCGAATCGTCAGCGCCGCCGTGGCGGAGGCGGAGGCTGCGCTCGAGGCGTGGCGGCCAGGGGGCAAGGGGGTCACCACAGGGGCGGTGGCGAGCAGTGCGAGCCCGCCCGCGCCCACCGGCCTCGACCGCCTCTTTCGAAAGATCCTCTGCGGTGCCGACGTCGACGCACTCGCCGAGTCCATCCTGCGCGACAATGACGCGTTGCTCGACAACTGGAAGCTGGTGGTGCAATAACATGCTCGGTGGCCGGTGCCGGTTGGGTACGCATGTGCAGGGTAAGAGAGTCAGCAGAGTACGTGTGCACGGCGTGTCGAGCATCCGTCGGTTCCGGCAATAGCCAAGCCGAAGCGCCCCAGCCGTCGGTGCCCGCCCCGAGTGCGAGAGTGGTCTCTGGTCAGTGCTCAGTCGAATTAGTATTAGATCTGGTTACTTCGACGAAATAGCGGCGACAAACTTGTCCGTTGTCGCTTGTCGGGACAACATGCTGGGATATATGTATATGTTATGTCCCCCTCATGGTCATGCACACGACTACACATGCACATGCGACACACACCTTGGTCCTTGCATTCTCCATTCACACAGGATAAAGGGTGTGGATGCTGGGTTGATTCACGGAAATCGGGGGACGCACCTCGCCACAGACGGTCCCGCCTCGCCGCTATGACCGCTGCACGGCCCATACCATCCGCTGTGCAGCGGTCTTGGGTCTTTGTCCGGAGTGAATACTCCAACGCGCTCGTCGGTGACGGTGTCCCCCGATTTCGCCGCGCTCGGCGAACCTCGACAGCGCTTTCGGTGGCATGCAGCTCTTTGCGACAGAAGCCTGGAGAGCAGCTCCTCTGCTGCTCACACACTCTGCACAGTTGACACAGCCTACTGTGCGGCTGCCACAGCTGTGACAGCGATGGGCTCGCCCTCACTGGCCCTCAGTCACTTGTGCTGCGGCTTGTGTGAGCGACACTGCTCGGCGACTGCCGGCACACTGTGAGACCATGGGCGTGAGGTCAAACCACGCTACCAGCGCTTGGTCACATCGGCCCCGAGGTCAGATCCATCTACTCTGTTGATGACAAGACTTGTCTACCGGCTGGAGCCGAGCAGGAAGGCCCGGCGCACAACCCCCTGGTCAACTCACCCTCCACACCCCGTACGGACATGCACATGACATGACATGACATGACATGAACATGAACATGAACATGAACATGAACATGAACATGAACATGAACATGAACATGAACATGAACATGACATGAACATGGACATGGACATGGACATATATGGGACATGGGGTCATGAACCGCGTTCGCAAGGATTCCCAACATTTTCAAGTTTCTCAACTTTTTCATCGCATGAGATCATGAGATATCATGTCACATGTGTGCCGCGCATGCAATGGCATATAAAGATAAAAGAAAAACATGCCTCACTCAAGGACAATCTCTTACGCGACAGTCGCACGGCGGCCGGTGTGCCGCGGGGGTCGTCCCACGTCCCGCTCCAACTGCTGTGTCTCTAGAAGTGAGTTCGGCAACGAGGAAAGGTGCGCCGGGAGGGCAGTACTGGTCCCGATCCGGTGGCCCCCTCCCCGCGCCTCGGCGCCTGCGCGCCCGCGGCAGCCTCCCAGCGCCCTCCCCAATCAGCCTCGCGCTGGCCGCCTCAGGGCCGCCTCCTCCCACCCCTCCCTGCGAACGGAAGGACGGGCCGAAGCGGGAGGCCTGCCCGCGACGAGCTGCGCGCGACGCGGGGCTGCGCGGCCAGCGAGGGCCGGCCAGCGAGGGGCGAGGGAGGAGGGCGAGGGAGGACGCCCCGCCGCCCCTCACTCCTCCTCGGACCGTCAGTCCTCCTCGGACCGGTCCGATCGGTCGTCGCGGTAGCGAGAGCGGCCCTTGCCCTCCGACTCGCTCCTGCCGCGACGCGGCGGCGACTCGCGGCGCCGGTCGCGGTCGCGGTCGCGGCGGTCGTAGTCGCGGTCACGCCTAAGTGGCGCGGTGGCGTGACGGCTCGGCGAGGAGGAGTGTGTCCGCCCTCCCGGGGCCCCGTCGGAGAGGCTAGGGCCGCACCGGTCAGACTCGCGGTCGCGGTCGCCCCGGCGGTCGTAGTCGCGGTCGCGCCGCCGGTCCTCGTCCCGCTCCCTCTCCCGCCGACCGCCGCCGCCGCCCCCCCCGCTCGAGGAGTGCGAGAACTTGCACGACGCGCGAAAGCAGCGGCCCTGCTTGAAGTCCCAGCACTCACCCGCGCCAAACGTGCCGCCGCCGCCGCCGCCGCCGCGGTCGCCGCCGCGGTCGGGCGGGCGGCGGTAGGTGCTGCCGCCGCCGCGCATCCTCGGCGGCGGCTCGGGCAGCGGGTCGCGCTGGTCGTCGAAGTCGGGCAGCAGGACGGTGGTGTCTGGCTCCGGCTCGGCCGCGGCGCTCACCTTGGGGGGGGAGTTGGGGGAAGTTGAGGGGAAGTCGGGGGGAGGGCGTTTTGGGGGGGTGAGGCTGGTGGCGGCGAGGGGCGGCGTCGCGGTCTTGCGCTGCTCTTGTTGCCGGCGACCTCGCCGACCCCTGCTGTGTCCCTCTCGCCCGCCTCTCGGGCTCTCTCTCGCCTTGATCTTCTTGCCGACCATCTCGTCGACCAGCGCGCCGGGCGAGCCGATGGCGTTGTCGGCGAGGCGGAGCACAAACACGGGGGGCTTCTCCTCCTCCTTTGGCGCCTGCGGGCAAGGGGCGAGCCGGGCTCGAGCTGTGGCTCGGGCTGGCTCGAGGCGGTGCGGCCCTCTCGCCGGCCCCTCCCCTCCTCTTGCCGCCCCTCCCCTCCTCTCGCCGCCCCTCGCCGCCCCGCCCTCTCGCCCTCCCTGCCGCGGGCGGGCGAGGCACGCCGTGTTTGTGTAGCCGACGCGCGCCCAGTGCGCGTACTGGATGAGCTTGGAGGCGCCGGCCTGCCGCGGGGGCGGGTCACTCTTGGACGTGTCTTGGACGTGTCGTGGAGAAGGGGGGGGGGGGGGGGTCATAACAAACACGGTACAGGATCGAGTTGCACGCGTGCACGCCGCTGAAGCAGTGACCAGTGTCGTCCCACCCCCTCTCCATCGTCTCCCGGTCTCCCTGGGAGACGTCGGCGGTGGTGGCGGTGTGGCCGATCGAGGTACAAGAGGAGCTTGTTCAGCAGGATCCGGAGTGGTCAGACGCACTATATACCCCTCCACTGCACTCTGCACACTGCTCACACTGGGCCGCCTGAGAGTGAGACCCGTGTGTGCGGTGCGAAGCACATCCTCTCCATAGCGGGTGGGCAAGCCCTAAAACGGCGGGAGGGGTAGGGCTATATCGATAGAGCTAGAGGGCTCAACCACCCCTCCACCCCTCCACCCTCCACCCCTCCACCCTCCCGGAGCGAGAGGGGTCCGTCCTCGAGCCCTCCCACTTCCACCCCTCCGACCGGAGGGCTCGCCAGCCCACAGGGCTGGAGGGGTCCCCGTCGGATCGGCGTCGGGAGGGCTCCACAGGGTCCCATAGGGCTAGCGCGCTGGGAGGGTGGAGCGGTCCACCGGGGAGAGGGGTCAGGAGGGCTGGGCGAGGCGGGAGGGGTGGTGGGGTCCAGGAGGGCTCGCCGCCCCCCCGAGCTCGGGTGATAGGCAAGAGGGCTCGGGCGCCGGGTGGGCTCGGAGGGACGGTCGGACAAAGGGAGGATCTTCGTGGCGGGAGGGCTCGAGAGGGGTCGGAAGGGCCTCCGGGAGGGGTCGCAAAAAAAGAATGGCGCGGAGCTTCCGAGAGTGCCCGCCACGAGAGGGCTAGAGGGGTCGGAGGGGTTTAGAGGGCTGGAGGGCTGCAGGCCTGCTGCCGCCCATGGACGCGGGTCAACCGGCGACGGCGCCCGTGATCGAGGGACCGGCGACGGCGAATGAGCTGGTCTCTGCGCCGCACGACTTCACCCACGTTCGCGACTGTGGCCATCCAACAGTCTGCCGGCGCGGCGGGCGCATTCGAATGCGCCGGCCGCGCCGGCAGACTGCCAGTCCGGGCGGGCCTGCTGCGGCAGGGCGCTGCAACGCCGCCGCCTCGCCGCCACAGCAGCGCCGCCCCCGCATGGCTGCCGCCAGCAATGTCGCCGCCAGCCGCCGCCCCCAGCCGCCGCCGCCAGCTGCCGCCAGCACTGCAGCGACAGCTCTCTCTGCTGCCCAGGCGCCGCCGCGGCCACGAGTGTCACCGCCACGAGTGCCGCCGCCGTCAGCGTCGCCATGGCCGCTGCCGCCGCCAGGCGGGCGAGCGAGGAGCTCCATATGAGTGTGTGTCTGGAGGCTGTGGCGCTTCCGTTTTAGCGGAAACCCCAGGTATTTCGAATACCAAACGCGCTTCGTGTTTGCCTTGAGGAGCGCAGCGACGAGTCCGTAAGGAGCGGCCCCAGCTTGCTGGGTGCGGCGCCGCCGCGCGCCGTATCGAGAGACTCCGTCGGGGCAGGTTAAAATCGCGCCGCAGGCTGCCCGCACCCCGGGCCGTCCGCGCACAGACACCACGGAAACGCCTCATGATGTGTATTGCACCACTTCCGTATGCCTGCAGGTATCTTTAACCGAGCCCTCCGAGCCCTCCACACCCCTCCACACCCCTCCGACCCCTCCGACCCCTCCGACCCCTCCGACCCCTCCGACCCCTCCGACCCCTCCGACCCCCTCCACACCCCTCCGCGAGCCCTCCAGGCCCCCCGAGCCCTCCGACCCCTCCGACCCCTCCGACCCCTCCGAGCCCTCCGAGCCCCCCGAGCCCGGCTCGGTGGCTCGCCCCTCCGAGCCCTCCGGGCACTCCATCCCTCATGAGCCCTCCCGAGCCCTCCCGAGCCCTCCAGCGCCACCCTCGTGCCTCTCTGCCCTCCGAGCCCTCCGAGCCCTCCGAGCTCTCCACCCCTCCCGAGCCCCACCCCTCGCGCTAGGGACCCTCTTGCCGGACGACACCCTCCGAGCCCTCCAAGCCCCCCGAGCCCTCCAGACCCCTCCAGACCCCTCCATCCGCACAGCCCCTCCGGCCCCTCTAGCCCCCTCCGACCCCTCCAGCCCTCTCTAGCCCACTGGACCCCTCCTACGCCTCGCTTTTGGCCAGCCCTCCAAGCCCCCACCCCTCCTGGGCCCTGCCGCCTGACACCTCTATCGGTGGAGGGCTTTAGGTCACGGTCCACACTCCCGCCCTCCCGACCCCTCCACACCCCTACAGCGGCACCCCTACCCCTCCCGCCGTTTTAGGGCTTGCCCACCCGCACTCATCCTCTCGATCGCCATCCACGCATCACCGACACCGTGTTGGCGTGCTCTCTCGAAAAGAAGAAACACCTTTCAGGCGGCGTGAGAGCCGTGACGAGACGGCGAGGATCATGATCCGTCATGAACATGTGGAGATGTGATTGCACCCATGTGTGCTGCGCATGAACAAAAGCCGCTTCTCAAGCGTGGAAAAAGGGAGAAGTGTCAGTGTGAGGGGAGGGGGCGTAGGCTGGCGTTTTTGCCTTTGAAAACTGAACAGTTTTATTTTTCATGCATGAAAGAGAAAGACATAGAGCATACAGGCAGAGAGTTGCCGCGATAATATACCCTTATACCGACGCACCGAGCCCGCAGCCCCGCACGGGCGGGCTCCCCGTCGCGGCGTCTCTCTTGAGCTCGCGCGGCTCCCTCAAGGGGCCTCCTCGGCGGCGATCCGCTTGAGGCGCGGCGAGAGGAGCGATCCGACGAGGAGCTGCAGCGGGTGCTGCAGCAGCAGCGGCGTGCACAGCAGGCCGAGGTCGGGGCGGCCGGCGAAGACGACGCCGAGGAGCGGCATGCCGAGGGCGAGCGTCTTCTGCGTCGCCGTGAGCGTGAGCGTGATCCGCTGCTTGGCGCGCAGGCCCGCGAGGCCGCCGAGCTGCCACGCGAGCCAGAGGTGCGAGGCGTGCAGCCCGGCGACAAAGGCGAGCAGGCCGGCGAGCGTGGCGGGCGGCACGCCAAAGCCGCGCAAGAAGGTGTCGCAAAAGGTCGAGTAGACGATGAGCAGGAGGAGCGACTCGGAGCTGCGGGAGAGCAGCTTCCTCCTCCCCGCGAGCACGCCCGCCCCCTGCAGCGGAGGGCGGAGCAGCTGCCCGACGAGCAGCGGCAGCAGCACGCGCGTCGCGAGCTTCTGCAGCGTGTCGGCCGCAGAGAGCGCGCCGGCGGAGCCCACGAGCTTGAGGAGGAGGTACGGCGTGAGCAGCACGCCGAGCAGGTTGCCGAGCACCTGTTGACTCATCGGTGCTGGCTCAACCTCACCAGCCGGAGCGCCACGCCGAGCACCGCTGCCGGCAGCACCGCGTTGAAGATGGCGACGGCCTCGTCGCCGCCGGACGAGCGCGAGAGGGCGACGCACATGTTGATGGTGGTGGGCAGCAGGCCCATCACGACCATGCCGTCGCGCAGCGCCGGCTGGAGCAGTCCGGCCGCGAGCAGCGCGTTGCACGAGAGCACGGTGGTGAGCGGGATGAGCAGCAGGTTGAAGCCCTGGATGAGCGCGTGCAGCCGCACCGAGACGGCCGCGCGTGCGAGCTCGCTCGTCGGCAGGTTGAGCCCCGAGAGCAGAAAGATGCCGCACGTCGCGCCCTGCCGTGCGAGAGAGAGGGAGCCGCGACGGTCAGCATCTGTGCCGTCGCGAGTGTGGCGCCGGAAGGTGATGGGGAGGTGCGGCAGTGCGCACCCACGCCACGGTCCGCTCAGGGCGCAGCGGGCCGCCGCGGCGACCGAGCGGTGGGTAAGCGGCCGCCAGCGCCACGGCCGTGACCACGCCCACCAGAAAGTAGCGGCGATCGAGGAAGCCGGCGACGGAGGAAGTGGCCGTCTTGAGCCGCTGCAGTGGCGTCGGCCGGCCGTCGGATGCGGCTGGCGATGTAGCGAGCAAGGGAGGCGGGGAGCGGAGGAGCACGGGTGGTGCGCGAGAGAGCGGCAGCGCCGGCGTGAAGGCCGCGGATGAGGCGGCGGCAACAGCGAGGACGATCATGGTGTGATGCGGGCAGAGCTCGAATGAAGAAAACTCTGTCTGCCGGCACGTTTTACCAAGCTGCAAACCCTATTCTCGCACTCCGGGCCCTGGGTTGGTTGGGTGGTCCCCCACTCTGCGCACTTCAGGCCTCCAGATGTTGGTTGGTTGGTCCCGCACTCTCCGCACACCTTCTATTACACACATAACCAGACAGCCCCTCCCGACGGGGACGCCACCACCCTCGCCCAGGGATCTACAATGCAAACGGATCGGCTCAGTGCTGCTCACGATCAACTTGGCAACCTGAGCAAGAGCCACGCGATCGGCGGGATTGCAATCATCGCTCTGCAAGCTGCGCTCAAAGTGGCTACGAGGTGGCACGGGCTGCCGCTCGAGCGAGGCCTTTTTGCGCTGATCGAGTATGGCACTGATGTTTTTCACGTAGCTCCCGAGCGTGGTGCGGTCGGTGCTGCTGGTCAGTTCGCTGGCGAGCGAATGCGGCAGCGCAGCGCGCACGAACCGCCACGGGCTGCCGCGAGGCCCGGCGCGCGGTAGGCCGATCACTGACCAGCATCACAGCTGCTCGGTCATCTCCCAGCTCGGCATGGTCGTGCGTGACCACCGACGCTGTCGGCATTTCCCCGCTAGGGCCTAGGCGCTAGGCACCTGCTCTCGAATGGACGCAAATCGCGCAAGCTGACTCTTCAGCGGGCGCAGCTCCTCCCCACACGTCGCGAGCGGACGGAGTAGGCGGACATCTACAAACTTAAGAAAACAACAGTGACAGAGGTTTGTTATAATTCTATCCTTAAAATCCCTGTGTGGTGGCGGCGTGCCGTCCTCCCATCCCTCCCTTCGCTGTCTGTTTTCTTTCTTTTTACAATTCTGATCTTTGCCAAAAGAAAAAAGAGCGGCTGCAACGACGGTGGCCTCATCACCCACCTCGGAGCGGTACGACTCGGGAGGCTGTCGCGCCTATGACATTACAAAAGAAATAAAAATAAAGAAACTTCCTTCGGCGACCCACACCGATCGCCATCACTCTGCCGTCCGCGAGACGGTGCAGGCCCATCGGTGAGATGATGAACGCTGCAGGCAGATCGCTGCTGCGGCGGCCGCAGACCGCTGCTGCGACGCTGTCTGGCTCGAGGAGGGCGCTCGCCACCGCGCCAAAGATGAAGAGCTTCTCCATCTACCGCTGGAACCCCGACGAACCAAACTCAAAGCCGCACATGCAGGAGTACTCGATCAATATGAACGAGTGCGGCCCGATGGTGCTCGACGCGCTCATCAAGATCAAGAATGAGCTGGACCCGACGCTGACGTTCCGTCGCTCCTGCCGCGAGGGCATCTGCGGCTCGTGCGCGATGAACATCAACGGCAGCAACACGCTCGCCTGCCTCTGCAAGATTGACACCAACCCCTCCACGGCCATCTACCCGCTGCCGCACATGTACGTCCTTAAGGACCTGGGTGCGCCCGCCGGGGCGCTGCCCCCCCTCCCCCCCAGTTTCGAGGAAGATTTCGCATACCTATGATCCTAATACGCATGAATCCTTAACAAATCAGGACGAACCCTACCTACAGGC